CACTTCCACGACTGGATCTGACGTCCAGCATGACCTGTCATGATCGATAGGGTACTGTATGTAGTACCCGCGCGAATGGAACAAGTTGAAGAACATTCGAATCTGCGTCACAACCTGCTCGACTCATGATCGCGAAGCTCGGTGCCGCCGGGGGCAGCTTAGAAAGCAGCACGAAATGCAATCCTCCCTACAAAGTTAAGGACGCAGATTATGTAAGCGAGTCGCGCAGCGGCTCGCAAAGTGGACGCGGAGCCATTGCAGCGGATGCGCCCAGACGGTTGTCCGCCTAACATATAATCCTATTTTTGAATATTGCTAGTGTGTCGTTAGTGCAGCGGTTAGTGTGATGGGTTATTTCAGATGCAATGATGTGCGCTCGAGGTTCAATCCCACCCATGGACGATATTTTTCACTTGTGATGATTCTAGTTGCCTTCACTCCGTAACGCAACTTGAAATTTTTCTTTTGTTCTCTGTCTCATCATGCAGTCATTGCAAGGCGCCGATATTGATGACATTGTGGCACTTTGAGTCCGGACGAGGGCCAATCTATACACAAAGCCTTCACTTGGTATTATACTTTGGGGTTCAGTTTCAAAAAGTTAAAACTACATGTGTACTGATATACAAAACCATTCAAATTCTCATGATCATGGGAGGTGGTGTTACCGGTGTACGAATGAATTGCAGTGAGTACACAACCTCCTCACCGCCTTAGGATTCCCATTCCGAAGCGAGTCGCCCAGACTTCAGACGAAGTCCCTCGCGACGCTGCGGGGTTACCGCACAGTGTCCCGACCTTCCATTTATAGCGACTCGCGTCCTTAACTTTGTAGGGAGGATTGCACTTTCTGAAAGCAGCTCGAAGACAACATATATATACAGCATGGCTTTGAGATAGCACCTCGCCTCCCCTGGTCTCCCACCACCACCCAGCATCAGCGTAAAACTTACTGATTTGAGTATTCCAACGATGTCGACGCCCAGCAAGAAGATGCCCTATGGTCAGCCTATGCATTGCTTAATGAGTGCGCACTGGCAGGGTATTGAGTAGGATCGCAATATACAGTTCGCTTGGGCAAGTCCGGATTGAAGGTGTCAAAAATCATACTCGGATGCATGTCCTACGGTAGCCCGGACTGGCAGGGGTGGGTGTTGCCAGAGGAGGAAGCTATCAAGCACATCAAATACGCGTAAGTTCCCTAAGATCCTTGTGCCCCGGCCCGACCATAGCGAGGTGCTTATCCCTGTCGGTCAGGTATGATGCTGGTATTAATGCTTTTGACACTGCCAATGTATGTTCTGCTTCCTGTCACTCCCTCTCATGCTCAGAAACATGCTGTTTAGGCGTATTCGAACGGTCTGTCTGAGATCATCCTCGGGAAAGCGATCAAACAGCTCAACCTTCCTCGGGATGAGATCGTCGTCATGACGAAGGCAAGTTCCTCGGCGTTCATAGACAGACAGGAAGACTCAAATTGAATTGGGTTGATTCAGGTGTTCTTCACGGTTGGGAAGACTATCGGCGAGAACGCCTTCGCTCATCCCGATCCTGATGGCGCTGGTTATGTCAATCAACATGGTCTGAGCAGAAAGGTAAAGGGGCTTCTTGAACGGCGTCATTCGACTCAAATCTTTGACATGACTTCCATAGCACATCTTTGACTCCGTCAAGAAGAGCTTGGAGCGCCTCCAGCTCGACTATATTGATCTCTTGCAATGTCAGCATCCGTTGTCTATGATCTTGCGGTCAAGTATAACGTACGCGTTCGCTCTATAGGCCATCGTTTCGATCCCGACACACCGATTGAGGAAACGGTTGGTAGATGTCCCCAACGCTGCGTAAACGATGCTGAAATCTTCTCTGCAGATGCAAGCACTCCACGACGTCGTTAAGGCCGGCTATGTCCGGTACATTGGCATGAGCTCCTGCTGGGCCTATCAGTGTACGCGATCACTTACCTATTAGCGATTGCTGATGTGTCTGACCGACTTCTTCACCTAAAGTCCACGCCATGCAGAGTGCGTCGCATACCCATAGTCAGATACGGAGCTTGAAACTGACGATACGCAGACTACGCTATCGCTAACAACCTGACCCCCTTCATCTCCATGCAAAACCACCACTCTCTTATCTACCGAGAAGAGGAACGTGAGATGTTCCCTACGTTGAAGGTACCGCAGAAGCTGGATTGAGACGGCTCCCACCCGATAAACTAAATCACATCTCCATAGTACTTTGGCGTTGGCGCCATTCCCTGGTCTCCTCTGGCTCGTGGTTTGCTCACCAGGCCTCTGAGCGAATCCACCAAACGTGCAGAGACCGACAGGTGACTATTTCTCGGTACCTCCCCAGCGACAGGTCTCCTCACTTTCCTACAGGATGATTGCCCGATTTCCCAAGGAAGGTTCCTCGGCTCAGATCATCGGTCGGTGAGTGTAGCTTTACGTTCGCCTCTCAATGCGCCGTCAAACTAATACCGCCCATCCTGGAAGCGTCGAGGAACTCGCCAAGAAGAAGGGCGTTTCCATGGCTCAGATTGCCATTGCCTGGAGCATGGCCAAAGATGGTGAGTTATGTTCCTCCACCATAGCTGCTTCATCTTCACATGCGACTGCTCTGAAGGTGTCACTGCTCCGATTGTCGGAACCACCAGCTTGAAGAGTCTCCAGGAGAACATTGGTGTGTATATTTCCCTTCGCTCTCTTGTTCGATCTGGGGAGCTGACCGACTGTCGTAGATGCCGTGCATATCAAGCTCACTGAGGAGGAGATCAAATATTTGGAGGAGCCTTACACCCCTCAGGCCGTCCTTGGGCACAATTGAGTTATGGTGACTGGACGAAAATCGTTTTCCGGGCGAGATAGTTAAGAAGTCAAAATGTATGTATCAGTAACAACCAAGTATCAGTGTTAGGCAAACCAGATGCTCGTTCAGCTTGAATTGTACGCCTGCTACAGACGAGCCGAAATGACCAAGAAAGATCGTGACATTGTGCAATTCTTCTAGTACTATCTAACACGTTTGTTATCTGAATACAACAGAACATGCACATGTACGACGACGAACAGGCGAAATCAGACAAACAAAACGAGACAGTGTGCAGTATCGAGGAGTGCAGGGGAGATGTAGAGCTATGTCCGTGGAAGGCTATGAGGAATTAACTACACCGTCTGGACGTTGACTGTCCGCGGGAGCGGCAGAATCTGTCGAATGCGCTGTCCCAGGGCCTGTGCCCCGGGCTTCACCTTTCCCATCAAGCGTCACGGCACCCATTTTGTCAGCCAAAGCGGCGGTTGCCGCAGCGTCTCCTCGCGACTTCTCCACTTTATCCTGGACAGGCGGCGAAGCACTCTTGCCTCCACCATTACCATTGTTGACAGTAGGCCGTCGTCCTTTCGGATTGAAAAGCTCGGCAGGGCCTTTGGGAGGCGGTCTCTCGAAGGCCTGAGAATCGAGCCTTGGGGACTGGTTGGTGTTCCCATTAGAAGCGGGGTGCTGTACTAAAGCACTAGCATAAGTGCTAGGCTGACCACCCTGAGGCGCGCTTGGCATCAGAATGGACCTAGTAGAGGATGCGTTGATCCACGCGCCAGTTGTGGCGGGGGCTTTGGGGGGCGGTGAGAGAGTCAGGGGAGGGAAATCATTGGATTGAGGCGGTACAGGCCGTGACTGCTGTTGATTAGAGCCATTTCTCGACGGTGTATTATTGTCGAGATGACGATTGGATTGCGGCCTCAGTCCTACTGCCCAATCAGGCCTAGCGGGTAATGGATGTGTTGAGGTCGTCGACGTTGACGTATATGTACGCCGTGAAGAGGATGATGTGGAAGAAGACTGACGACAGGGCGCAAGGGGTCAGGAATCAAGGTCGGGTTCAAAGAAAAGAACTTACTGCGACAGAAGATGTCTCATCACCCGGAGTCCGATTGCCAGTACTGGCACTCCCAACACTGGAGGTGGTTGTCTGTCTCCTCATTGACGGAGTGAGCCGAGGCCCTACCGATTCATTACCTGTGTAACTGCCTATTCCAGGGCCGTACGTCCACGCATGACGAGCCTGAGGCGCACCTCGTCTTCCACCGTTATTAGAACTATTCCTCGACGACGTTCGACTGTGATTGGCGCTACAATTCCCGCTGCTGTTACCATTAACGTTATTTCTCGCAGGAGACCCGGGGCCATTGGGCCCAGACATGTCCATTGGGTGGTGGTACATTAAGTGCGGCTGCATTTGGGGAGAAGTGGGGATCGGCTGGGCCATGTGTGGCGGAGGGGCAGAATGAGGCGGATAGTAAGGAGGCACAGGATATTGACCGTACATGTGCGAGGCCGGTCCGTAGGGAGGAGCGTACATCGGAGCATTAGGAGGAGGGTACTGTGGAATAGCTTGCATCGGTTGAGCCGCTGGCTGGTTAGGACTCTGCTGCGACTGCTGTGAAAGTGGGCCTTGCGCGGACCCCGGTGGCGGAGGCTGCTGTTGAGGCGGTGCCCATGCGTACGGATTGTAGCCTAACGGCGGCGGTATGGGTCCATACATCTCTCCCCCCGACGGGCTGACGGGTTCAGAGTGTGTCATAGGATACGGCTGATGTTGATACGAGTAAGGAGGATAGTAGGGATAGGGAGCAAGATAGCCCTGGCCAGGCGCTTGTCCCGGAGGTGGATACGGATACATGTAATGCTGCATGTACCCTTGCGGAGGCGGAACGCCCATCTGAGAGGGATCATAGGAAGCACCGGGTACCGGAGGCTCGTACAAGGAGGCATAGGTGAATGAGGGAGATGCAGCACGCGACCCGCGTGCAGATGACCGCAAGGACCGTGATGAGCCTTTTCCACGCCTACCCTCCCTCTTCTCACTGCTGACAGGAGCAGACCATTCGCTCTCAGTCGGTGCTGTGCTGTTAGAATCGTCAATATCGCCAATGCTGCTCCCTTCGCCGCCCGAACCGGATATGATGCTGCGCGTCGATGAGCTACCGCTCATGTCCTTCTCCTTCTCTTCAAAGTCCATAAATATCCGTGACCGCGCTTCCTTGTACGCAGCTTCTCTCTCTTCGATGGTCATGTGCTTTTTGCTGTGGCCCGTCGCATTACTCCTTCCACCAATGCTACCAGATTCAGATGGCTCGACATCAGAGAGCTCAGCTTCGTCCCCAGCAGTCGAACCTGCCTGCGAGTAAGCTTTGGAACGTGAGCGATCCTTGGAAACACGACGCATGATTTTGAAAGCAGGTGCGGAAGGTAATTCAGCTGGCACTAAGTCAGCCAGCCTTCGAGTAGGACTGACCATGCAACATCATACTGTGGTTAGTCTCGGAACTTTTGTCGTACGAGGAGAGAACACGCACATCTTGCTCTCCACGGTGCGCATAACAATGAGACCTTTTGAAGCAGGATCATTCTCTGGGCGCAGTTTATAATAGGCTGCGCATCGATGGACGAGCAGCCGCTGATACGAAGTGGTGGGGAGGACATCAATTTGGGTCCTTGATGAGCGGAGTGCAGTCAGCCGAGAATTGATTTTATCAAACGAGAACGGAACGGAATAAACCAAGGAGCTCGGAGATAGGTGTCCCGAGCGCTATTAGCGTCGGGCCCCAATGGGAGAGATAGGCAAAAAGCACAGGAAATAGACGCCACCACTTACTTTTGCTCGGTGAACAGGGTCTCCATCTGTTCCCCCAGCCTCAAAACGAACAAGCGATCCTTGCTCCTCAGAGCCTCTACAATCGAGGGATCGACCTCTTGCTTGGCCTCTTTCTGCGCCCCATCGTCGCTCCTGGTGCCCTCCGGCTCGTTTTCCGCGGACGACGGCGCGTTGCTAGGGCTATCGGCTGACGTGATCGACTCCGAGCCCTCCTGAATCGGTGACGGTGATGTTGAGAGCGCCATGTCCTGGTTCGTCTGTGTCGGCTGCAGCGGGGAACGCGACCGAGCAGCGGCAGTCGCGGGCGCACAGTCTGGGGACGACTTTCCAATGGGCGATAAGGGAGAAGGGGCGGCGAATAACGCGGGCGTCTCTGAGAATCGATAGAAGAACGATACGGTATTGGCAAGTGAACAGTCTCAGCACGCAGTCGAGAAAAGCAAGGACAGTTCGCTTGGCTTTGGCCAGGCGCCCTCCTTACTCACCGAGCGACATCGACGATGAATTACTAACGGACGGTTGATATGGCTTTGAAGATGGCAAGAGCAGTGAGGACTATGCAGCGAATGTCGCGAACGTCGACGAGGGCATCAGGTCAAAGGGCAAGGAATGTACGAGCTACAGGACTCCCGTTAGGACCGATGTCTCTGTCAGGAAGTTGGGCCACGCAGAGACTCAGATCTATCTCAGTCTCCCGCGGTAAACTCGTAGTCACGGGCGCTTCCACAAACCTTGTTTCGGTACAAGCCCTCGGTCCGAATAGACGGCTCTACGTGTCGATAATTCTCTAGAACGTGTAGTAATGACTATTCTATGATACAACAGTCCGAGACCGCTAGCACAGTCCGAGGCATAAGCAACAATTATGGTGCAATAACCAAGACATAATCTACGCAAGCATACTTCCGCAGCGAGAACCTAGATTGACAGGTTACCCCGCAGGATGTGGTTTCACGACTTGGTATATGTTGAAGCTCAGACTGTGCGTGCGCAGACGGTCGCAGTCAGTATAGGTCCCGCAGCCACGAGCCCAATCAGCGTACCAGAATATGAAGATAAAGACACCGTACGCAGCGAGTGCGATGGATGCCCGCGTGAGTGTCTTATTCGCAGTCGGGTCGTTGTGAGTCAACTGCGCAGAAGAGCGACGCACGTGAGCTTCGCGTCTACACAGGGAATGCGATGCTCACCTTCCAATAGAACAGACCCGGTAGGATGAAGGATATCGTCGTGGAGCCAGTAGACCCGACAAACGAGAGCACTGGGGGACACCGGATTCATTTGCGAGTTCCCGCATCATGGGATTCTCACTCACCCATTTGCAGATCGTCCACAAAGTACGCAATTGTGAAACCGCACGCGATGATCCCTGCAGTGAGCATCGTGTGCTTGAACGTGCTCATGTCTGAGCTTCCATGCGCTTCGTCCTCCACCCCATCTTCGTCCTCCGTACCTGCCTTCGATACCGCCCCCACGTGGAATACCTTATCCAGGCAATTGCGGCACGGATGGACTTGCAATGGATACGAGAAGAGAACGAGGATTACGATCGCAAGTTGGCCTACGGCAATGAAAAGAGATGTTGAGGGGTACATGGCAATGATGTTAGCGCCGACCTGCCGAAATTAAAATCAGTTATCCGAGCTCCATTCGTCAAGCGAATCCCGACCTTATTGCCGAATGTCAGATAACCAAACACCGCAATAATTTCATATGTCAGGGTAGCTGCACCAATGGACGAGCCTACGACGATATCCATGCGTCTCTGCGTGTTGCTCGACAGCTCGTTGAATATAGGGAATAGCTGCGCAGCCACACGAATTCAACAACATCGTGGCCAGAAAGCTTCTGAGAACTACCTACATTCTGTGCGCAAGTGAACGCGAACACCTGCACCGGAAACGTCGAGATAAAATTCGGGGTAATATGCGCCCACGCAATCTCCCCCTTCTCGGGCATACCCTCCAAGGGACGGAAATAACAAACGATGACGATCAGTACGAGGTAGGCTGAGGAGTTGACTAATGAGCACCGGCACACCAAAAATTACATGCCCACTCACCCACAGCAAACAAAGCGACATAGCTGGTATGTCTCAGACTATGCAGGTTGCGCAGGAACGACAGCGGGACTTCGATGAGCATGAATATAGTTATCCAATTGCGTCCTGAGAGCGCCCATTCTGGCGGGTTGGCCGACGATAGGTCGTGATAGAGGGACTTTACGACGCCAGGCATCAAGCCCTTGATAATAATCAGGTAGCTGGGCCAAACAATATAGTCAGGCCTGAATCTGAGCACAGTAAACTAGGGGGGGCGCACCTGATAGACACGCCAAAACACTTGATAGCGATAGCCGCGTCGAAGAATATCGCAGCCCGCGGAAAAGTCATATTCGCCACCGCGAAGAACGACGCCTTCCGATGCGGCGCGCGCGCAGCGGCATGCGAGAGGAGGTACAGCCCAAACGCAGCTACGCTCCCAGAGAACAGGCACGTTATCATCCCAGGTATGATACCCGCCGACGCCATGGCCTACACCCGCACTCGGTCACTCACAGCTCCTAACCCAATCACGCAGAGGGTGCGTACCAAGGGAAATGTCAGCATACCTATCAATGAATATAAGCAATACCCTAGCCGCCGCAGAACCACGCCAAACTCACCGCTCCCAATAATCGTATTCGCAAGGTTCCCCACACTGCTCGACAGCGTCGCATGTCCGTCCCGCTTCTTCGCCGCCCCCGTCCCCACCGCCGCATCCCCACCCAACAGCGCGCTCTGCTCCGTCTCTCCCTCCACCCCGGGCCCAGTCACATCCTCACGGTCCGGCGCAACCCCGTACGTCCTCTGTACCATCTCGTACTCCTCTGTATCGTCACTAGCGGGTGTAGGTGTCCGAGGCGAGGGCTCAAATAGAGATAGGCCGGAAGCCAGACTGCGCGCAGCTAATGTTTAATGATAGCCAAGCTCTTGACTGGTATTCGCACAGGGAGGGTATATATGTCGCAAGCTGACAAGGACATGCAGCAAGGGGCCTGCGCCTGCCTGCGCCGATACCATGGCCAATTGATCGGAAGCACTCGTACTGCCGACGGCTTCTTGCCACGGTTCCGAGCCCCGCGGCTTTCCTCCGACTTTGATAGCTCACGCCACACTTCCGAAGGTCTATGCCCAAGCGTCGAAAAACCAATCGCTGAAGCGACATTGAAGGTAGCGCAAACGACAAGATGTATATGCAAGATTGATTTTACTGACAAAACTAGGGGATATCTACAATACGTGGGTGGGGGACATTGCAACGGATACAGCGTAACGATGTGCGTAACGACAGAGCATTCAACAAAGCTAGACAGTCTCGTCTCCAAAACCGACAAACCAATCACCTCGTCACAAGAATAAGAAAGGAATAAGGTTACACTTTCATCTCTTCATCTTCATCTCAAAGTCCAAAATCAAAGTCCAAGGGGAGCCAATCAAGCCCTCAACCGACTCCGACTCCGACTCTTCCCCCTCTCCCGCTCCCTCTCCCTAGCCCTCATCCTCTTCTCCCTAACGCTCGTCATCATCTGCCGCGCCACAGGGCTCAGCTCCGACGAGCTCGCGGGCGACGGCGGGTCCTCCCCGCCCGCCACCCTCAAGAGGGAATGGTGCCGCACCGGCGTCACGGGCAGCCCGCCCATATAAGCAGGTCTGCTGCGACTGGCGGCATACCGCAGATCCTTCGGCGGCGTCGCGGGCGGCGGGCTGTTCTCCTTCTCCACCACCAGCGCGAAGCAGCTCTTCGTCCGCGGCGCCGGCTGGCGATATCCGCGAGAACTCGAGGTCGCGGTGGACGTGGATGTAGACCCCGTGCGCTGCGGCCTCAGCTCCGCCTTCGTATCGTTCAGCGGGACCTTGCGCGACCCCGCGCGGTAGTGCCGCACAGGTTCGGGTGTGAACCCGTCACCGCCGTTATTGACGTGCCTGCTCGAGCTCGCGATCGTACTCAGGCTTGCGGTGTCTTCGTGTCCACTGGCAGGTTTCGGGAGGGACTTGGCGGACGGGCGCGGGCCGCGGGGTATCCTGCTCGGGGGAGGCTGCCTCGAGGACTGGGACTGGAAATGAGACTCGGAGTGCGCCTTGCCGCCCTTGCGCGCTGTCGGGCTCTCCTCATCGGGGTCTACGCGGTTGCGGATACTATTCTCCGGTTCTTTTTTGATGGCGGTCTTGAGCGCGGGGGTATCGAACGCAACGGGGAACGCGACCGGCTCTAACGGCTCTGTAACTTGTTTCGGGAAAATACGTGGTTGGGTATCGTCTTGCACGGGTATGGGTATCGCAGTATCGTCTGCATCTGGCCAACTATCGGTGGAACGCAGCGACAGCGCAGACACCGGCCTGCTCTCCGTCTGCCGCTGGCGCTTCTTCTCGGTCAAAAAGCCAAACACCTGCGACGCAGGCCTCGGCGTCTTGATCACACTGTCGAGGGACTCGGCGACGGACGTGTTGAGCTCCGTCCCCTGGCTCAGCTCGACCTCGAGCGAGGAGAAGGTCGGGTACGTGTCGGTCGTGGTGGAAAGATCGTGGTCGTTAGGGAACGTGGGGCGGCCGAGCTTCTCATCGGAAGCGCCGGCCGTGAAGGCGAAGTCTTTGGGCGTCTCGAGCCCGAGCGAGGATTCGGAGACGAGGGAGTCGGTGCTGCCGTTGCCCTCCCTATAAACGGAGCTAAGTGCATGTTATGTGAAAGCTGATGATAAGCCCTACCCGAGGAAACGTTCGGCCCAGGAGATGTCTCCCTCGAATTCATCGTGGCCGTGCGTCGGGCTGCCGAGCAGCTGGCGCAGCGTCGACCCGGTGCGGCGGATCTGCTCCCGGCCCTCCGCGAGGCACCCCCTTACCTCGGGCGGGGTATTCGAGAACGCGTGCGAGTTGATGCGGCCATCCTCGTCGTACATGTTCAGCAAGCTCGCGACGGACGGGTCCTGGCGCAGCCGCAGGATGCGGTCCTGGTCGCGCGGCGTGACCGGCGCGGTCTTGGGGTTGACGCGCCGGCGCGGCGTGGTGGTGCGTTTACTGGGGGTCGGCGCGGCGTCGCTGGGGATGGGCGGGTTGGCGTTGGGGAACTCGGTGCGCGCGATGACCTCGCGGCCGATGATGGTGACGGTGTAGCTGGGCTGCGTGCTCGTCGAGCGGATGGACGGCGCGGCGCTCGCCGGCCCCGGGGTGGCCAGCAGATCGTTGATGGGGTGCGCTGCACGCATGTTCAGTTTGTCATCTAACAGCTGCAGCGGCACGCATCTACTTACGCAAGGGCGGGAGGCTGGCATAATCGACCTCGTTGACGACGGCAAAGTGGGCAGAGGAGGAACGTAAGAGACGGCTTGCGGCAGCCTCATGCTCGTTGTTCTGCCTGCCCTGCCGGGTCTGTGAGTAGGGCAGGGCGTACTCGACGGGGTCGCACTCGAGCGGGATGCGCTTTTTCTTGCCGCGGCGGGTGCTGCTGAGCGAGAGGAGGCGCTTGAGGAAGCCCATCTGCGCGCTGTGCGGCGGAATATTCGGGGTAAAGACAGACTTGAGCTTGAGGGTATCCGGGATGGAGAGACAGGCTGAGACAAGCTGGCGCCCATAACTCGAACCACGGCCAAACAAGCCACAACGCGCTCTGGTGGCGCTCAAGTGGCGCTGTTTCCGGTTTGAAATGGCTCCGAGTCTTGACTTGGATGTAGCCTTGATGTAGCCCGCGATGCCGCTTGCGATTGAGAACACGGGCAGCACCGCCAGAGACTTTTGCATGCTCGAGCGCAACCTCCTCTCCCACTACAAGCTCGCCATCCTCCTCGCCCTCATCTCCTCCTCCATCCTCCTCCGCACCCGTCTCTCCTTCAACGACGGCGTCGAGCACGACCCTTCACCGGGCAAAGGCGTACTGCCAATCGGGACCCTCGAGATGGTTACCGCCCTTCTTGCAATCGGCGCAGGCATCTGGGAGTATCAGAGTAGTTCCGTCGACATGCGGAACCAGAGGGCTTTCCTGGACGTTACAAAGTCCGTGGATCCCTTGTCTGTTCACCGATGTCTATTGACCTGCTTCACATAGACCTCACTTTGCTCTGATGACGATCGTAGCCAGCGTCGTCCTCACAGCATGTGTTATCCTCCTGGCAGACGAGAATCTCCTATGACGTAACGACTAGACAACCAATACTGTACTGTAGCTTGTGTATCCTATCCTATCATCCATAGCCAATAAACCATTCCTATGCTCTAAGCAAGCAACCCTCAATCAGATTCAAAACACTTCTCCCAATCCCCCCGTCCGCTCTCCCGCGCATACCCCTGGCTCTGCACGAAATCCCCAAGCGTACACCGCCCATCCCCCTCCCCACAAAACGCCAACGGCTGCATCTCATCATTCACAAACACCCTCACATACTCCTGCCCCTCCCCCTCCCCCTCCTCGCACACCACCTTCTCCACCACCATCCGCGCCGAGAACGGCACCATCCTCCTCGCATTCCACGTCCGATGCTTCCCCCCGATCCTCGTCGGGTCCAAGTCCCCCGGCTGCTCAAACAGCCCGAGCGCGCCAAAGACCGCGACCATCTCGTTCTCGTGCGTAAAGTCCGCGTAGATCGTGCGGTTGAGCGGGAAGGTCGCGGGCGCCGCGTCCAGCGTGCGGTTCGTGTTCGTGCTGTCGCGCACGGGCTGGTTCGTCAGCCGCGCGAGCAGCTCGTTGACGTACCCCACACCCTGCACCGGGCCCAGCGGGTTGCCGTACCTGCAACCGCCCAATCAGCCTTTAATCCCAATCCCAATCCCAATCCCACTTCCACCCCCCACCCCAACCCAAAAAAAACGCCAAACTCACCCAGTCTTATAATACTTCTTCACATCCTCATGCCACTCAAACGCCCTCCACTCCTTCTCGTCAAACAGCTTACAAAACCGGCTCTCCTCCCACTCCGCCGCGCTCAGCGCGACGCTCTCGAGCGGGCACAGAGCCATCAGGCTGATCACGTTGCTGTCGGTCAGGTTCGCCCCCGGCGCGGCCTTGTTCAGCCGCTTCTTGATCGGCGGCGTGAAGATGTGCTCCCAGCGCTCGGTGTACGGGTGGTGCGAGGGCGCCGCGGGGCATTGGTTGATCTGCAGGGTGTTGTTCTGGCCGGGCTACACGTCGAGGTAGGAAATCAATGTGTTAGAGGAGGGGAAAGGAAGGGAGACGCACCTCCTCGGAGATGACCACGGAGATGTGCGGCTCGTACTCGAAGTGGCTCGCCGTCGCAAACCCCGCCGTCCAGTTCCGCGCCGAGTCGACGACGCGCCCCTGCCCCGACGCGCGCACGAACGGGATATCATCTTTATTCACGAGGTCCTTGTACCGCTCGAACGTGATCACGCCCGACTGGAACGACCTTCACATAGTATATTCACAATCAGCACTCACTCTCCTCCTCCATAAAAACGGCGAAGGAGGGGGGAAGGAAGGGAAGGAGACTCACTGCTCCGCGCCGAGCGGGACGAGGTCGTCCTGGCCCAGGAAGTACGAGTGGTTCCGGATAAATCGCAGATTCTTGTCGCGGTACTCGTCCGCCTGCTGCAGCTTGAATATCGCCTCCTCCATCTCGACGGGGTCGTCCGACGAGGGGTAGCGCGCGCCGTGGCGTTGCAGCTTCCACCGTCAATTAATTACTATGCATGCTAGACATTGCGAGCAGGGAAGGGATTCGTACGAGGTTAACCTGCGACGCGGCAGCTCGTTAGATTAGCTCGTTTACTGAGAAACAAGACAAGGCGCACCTGCGTCACCCTACAGTGCTTCGCGGGCGGGACGTACGCCCCAGCGGGCTCGTACGGCGTGTACTGCGCCCAGTACCTCTCAATCTTCGGCGGCTTGTCCGCGTACAAGCTCTCCCAGATGTACCCGCCCGCGCGGTACCCCGCGACGAACATCAGCGCGCAGAATACGATGTTCCCCAGCGTCAGCTGGGATTTCGGGCTCTTGTTTGTGGGAGTGCCATTTGTGCGGAAAAGAGAGCGGGTAGGGGATTTGGCGGTGTCGGAGGTGGTGAGGGGGAGCGCGACGTCCGTCTTGGACATGGTCGTGGGCACTGGATGAGAGGAGAGGACACGCAGCGAGACGGCATCGTGGGTTCCTGGATTGTGGCTCTGTGATGGAGCACTCGTCATGCGTGGACCTGATACTGATACCGAGGACCGATCGAGGGGACATGATTGGCTAGTGGCGATCTCCGGGAGACCTGTGACACCTCCTCCACAGTAAACCAATTAGCACGGGTTGGCAATCCCAATATTTACTCTCGATTAACTGTGTCTATCACGTCTGGACGAATAATAGCGAACTGCAGTTACACGATACATCCAAGAACTAAAGTACAATCGGGTAGCATCGAAAACACAATGGAGACACCAGGCACCCAAGAAACAACCAGCGCACTGAGCCCACTAACTACGTCCGACTATTTGCCCTGCCCCTGCTCTTCTGGAACGCGCCCCCAGTCAGTACATTCCCCACCCCCTTCACCACATTCCCCGCCCCGTAAATCACCGCCCCCGTCGCGAACACCGCCCCGCCCACCAGCGCAAACGGCACCGTCAGCAGCACCGCGACGCCCTTCCCCACATCCCTAAGAATACTCTGCTTCTCCGCCTCGTTCCCCGCCGAGAACGCCTGCGCCTTCGCGCGCCACTCCTCCTGCACGCGCGGGTCGGGGTGGCGCTCCGCGATGCGGTTCATCGCCTCGACCAGCTTGCGGCTCTCTTCTTGCTCGGCGGCTTTGTTCCCTGTTTCTTTGGCGCGCTCGTAGTGCTTCATCTGCGCGTCGAGGTCTTCGACGGCGTGACGCCAGGCGAGCTCTTCCTGCGTCGGGTTCTCGTCGTTGTGGACGGCTTTGGATGGGTCCATGGTGTAGTAAGTAGTATATCTGGTGCAAAGGTCAATCTTTACATGATATGCGAAGGGTAGAGAGACGCACCAAGGAGGAAGATATAGCTGAACAGACGAGCGAGAGAAATGAATACCACAGGCGCTGCTTAGCGTTATGGTATAAACGGAGTGTCCTCACGCAGGCCAGGGTACGTCAGAGATCGATCTTGGCCGTGAACGGGTAGGCAGGTGATCTAGCTCCACAACACCTACGTGCGGTGGTGTTCGGACGCCGATGCGGTGTATGAGCGGATGAATGGGCCCGATGGTGTACAGGGTACGCCGGGGGACATCCGATTGACGTTTAGCCCAATTTATGACTGGAAGGATCTTCCGCCTGGCTGGCTACATAGGGTAAGGAGCTGGAGGTGCAGTTCGTCAAGATGTGTCAAACTTCCAATGGCGTTCCCGCCATCTTTTCCGAAGACTAGAGAATGCTAAGCCTGACTTGGCGGTCCTTCCGGTATCTGCAAGCAAAATCATCTGATGAAATGAGTTTGCTTGGCCATGATTATACTCTAAGGAATTTGAAGATGCCTGCCGCCACAGACCGCGTCAAGGAGGACGAGAGGGCCGTCTTTTCAACGTTATAAGCGCGTTCAAATGGCCCAGGGAACTCGAGGACTCGAGGACTTGTCGTTCGAGGTTCAAGTCATCGAGATGATCCTCTTGAAGATGCCTGCCGTCACAGACCGCGTCAAGGAGGACGAGAGGGCCGTCTTATCAGAGTTATAAGCGTGTTCAAGCGGCCCAGGGAACTCGAGGACTCGAGGACTTGTCGTTCGAGGTTCAAGTCTAGACGATGGGCTTCCTGTCCTTTGTTTGCAATCGTACATGGTCTGAACATCCAGTTCGTGCAGTCGCATCAAGATCCTCGGGGAGGGGGGGGGGACTCGAGCCTCGGCCGACATAGAAAGTGTGAAGCGCAAGGTTGAAGACGAGGATATATTAGACTCCAGGTCAACCCATGACTCTATTGAACTGCATTCGCTTCGAGCGTGGTTCTTGTAGATCAGGAGCCCGCTATTTATTATGGAGATTTCGACACAAGGCACCGCTTCTCCCGCCTGCTGCAGCGAGCGACCTAGTCTTCCGTCCATTTCACTCTCGCGCTATAGATGGACTACAACTGTATTCAATTGATGCTACTGTATGGATCCATTGTACTAGCTACCATTAACCTATTCGCATACAGATATGTCTATTACAGATACACATCACATTCGCCTCATCACCAGGTCCGAGTAGTAAAACAAGTCCGAAACAGATAGTAACATAAGTATGTGCCCAGGAAGAAGGAAATCGCAAGCCATCGCGAGACTAGTAATCGTCGTCTTCCACGAGATCATCCTCGTCTATAATCTCCATGAGTTCATCCACTGCCAGTGATGAAGGACGTCTCCTTCGTAGGCGGGTGACCAGTGACCGTAGACCGTCCAGCCCGTTGAACCGCGGCTTCTTGAGCAGGACGTGGATGGTGGGGGCTGTAAAAGGGACTTCTTCTTCTTCTTCCTCGTCTTCTTCCTCATCGTCTCCGATGATACGTCCGCGGAAGTCGACCTGAGGGACTTGCAGGAAATCTGCGTATTGTGGTGGGACACAGGGGGTGTGATCCTATCACGCCGTAAAATCAGTACGTGAAGGCCGCTCATTGATGCGACGACTTACCCCACTGTAGGACATGTCCTCTTCATATACCATCTCGTCCATGTAGTCGTAGTCCAGTTGCTTTGTCAACCCGGCTGAGGAGCCTCTGAAGATGACATTCGATTCGCGGCGGACGATGCGCCGTTGAGGTTTCGTCACTATAATCGTAGGCAACTGTCTTGATGGACGAGACGGGGCTTCGTTCTTGCGCTCCTTCTCGCCAGAGTGCGAGGTAATGAGCTGTTCCATCTCCTGCAGGTTCTCGAAGAACCCGGGGGGAAGCTGGGGCTCGCCGCCGTCGGCGAGCGTGTCGATGGAGGTCGTAGTCGTACTGCGGCTGACACTCTGACGGTCCGCGCTCCTGTCAACCGGCGCGTTCTCTTTCGAGTTGAGGGAAGCAGTGCTTGCGCGGGGCTTCGGGCGCGAGGGGAGGGTGAGGAGGCGCTCCATCTCCTCGAGGTTATCCAGGAATCCTTCCGGAAGATGCACAGAGCTGCCGTCGGCAAGAGTATCGATGCTCGCGTCGGAAGCGGTGCTGCAGTAGGAAACGTCTGCGGCACTATGACGGTCGGGAGAAAGCAAGCCAGCGCCCGATGAACAACTGGCATCGAGAGGTTCCTCAAGAATGGGCTCGAGAGAGTACGGCGGACAAGGATCAGTGCAGGCACTGTCGGTGTCCAGGGGCTCCGTGAGGTCCACGACCGCGGGGCTTGACACGGTTGATAAAGGCTTGACGTCGTCTTCATAGACTACATTAATGAGTTCGTAATCCAGATGGCTGGCTGACGAGGACAGGGAAGTGGTGACATAGCAATCTTTCTGCAGTTCACTACCTTCCAAGTCGGAGTCGTCGACAAGCACGAAGTCGTCAAGCCTTTCCAAGGCGCCCGTTCGTCTTGCGAGGGAGCCTTCCTTCTCCGTCGGCGCGATGCCATGTTCGGCGCCGCGTGAAGTACGGCTTCTCCTGCGCAGGGTAAATGGGGAAGCACCCGAGGACCGCTTGCCTCTTCCTTTGACCAAGGGCATCGGCAGTGATATCTTCACAGAGACCGCGTCGACAGATGACGTCGTATGGGTAAGGTCAGAGTCGTCGACGATCAGAGTCCGAGTCAGGGCCATGTCAGATGAGTGTAGGAGAGAAGGCGGGTACTGAAGCCCTAAGCGAACTCTTGCGGTTTATATGCAAGAGGTTTCATTCGAGACTGGCGGTAGTCGAGGCTGTCAGCCGCCCGCGATCCCAACTACCGCACGTCATTGTCAGAGAAAGATGTCAGCCGTGCGTGGTCGAAGACTCGGAAAGCCAGTACGACTGGAAGATTTGCAGGTAATCGTGACTTCCACCTAGGATGGATCCCGACCGATAGACAGGTTCGAATGGAATCCTCACTATGTATCGATAAGCGTTTATACAGCGGGCTCGTGTGTATCAATCCCGGCTGCGCGTTCAGACGTTGTGAGAAGACAGAGCAGCAGCAAAAAGACAACATGTACAGCGAACAAGGTCCTCCACCGTCGGAAAACACAAACTCACAGCAAGCGGCAACACCCGACGTGTGCTTCTCATTTGCCACATCTGTCTCGGCCAATCAGATCGGCTCATCGACGTGGAAGAGGCTGTTCCCGCTGTTCTACAACAATGATAGCTCCGGTGGTAGTACTTATATTAAACATCCACTGGTAGGAAAGCTAACCATAACTGCGACACCCATAATGTCCGGGCCAGGCGAGAAGCAATCCGAACATCAACAGGAGCACACTCCCGTACCTCCTCCGAAAGTACTTGGGCACGTGGACGCGCACCAACCACCTCTCTTTGTGTTCGGTACGCCCGACATAGGAAGGTACGGCCTGAGCCTCTGCCTGCATAGGCGAGGCAATCGGTGGTACATCGTCTGGGGGCGCGGGTATGGCATGGCCGTCAACCGCTGGGTCGCCTCGCTCAACAGCCCGCGACGCTCCGACCCGCCCACGACGGCACCCCCCAAAGGACTCGAGCACCTGAACCACAGGTTCTGGTTCAACCCTACCCAGGACCCTGAGAAGCTCCTGCAGGACCTGCTGGCCGCTGACAAGCCCGTCATCAAGCTGACAGGAAACTCAAGGAGGGAGAAATGGGCAGGCGACCCCACGGGGCGGACGGAGATCGATGCGAAGCAGGTCGAGGTCCTGGTGCCTGACGACCAGCTGAGCAGACGGTGCGCATTTTGCGGGAGCTGGGAGAATACCGGCGACCCGCGCTGGTGCAAAGTAGAGGATGGGGAGGACCCCGTCTATTGGTGCTCGGTGAGTGAACGTTTACCGTAATCCGCGAGTGACAAATTAATAGCAACGCAGGCATGCGATCGCAACAAGTCTCTCTGGTCCAAGATATCCGATTTATTTACCAGCATCCCCGATGACCGCTACTTTTGATCAGTGGCCTTCTTTATCTCAAAGAATGATTCCAAGCTAGTGTGTAACAGCCAGTAAAGTCGAAGACATGATTTCCATGCTGTACGACCAAGATTTCCATTGTCCATGTAATTGCTGGACACATTATGTACGGTAACAAACTAGGGATCCATGGTATCGACACGCACCGATCACAACTGAATTCCTTACTCGTTATACCTCATCGGATCCTGCTATGCCTCATGTTCTCGATCATGCGAACTCGGCAGGTCGGTCTTCAGCTTGAGCAGCGCGGATTGCGGGCTCAGGGCACGCGTCGGCGCACCTTGCTTCGCACTGGGCTTCACGCACAGTCCGACAACGATGACGCTCAAGTCGACGAGGATGTTCCCGCCTGTAGACCGATCACAATCGGGCCGTAACGATCAAGCTTGTCGAAGAGAGCAGGCCACCCATCGCTGGCACCGGAAGTGCTGGCGGCTGCTACCGCAACTTTGCTGTTTGTCTCGGCGCCCGAGTCGCCTGGGTCCGTGTTCTTGAGGAAGTTCACATCCGAAGGGCTCAGGGTGCGACTATAGTTGCTCAGCGTGCTCAGCGTCTGGGTCCTGGACGAATTGAAGTCCGACAGTGCTTGGCTGTAATCCCACGTCTTGTAGGAGGAGGTTGGATAGAGGAGACAGACAACAACCGACGGAGCAATGTGTGTAGTTCCCAGTGGATAACAGACCGAGCCCTTGAGCCGGCTCCACCCTGAGAAGACCGACTCAATTCCCTGGCCCAAGGCGACCCTATAGTAGACGGTCATCGAGAATATCATTTGCCTCTGATCATGAGATGTGACCGCGGCAAGCGTTGAACGTTGAGCGTTAGACTCCGACGGAGAAAGCTCACAACATCACAACAATGGATGCCATAAAGCAAGCGAGACGCGACGCGTCGCGAGCAATTTACGCGTTATTTGTAGCTGTCTAGCCGTGTTATTCCCGGAAGCTCTAGCGGCACCTCTAAGTAGCTTCCAGTGGAGTGGGCGAATGCTTCGCGTGCTGCACTTCCCCTCTCATCGAGTCCTCTCGTACCGTGCCACAAACGCAAGCCCTCTAACGCTCCGGTCTCCCTTCCGTCAGATATTCGCAAGCACTGGCATGAGCGAAGCCGAAGCAACCGGCGCCGGCTTGAAGAGGTCCGTGGACGAAGACCCGAGCTCGTCCAAGCGCGTTAGGATCGAGTCCGAAAATGCCACGCCCGAGGACACACCTGTGCCTGATGCGAAGGACGTAGAGCCCGAAGCCAAAGAAGGGGTAGAACCAGATGGGGGGAACGAAAAAGGAAAGAAAGGCGGGAAGGCGAAGGGTAAGCAGGGGAAGGATAAGAAGGCGAAACCCAAGGGCAAGGGCAGGCGGCGGGGCACCCGCCAGGATGGCTCGGGGGACGAGGGCGAGTCGGGACCAAAGACGCCGCGCCTCCCGAAGAGACAGTGTGCCCTCCTCATAGGGTTCTGCGGCACCGGGTGTAATGGGATGCAGATGTACGTGTATATCCGTGCTATGTCATGTCACTGCAGATGCATTCTAACTAACCACCCGTGCGTGAAGCCAACCGAACGTCCGGACGATCGAGGGCGTGCTCTTCGACGCGCTCGTCAAAGCAGGCGCGGTGTCGCAGGACAACGCCGACGACCCAGTCAAGGTATTTATTTCAACATTGGCCGTCCATCCGTCCATTCACCCCCGCGCTGAAATATCCATTGGCCTACATTGCATTTTCTTGATTTGTGATTGAAGGTGAATCTCGGCCGCGCAGCGCGTACCGACGCGGGTGTACACGCCGCTGGGAACGTCGTGTCTATGAAGCTGATTACGGAGGTGCCCGGCGTGAGCGACCTGAAGGGGCGCATTAACGAGCTTCTTCCTCCAGAGATCCGTTTGTGGAGTATTGTAAGTCTGTCTTCATGGACTCCAGCCCCGGGGAAACAAGCACTCAAGGAAATACTTCCAGCTGAGAGTGCAAAACTCGTTTAGTGCTCGGACGTAGGTCCTTACTTCACATGCTCCACCGGATGTAAGTACGATCGCGTCTCTCCCAGGTTCTGTGACAGCCGCAAATACACATACACCTTCCCCTCCTACGTCCTCCTCCCCCCAAAGCCCGGCAGCGGGCTACACAAAACCTTCAACCTCAACCCCTCTGGCGAGTCCGCGGAGCCCGCCGTGCACCCATTGTGGTCGTCCTCCCTGCAGGAGCCGACGAGCAGGGAGGAGGATCTGGAGTGGAAGCGGCGGTGGCGCGTGGACCCTGAGCGGCTACAGGTTCTACGAGATATTGCGCAGAGGTTCGAGGGGTCGCATAATTTCCATAATTTTACGGTGGGGAGGGATTTTAGCGATAGGAGTACGCAGAGGTTTATGAAGAAGGTCGAGGTGAGTGATGGACTGTACAGGTAAGGGATTATTCAGACGGGGGAGATGATGTGTTAGATCCCGGATCCTGTGGTACATGGGAACACGGAATGGATAAGCGTGCTATGGCACGGGCAAAGCTTCATGCTACACCAAGTAGGTAATCTGCATTTAGGTCTCGCCACTGACTAACTCGATCCTTTGGTAGATAGTGAGTTTATGGCTATATGCAACATAGGCGGACTTGAAATATTCCATTGAACAGCGCAAAATGATGTCCGTCATGGTCCTCGCATGCCGCACCGGCACTCCTCCCCAGATCATCGACGAAGTACGTCCCTCCCTCCCTCCCTCCCTCCCCGCCCTCCCTCTTCACCCCACTCACCCACTCACCCAAATAGCTCTACGGCCCGCGCACGGTCTTCGTCCCCAAAATGCCCTCGCTGGGGCTACTCCTCGAGTACCCGATCTTCGACGGCTACAACCGCCGCGTCGCGCCCGTCAACCAGGGGCACCAGCCCGGCGACGCGGAGTACCGCCCGCCGATCGACTTCGAGGTGCACAGGGCGGAGATTGACGCGTTCAAGCAGGAGTTTATATATAAGGGGATTCGGGAGATCGAGGGGAGCGATGGCGTGTAAGTGATCATCTCTCTTATGGGTGTATGAGGGGAAAGAGCTGAGGGTTGAGCAGCTTCGACGCGTGGGTGCGCCATATAGACTCGTACGCCGGCGGCGACCTGGGGTATTTCAACCCCAAGGGCGTCATTCCCTCCACAGCCGTCCTGAAGAAGGGCGAGCGGCGAGAAAATCCGTTCAGGGAGAAGAAGCGGTTCGACGCGACGGGGAAGGCGGACAAGTTGATTAAGGAGGAGGAAGAGGAGGAGGCGTCTGAGGAGGAGACGCTGGACAAGGCGAAGCTGGCTGATATGGAGGGGTGAATAGACGGGGAGGTGACATTAGGAAGGTATTTAATGTATTTCAAGAAGTAAAATGGAATCACCCCTCTTTCCGGTAACTTGTGTCTTTATGTGCGGCTGGTCTACTAGGAGTACCTTTGCGACGCTCATAAGGTAGCTCATGCGGAAACACAAGGGAACGATGAGATATCATAAAGTAGATTGTTGACATATGGAAGTGATCGCAGTCTCGAATGAAGAGAGAGGAAAAAAAAACAGAACCCGAACATCTCCAACCCAAGCAGCCCATCCCTTAAGCCTTGAACTTCCCCAACAAACTCCTCAACGGCGTCACCTTCCTCGCACCCTTGCCCCCCTGCACCGCCCCCGCACTCGCCCGGGGCTGGTCGAACGACCTCCTCGCGGCGTTCTCATCCCGCACCTCGCGCATCGGCGGCCGGTTCTCCTTCACACTCGCGCGGGGGTACCGCTCCCCCGTGGCCCGGATATCAGCGCCCGCCTGTCCAAGTCTGGGCTGCATGAACTGCGCGTGCGGCGGCGACACCGTGTGCCGCCGCGCGCCGCCCGCGCTGGCCGGGACGCGGGTGGGCAGGCTCCGGCGCGCGAACTTGAGCTTCCCGCCATCAGCGCAGAGGCCCGGGGTGGGCCCGTCGACGACGACGACGCTTTGGCGAAGGGGGGAGGGGTTGCGCGGCGCGATGGGGTGCGCTTGGAGGTGCGGGGCGGCGGGCGGGTCGGTGAAGCGCACGACCTTGGCGGTCTTGAGGATCCCGCGCTTGGGCGGGTCGGACAGGCGCGCGGGGCGGGGCGGCGTCGACGCGCGCTGTGGAAGGCGCGGGGTGGCGGGCAGGACGGGGACGGGCGCGGCGATTGGCGCACCTTGACGTTGGCCCTGAAGTTGACTTTGCCCCTGACCTTGGTCTTGAGAAGACGAAGACGACTCGGTCGGCGAGCACAGCATCGCGTCCCACACGCTGGGCTCGGGGGCGGGGGCGGGGGCGGGGGCGGGGGCGGGGGCGTGGTACGCCTCCAGCACGCTGTCGAGCGTCGCCCACCCGCCCGACTCGTCCGACGAGCTCGAGGGCGGCGGCGTCTCCTCGCCGTTGCCCTTGGAGGTGGAGGCAAGAGCCGCGGAGCCGCGCATGTCCCGGCCGGGCGGGAGCGCCGCGGCGCGCGCGCGCAGGTCCGCGATCATCTCGTCCAAGCGCATATCCACCGTCCCCGTCCCCGTCCCCACCGGCGGCGGCGGGGACGCGCTGAGCTCGCACGCCGGCGAGCGGAACGCGGTCGGCATGCCGGGGTACTCGTCGTACGTCCCCGGCGCGGGCTTGGTGATGTTGAGCGGGGCGAGCTGTTTCTTGCCCCGGCGCACGGCGAGCGGGACGGGCGGGGGGAGGGTGTGCGAGGAGGTGGAGAGCGAGATGGGGAGGAAGGCGGTGGAGGTGGAGACGATGAGTGTTGGGGGGCGCAGGGGGGAGGGGGCTGCGGCCGAGGTGGGATCGGGGGAGACGTCGCGCGACCACGCCTTGGCGTGCCCCGGGAGGGAGATCTCGGTCCCGAAGACTTGCGCCTCGCGCCGCGCTGCCGAGAGCGAGCGTTTGTGGGCCGGCTTGGAGGGCGAGTCGGCGGTAGCTGGGAGGCCATGGTGAGGAGGGCTGCGCCGCTCCCGCCGCTCGTGGAGAGTATCTAGCAAGGTTGAGCGCGGGATGACTGAGCCTTGCGGGATCCAGGCGACCTCTGGCAGCTCGGGAGGGTCGGCCCATGGGCCGTGGGCGAGCCCGTCGGCGGTGGGGTCGATCTTCCCCTGTGTAATGTCAGTCACTGCGATTAGGGATTAAGAAGGAGTGCTAGCACGCACAGTCCACCGAGTAACACTGCGCCTCTCCAGGACGAGGTGTGCCAGCCGCGGTGCAGTCGGGACAGACACGACGACACCGCGCTCGGCTGCGAGCACGGGCCGCTTCAGCTCGTCAAACGCGAGCGTGAGGAAGGACGGGCCCTTGTACGGGTTCTTGCAGAGCGAGGAGAAGAGGGGGACGTCGCCGAGGGAGCTGAGCGAGGAGCTGAAGGTGAGGGAGACGGAGAGGGCGAGGAGGTTGGTGGAGGAGGAGGAGGAGGAGGAGGAGGAGAGGGCGTCGGCGAGAGAGAAGGAGGGGGAGGGGTCGAGTGAGGGTGGCATGGTTGTGACGGAGGAAGGAGCTCGGGCGGTGAAGGAGCTATTGGGCCGGGTTATATAACATAAACGGTGGCTGACGAGCGACGCATTCTAGTCTGGACTGGCTGGCCAACCTCGTCCTGCTCATACGACACATCTCATTTTGATCCCACGGGGGACACCAAGGCACGACGATTCGCAGATACTCACCTGGGCAAGGCATGGAGTCGTTCACGGCAGAGGCCAGAAGAAGTGTTCCATCATGGAATCGTTCTTCCTGACATGTGCCAGAAAGACACACTATTCAGCGCAAGTCTGTACAAACCTCTGTCGATGTTAGGGCACGCAGAGACGGCGCTGGATAGACTTGATAGAGCGTCGAACAGGCAGCGCTCATGTAACGGATCAGTTGCCCACGTGGTTATCTCTCTCTCCCGACGCGACGGGATACACCGCTTATATACGCGGGCTCGTCCCGCCCTCACCGTGCCAAGCAACACAAATCCGTGTAAGACCAGTGCCAACCAACCCCGCATCCGCGTGACGCATCCTCGCAGGCCATCCTCGCGCGCCTCGAAGCCCCATCACCCTCCCACCCTCCTCCCACTGACACCGAACCCCGTAGCGCCCTAACCGCCCGCCTCGCCCTGCCCGCCCCGCGCGCCCTCTGCGCCTCCAACGGCACGAAACTCCTCGCATACATCCACCAGCGCCAGCTTAGCCGCCGCCGGTACGCCCACGGGCGCCTCGAGTACCCCTTCACGCTGCCCCCCCCTCCCGCCGGACAACACCCCCTTCCCACCGGGGCAGTTCCACCAGGACGCGTCCTCGGGGAACCCCAACATTTCTGCGCGGTACGTGGATACCCTGGTGGGGGACTCTGACGCGGCGATGTCGTATTGGTATCGCCTGGACACCACGACGGTGGATCGGTGGATGAGGACGCGACGTTCAACTTGGACGCGACGCTGCTCGCGCTGCTCTCCCACCGGTACGTCCTCCCTCCTCTCCTTCCTCCTTACCGCCCTTTTCCTCCCCACCTTGAAACTCCTACCCCAACCCCATCCGTAGCGCACGCATCGGGCGAAATCGTCGCAGAGAGCAAGTACGCCGCCGACGTCACCGGGTTCTCCCCGCTCATCTGCGCGGCCGACGCGCGCGACGAACACAACGCAGGAGGCGGGCGTGTACGCGCAGGCGGCCGCCGCGGCGAGCGCATTCAGCGGGGCGTGGGGGGTGGGGGGGTGGGAATGCGACGGCGGTGGCGGTGACGGTGTTCAGGGAACTGGTGGAGATTACGACGGAGGTTGAGGTGCAATATGTGAGTAAAGGATTATGCAAGAGGGGCTGGTGGGGTGCTGACGTAAGCGGTAGTTGCTGCATGAACGGTGGGAGGAGGCGAGCGCGGTGGTCCTCGTATGCAGCAGCGGGCTTGGGGAGCACTGGTGCAAAAATATTAGACTTTATGACAGCGCTGTATGCATCGCACGCTGCAATCGAACCCGCCGCCACATGCCGATTTCGGAACCCGTTCCCATTCCGTCCCCGTTCGTTCGATATTGTTATCGGTGCATCCCTCGAGGGATGAAGAGACCTGAGCTGCGCGATCGTGCCCTGTCAGTGCGTAGAACAGCAGCCGGCTCTCCTTGTCGAACCATCTGGACACTCGACACCTGACGTGCGGGGACATTACTCAACCCTTCTGTGCCAAACGCACTGCAAGGTGAAGTGATGCCCCCGCGGGGGTGAGTAGCGGAAGACCCGAGAGCCCAGATGCAATTATGTGAGTGGATGATGAATGGGGTGGGTGGGGGGGGGGGGTGACGTAGCATGGCAGCGGTTGCAGCGGTTGAACTAGGCAACTGAATATGAGAGGAGGCAAGCACTGGCACGCAGTGGTCCTGCGCAGTCTGTGATACGCACGCTCGGTCGCGGGCTCGAGACGAACTGGCACACAAGCATCAGGATTACGATTGCGGTGGACGATGCAGGCCCGTCGGAGCCCGCGACAGCGCTATTGTACTGGCGCCGAGGTCCGTTCTTGTTCGATGTGGGTACTTACATAGCTTGAGGAATTGAGAGACGTGAGCTGCGCAATCATTCCCTATCAAAGACCCCCGAGTGCAGGGTGATAGCGGGCGGGCGCGATTTTCCTTGTCGATTATTGAGCAGTCGTTGCTGGTGTACGCGGGCACAGTTTGCCTCTCCAAGGAGCTTGCGTTGTGCGCTGAAGAGAAAACAGAGTGTGCCCTCGCCGTCAGCTACGACGAGAGAGTGATGGGAAGGTGACACAGTACTGGTGACATCCCAGTCACATCACACCCCCTATTGTCTCGCTGCATTGTCCTTGTCCTCAAAGCGGCAACTGCTGCCTCCCGCTCGCCTCATTGTCCGCCTTTGACGCGCTCAACACGCCTAACAATTGGAGCCATGCCAATGACTGGCGCCACGGTTTTTGTCCTGCGGGGTATAAGGACGGGTGGCGGACACCCCTGTCTCCCGAGCCGCCCGTGTACTGTGTATACGCACCTCCTCCCCGTCTTGTTCTTGTTCCCGTTGAGGCGATCTTTCTTGTGCTTGCTATAGACTCTGCATCGCCCCGCGTCTAATACCCGCCTCGCGTTCTCATCATCACCTCGCCTTATCCTACACCGCATCCGAAGATATAATACAACCCTCGTACAATGTCCCGCAGCGCCACCCCCGCTCTCTCCTACACGAGCTCCTGCTCCTCCACGACGACGCTCATCACCCTCGCGAGCGACCGCAGCCTGCCCCTCCCCCCGCCGCCGACCACGAACGACCTGCCGCCCGCCGAGCGCGCACGCCTCATGCGCTCCACGCGCAAGATCGGCGCACTGCTCGGAACGACGCCGCACTTCGCCGACGCGGACCCGTACACGCCGTACCCATGTTATCCCTACAACCATGCGCACTCCCGCTCCGCGTCTTCGACGTCCCTCCTCCCCATCGGCCCGGCTGCGCGGCTAAGGGACGAGGAGGAGCGCGCGCGCCTGCAGGAGAAGCGCAGGCGGCGCCAGGGGAGCGTGTTCGAGGTCGTCAGCGGCGACCTCGCCAGCTTCGAGGTCGTCCCGCGGCGCTCGGTCGACAGCGTGTCCTCGGCGAGCACGGAGAGCAAGGGTAACGGCAAGGTGAAGCGCCAACCGCGCCCGCTGGTGCTGTGTCTCGAGACGCGCGCTGTGGAGGCGCACGGGGAGGAGGACGTGTTTTCGCTGCCGTGCACGCCGACGACTGCGACTGTCCTCGGCGAGTCGATCAAGATATCGACCCCGCTGCCGGGTGCGACGCCTCTGTCTCCTCTGTCGCCCAATCACTCTTCATCACCGCACTCGCGTATCCCTGCGACGCCCCACTCCTCCCGCTTCTCGACGTTCACGTCCGGGTCTCCCCTCGTCTTTGCGCCCGTCACCACCCCCGATACACCCAGACCGCACTTTACCAAGTCCTCCTCTGCGCCGATGACACCTCTCACACCGCGCTGCTACTCTTCCTCCTCCCCTTCCCCCTCCCCGAAAACGCCCAGCCCGACGCTCAACACGCGCCGCAAGAAGATGGCCAAGCTCGCGAAGCAGTTCGGCGAGAACGTACCGCCCGAGCTCGTCTTCCACTCCCACGCCCAGTCTCACTCCCCATCACACTCTCACTCCAGCTCTCAACCCCAAGCCACGCCCAAACCGGCACCAGCGCAGGAGAAGACGCGGAGAAGGCGCAGCATGAGCGTCGACTTCGCGTTCGAGGTCGCGACGGGCACGGGCACGGTCGTGGGCAAGGGCGTCGCGTTCTCGGGCGGGGAGAACTGGGTTGGCGAGTGGAATCGCGACATCAGGGACGTGCAGAAGGGGCTCCGCGCGCTCAGGGTGCGCTAATGAAAATGTGAAGCCTTCACGACGGTTATCGCTATGGACAGGGGCGGTTGATCCGCCCATGCTCGGACTCGGACAGCGATTGATTGAGGATGTAGCGTTTACTTGTTTTCTGCTGTTGTATTATGTGTCGGGATTCTGCTGTATCATGGTTGGGATTCAGAGTGTATATCTAAGTATGCTACGTCTTTATCTGTGTCGTCGAGTCTTATTAATGTAATTCCTAATCGTCGTGGTCCTCTCCCGTGCAATGTCACTTGTGTCTGCTGCTTCCGGAGTTTGTCGCCCGGCGTGGTTTGACTTCCCGCCACAATACCTGATACGGTAGGCATTTATCCATATGAGGTAATGTCACCGGACTAGTTGCATCTATATCGGTAGAGAAGTTTCTTATGATGGAGAGCACTGAGCGGTATAACGCCATCCAGCCCAGTTGGAGTAGCTCATAAGCTATATGCCCCTCCTTTGAGAGGGGTTCTGCCAATCCCGCAATACGTCGCACTTTTCGACCAATGGGCAAGTTCCGGCGTGCCATGTTTTGCTTCAGTACGGTGCGACAAAATGCGGACTTGATTGTCTCGCGTCCCGTACAACTAGTATCATAGAAAGACGTTATTTGTGCAAAGAGAATGCATACTTTGTCCAGTACAATATTGCAGTAAATGTTCAGTACTGCATTGCATCTCAATCTGCCCCAATTCCTACATGCTACAGTCAGAATCAAGGAGCAGCCAGATATATATTGGGAGTTTGGGGTATCCAATTGCTAGAGATTCAGCTATAATGATTACTTCATGCATTATTAATTAACGTACACCCATCTTGCGCATTCCGGGAGACGGGACGTCTCTCGGACTGCGCAGGATGGTAATATTCAGCTGGCCTACTAAACGGAAACCTCCACTTATTGTGTTTGGCTACCCAGCCTGCACTGAGATCCGAGGCTCTTCAAGTACACTTAACAGACGGAGCTTCCCGAGTTCAAATGCCCATATGAATGAACGGCACCCAACGCCGCGCCGGGATGCCTCTCGCGCGGAGCATCACCACGGCACGGTGCAAAGCCAGCGGCACCTCCTTCAAATCCGGCGTGCGCCTCCCCCCGCGAAACAGATACGCATACACCTCCCTCGTCACGACCGGCCCGTCCGCGTCGTCCATCGACCACAGCGTCGCGACCGCGCCGCGGAACCCCGCGAAGAGGAACCCGCCCGCGAGGTGCAGCGACTCGTCGAGCAGCTGGATGTCGCCCAGGCCCGTCTGGCACGCGGAGAGGAAGACGAACTGCGCAGAAGGGAGGGAGAGGCTGATCAAGTCGGAGAGGTGCAGGCGCGCGCCGTCGGGCACGAGCAGTCCGCTCTTGAACGGGTCTGCATGTTCTTGGACGCCGTGGCAGGAGAAGTGCGCCCAGGGGCAGGAGGGCAGAACGGAGGTGATGCTGGCGGTGGACGCTTGCTCGTTGATGAGGCTGACTTGGAGGTCGGGTGGTACAATTTCGTGGATGTAACGCGCTTCGGTGAGCGTTTCGGGAAGGGGCTCGTAGCCTTTCGTTTGCGAGATGGCCACTGAGAGCAACTTGAAGTCCGGGAAAACCGCCCGCTCAGCAGGAGATAAGGAGCTAAGGCTCGGTATATACGACGATATGTATTGGGGCATATTTGGCATTTTATCCCCTGCATAGAGAAGAGCGGCATGGAACGGCAGACCTGTGAACGCTCCTGTAGGACACCACCAGACTCTGTTCGACTTTGGCTGTCCACCTTTCAATTCCCATCAGCAAATACCACGGCACAAACTGACGAACCTCGAGAGAGTGGAGGGCCGTTATCACGGGCTCGACAACATTCCTCCATAGCTCATCCAAGACATCCTCTAAAGATCGGAGTGGGGACTTGCCTCTCATCATGTGCCTCGTCACCCCGTCGCGCTCTTCTGCGTCGCGAGCAGCGTTACGATACCCAACTGCCAAGCCCGAAACGTTCTGCCTGAGTTCAAGTGCTCTGTCCTTTGTGATAGCTCTCAGCGGGACCGCATAGACCACCGTCTCACCCGCAGGGATAATCAACGCGTCGCATCTGTGAGAGCTGCAGTTCAGTATGATCACCGATCCGTCCTTGGGTTCGGGGAAGATCTGCTCGAGAGAAGGCGGCTCCATGAAGCTGGAGAATCCGGGGAGACGCCGGATGTCGGTCATCAACATATCCCATTGCCGTGATAGCCTCATTGCCGGGGATCCTGTATCGGTTGAATCCACTGCGGCGTGAGGTGCAGTGTCGGTGTTCTGAGGATTGTTGACGGCGCGCAGCTGTGCCGACAGTTGCAGGAGCTTGGCGTGTAACTCTGGAGAGGCAGATTCGAGCTCGTCGAAGCTGCTCCTCAGGTTGAGCATCTGGGTGAACATGATGGATCGGCCGTGCTCCAGTGCCTCCACCGCCAGCGATAATTGATCAAGGTGAATGAAGCAGGCAGCCGCGTTAGTCGCTAGGTCCTTAGCATGCTCGACGGCGTGACGCCGGTCTTGTAGGTCCAAATCGATGGATACGGCGCGCGGGAGCAGTTTCAGTGCTTGGATGTATCCTTCCATGGCAATATCATACCTGCCATTGATATAGGCGTTATCGCCGAGTATAATTGCAGTCGTGAGCAGTATGTCAGGTGGTCCAATGTTCATTTCGATGGCCCTCTTCCAGCACCCAAGAGCCTCATCTAAACCCGCTTTAATGAGCTGCATGATGCTGACAGTGCCGAGGCGTTGCAGCAGCCATGGCAACTTTGGATGCCCTTCGGGACAATGCTGAATGGCTTGATACTGCGCAGCGATCGCTTCGTTCAGGTCCTCTCGATCTCCGATTTTCTCGTACTTTGCGAAATACGAATAAGAGAGGTTGCCGTAGTATAGGTAAAGCTCCTGCTCTGTGGGGTCTTGAGAAACCACCTCGATGGCGTCCTTTTGATACGCGATCGCCTTGTCCATGTACTCAAGCTCCCCAGTACGCGAGAACAGACCCTGGTAGGCGTTAGCGAGATTGGCCCGCATCGCAGGGGCCAGGTGATGCGACGGAGGCGTCTTGTCCAGGGCCGTCTCCCAGTGCTTGGCGGCAAGTTCGATGTCTTGAAGACGGTGGTCCCTGTTATAGCGTTTCCAGTAGGTGTTCGCCACACTGTTGTGTCTCATGATCACGTCGATGTGCGTATCGGGCGTTAGCTTCAGTGCTTGCTCATAATAGTCCATCGCGGCCTGCAAGTCAGCCTCCGCGTGGCTGTCGGCGTACCTGGACATGTATGCGTGCCCCAGGTCCTGCAAGAACCTCGGTCGCATGAGATCGCTCGCCTGCGATTTAACCACCGCCAGCTGCTTGTGCAGGAACGCAATCTCTAGGTCGCCCGGGTCCCCGAGGCGCTCGAAGCGGTAGTGGCGTGCAACCCCGAGGTTGTCGTGGTACGCCGCGATGTTGGGATCTCCGGGCAGAGAGTGCTTCAGGCTGAAGTCGTAGAACTCGAGGGCGGCGTTAAGGTCGCTGAGGAATCCGGTACGCTCGTAGCTCATCTGGAACGTGTTCCCGAGGTTGTTCAAGTACATCGTCCATGTCGGCCAGGGTATCGCGAGCGGGCTGCCGGCAATGACCTGTTGGAAGTGTCGGTGTGCGGCGGTTAGCAAGGTGAGGTCGCCTTCCTCTCGATACCGCTGTAATATGGAGTGCCCGAGGCGATGCTGTTCCCGTGAGAACTGATATACCTGGTCGTAATCTTCGCGACTGTACGATCCGGATGTCTATTCAGCGGACTGTCATCGCCGTATACTCGGAATATAAACGGCATACCACCTACATTTTTTGGCTGCAAGTATATAGGCTGGTATTTGCCCCCGTGGTCCTCCACAGGATAACACAAGTTGTAGTCGTTGAGATTAAGCTCAGCAACAGCAGTGATGACACTTCCCGTTGCTAGTTGTTGCTCCTCTGCCATCATTCTGTCCTGACCTTGTCTGAGCTCAGTAATGACGGTCAAGCTCGCGACTTCAAGAGCATGTACAGTTTCTTGGGTAAGATCCGGGCCTGTCGGGATGAAACAAAGTATTCAATTGCTTCAGCTAACAAGCCTTGCAACTACTGGCATTTGGATAGATTTCGATGGCTCGAGGACGGGAGATCTGCCATTTTGGGCAGCGAAGACATCGATCAAACCACGCCGGCGGGAAGCTTGTGAGTTGATGCAAGTCCGTGATGACGCCCATTGTAGAGAATGCACCAGACAACAGCTTTTGCTGGCGGCCTCCTGCGGTATTTCAGCACAAAGCTAGCCAGCGTATGATGAACCCCATGAGACAAAACGTTGTCTCGGTTTATAACGAGCCCCGAAGGGATTGAGCCCATTATGAGAAAGTCCCAGAATAGTGCCGGTGAACGCATCGCAGCCGAGCGTGATTGGCAGGCATGCAGCAACGCAGAGCAAAAGTGATCCGTCACGCTTGCCGATCCTATACTTAGGTCACGCAGGCCTGAAAAGCGTTCATCTCTCGCTCACGTTCCCCCACTCTCGTTCGTTCCTTCCGCCGGCCAGCAGCCAGGCCCCTGACACGCTCGACGCGTACACACTAAGCAGATATGTCGATGTCTGAGAGGCTGCCCGACACGCCTTACAAGGCTCTCCCCAACGTCCCCGGTCGCGACTTCGACGACGAGTACGACGACCCCAGGTCCCTCTCCTACCAGCACGCAGGAGATATGGGCGACGCGTCCCGTCCACGCTTCATGGGCGCGGCGCTCGCTGGCGAGGCCGGTTCGAGCCGGCCATCCCTCGAGTCGGGTCATCATTCCTACCCCTCCTTCGACAACAATTCCTCCGTGTACGCTCTGAACCCCGAGCATGGTGGGACGGAATCCCGCACAGGGAGCCAATATTTCAACTATCGCGATGACCCCAATGACGTCCCCATGCAGCCTCTCGGCGACTCGCGGTATCTCGACGAGAAGCGCGCAACCTACGCTGCCCCACGCCAAAGGTCGCGAGCCAAGATGATTCTAGCCGGTGTCGCAGCTGGTGTCATCGCTCTCATCATCATTGTCGTCGTAGCCGTGTACTTTGGGGTAGTGAAGAAAAATGACAATGACAAGTCCACGAATAACGACAGCGCCAGCAAGCCCTCGGGCACGAGCGGTAGCGGCGGGAAGGGTTCATCGAGTAATCTGGTGGTTACTGGAGGAGACGGCAGTAAAGTGACCACGGATAACGGTACGACTTTCACATATCAGAACTCCTTTGGCGGCTACTGGTACTGGGATCCGAACGATCCCTTCAACAATGGTGCCAAGGCCCAGTCGTGGACGCCGGCGTTGAACGAGACGTTCAACTGGGGCGTGGATAAAATCTATGGGTATGTAGATTATCGTTGCTTTAGTCTCTGCGCCACCCTGATGCGTGTGGCAATGCTAATCATCCTGTTCTATCTACAGCGTCAATCTGGGCGGTTGGCTGGTTACGGAACCTGTAAGTGCCCCTTACTCTAGCCCTCCTGTGGTATGTTGTTGTGCTGACTTACTGGCGGCGCTAATTATAGTTCATGTGCGTTCTCTGTGCAATCGATTTTCCCTGGTACTAAGTCGGCTTAATCCACACAGCGTACCATCCCTGTACGAGAAATACCCTAAAGCCGTGGACGAGTGGACTCTCAGCGAAGCGATGGCAGCTGACACTGCCAACGGTGGTCTCTCGCAGCTCGAGGACCACTATAAGACCTTCATCGTCAGTATCTTTGCAGGCTCGAGTCTGAGTTTCATTAGCTAATTACTGAATATGATAAAGACGGAAGAAGACTTTGCGCAGATCGCAGGTGCGGGTTTGAACTTTGTCCGGATTCCCTTGCCGTATTGGGCCATCGAGACTCGCGGAGACGAGCCTTACCTCGCAAAGGTGTGCTGGACGTGCGTGTCTTATAGATTGTACTGCACCTTGTTTCAGTATTCATTGTTGGATTTTTAGATATTTCCTGAAAGCCATCCGATGGGCACGCAAGTACGGTATCCGCATCAATCTCGATTTGCATTCCCTGCCCGGCTCGCAGAACGAGTGGAACCACTCGGGCAGGATGAATGACGTCAACTTCCTGAACGGCCCTATGGGTATTGCGAATGCCCAGCGCAGTCTGGATTATATCAGGATCATAGCTGAGTTCATCAGCCAGGACCAGTATAAGGATGTTGTCGTCATGTTTGGGATCACGAATGAGCCCGAGGAGGCCATCTTTGGTCTCGATAACCTTCAAAGATAGTGAGTATCTTACCTTCAGTGTTGACGACTGAGGGGAAGTAAGCCGATCGAACGCCGGTGCTGATGCTTTGATTTGATCCAGTTACCTTCAAGCGTATAACAACGTTCGGTTGGCCAGCGGTATTGGAGAAGGCAAAGGACCCATGATCTCCTACCACGATGCTTTCCTCCCGCTCACCCAGTGGGCCGGCTTCATGTCTGGCGCAGACCGTATCATGCTCGACGACCACCCTTACATCTGCTTTGGTGGTCAGTCCGCTGCGCCTATTTCCTCCTACGCCACGACGCCTTGCAAGACGTGGGGCGCGAACATGAACACGAGTATGTCCGCATTCGGCATGACAGCCGCCGGCGAGTTCAGCAACGCCGTGACCGACTGCGGCAAGTGGCTAAACGGCGTTGGGCTGGGCGCGCGGTACGACGGCACGTTCGCGGGCTCGACCGCAGTCGGGGATTGCGACACCTGGACGAACTGGCCGGCGTGGGACGACACCATGAAGAGCGGGATCAAGCAGTTCGCGCTCGCGAGCATGGACGCGCTGCAGAACTGGTTCTTCTGGACGTGGAAGATCGGCAACTCGACGGAGACGGGCAAGGTCGAGTCGCCCGCGTGGTCGTACCAGCTCGGGCTGCAGAACGGGTGGATGCCGACGGATCCCCGGCAGGCGGCGGGCGTGTGCGGGAATACCGCCCCGTGGGACCCGCCGTTGGCGCCGTCTGCGACTGGCGGGTCTGGGGCCGGACAGATCCCCGCGTCGGTCTCGAATTCGCTCCATTGGCCACCAACTACTATCAGCAATGTCGGAGGAGGCGCGACGGATCTCCCGACGTATACACCTACAGGCGCAGTGCCGACGTTGAGCGCGGAGACGTTCTCGAGTGCAAGTGGGACTGGGACGATTAATGCTGGCAACGGCTGGGCGAACAGTAAGGATACCGCCGGCGCGATGGTGGCTATTGCTACCTGTAGCTACCTCGACCCGTGGGTCGGCCAAGGTATTGCGCCGCCTTCGCCCCTCTGCTCGGGTGGTGCCCGCAGAAGAGACGTGCCGCTGCCTCTTATCACGCCGCCTCCTTCTCCGTCATAGGGCGGGATAGGCACGCTTGGGTGATATTGGGACTTCTTTTCTTGCTGGACTGAGCATGGTACGGACACGGACTTGTATAGATGAGCACATATATATCGCTACCGCACTCTCATTTTTATACCATATCTTCTGGAGCTTTATTGACATTAATGATCCCAACAATATCCTTCTTCTTTCCCTTGTGGTATCGGAGGTTTGGACGTCCCGTCGTCTGCGATAGTTGTTGTAGTATAGATCAGACGGACAGTACTACTACTAGCATCTGCGACGTTACTGCGTGGACCATAGCCTTTTCAGCCGAAAGTAAAGCAAACAGATTCCTATTGGCTGCCTTTTGCAGGCTGGCTAGATACAAGTCTCCTCAAGATACAGTTGGCCATGGCGGTATGCAGCGGTGACCTGGCACGCCGCACGCGTATACGGTTCCCTGGGTTCAAGTATGCGATTCCCAACATATGGCATCTGTGCAGGGTCAGGCGGCTTTGCGCCACTTTCTTCATTGACACTCGTAGGCCCCCGCTATCCCGGATGTTGGACTCCTCAATACCAGGACCTGCAGCAATCAAAGTATGATCCAAGTATACGCAGGAAGTGCTCAACTCGGTGCGACTAGGGCCACGAGGTGCAAGAAGCGTTGATTAGGCCTCCCTTCATTGGATATCGCCGTATAAAGCTCTGCTTCACCGACCCTTCATATCCGAACGATCATTCAGGTTGGCCGTGCTGGTGAAGCTCGAATACAGCATGGCGTCCTCCGGTCCTCGTGTATGCCAGGTCCTTTCGGGCAGCACCAGAAGATATATATCCGGAGTTTGTGGAATACGACTTCAAAGTTCTCCACCGTTACTACTGCTAGAGCGGATCCTGCGAGATGAACCGTGGTCGCTATGCCTCAGAGCCAGCTCACACAGGCATATATATGTCCTCTACCCATACTGCCGACCCTACGACACTCGGCTGGGCCTGTCACATCCATCCGAATGGCTGGAAATATTTCCGCAAAGATAATCTGGTCACCGACGTCGATGTTGCGGAGTTACATGAAGTGGAGAACTATGCGAGTATCTTCCAGAGCGCTCTGGGCGAGGACAAGTATGAGATATCCGTCAGTAAATCCGATGAAGATGAAGCCTTGAAGACTCTCCTCGTCAATCACGAAATGCGCTGTGCGTCTGAACAGAAGGAAGACATCATGTCTGCTGACGGAAACGCCGAGTGTAGGCACCCATTTACCGTTCGCTGATCAAACGCCCGTCGACTCGTAAGCTACAGGTTACGACCGTCGTATAGCGTATTGGGAATTCATGTGCCGATATCCTTCACATCGGCCCCTTCCTCCCCATGCATTGTCCGTCGCGCGCCAGCTTCTGGATTGCTACATTATGGGTGCGTCCTGTGTACGATATGGGATATTATTTCGCTCAACTGTAGGCAAACAGATGCTCTAAGACGAAGATCAGAGTCCCATGCTCCGTTCTCTTTGGAGCAGTCGAGAGAACTATTGGAATATTTACAGAAAAGCGATGGCATGCAGGATGAACGATCACGAATGCCGAGAGGCTCTGCCTCTTCCTTCGACATCCCGTCAAAGTCGGCCTCTTTGACCGCTTTGGTATCATGGATTATGCTTACTTCAGGTAGGCGTTTGCGACGCAATATATTTGCCCCAGGCTCAACTACTCCTTTCAGCTCGGCATGGCGATTTACACAAGTATGGCCAGCGATCTGCGCATGGCTTCCCGTCGCAGCGGAGGAAGAGAGACCATCCCAGCTATTTGATCTTCTCTATGCTTTGCTTCGGCGCTCCAAGAAGTCATTTGCATCGCGCAAATTTTGCCTTAACGACTATGAAGCTGCAGGGCAGGGTCGATGCTTGGGCTGAGTACCTTGACCTATTGAACGGGGAGCTTCAGATCTCAGTGCTCGTGGTACGTACTTGGGCTTGGCTTGTATGGGGTTGCCTCAAGACTGACCGCTAGGCAGGCTACAGTGGTGCTGACGTGAGTCCATGACTTCATATACCGATAGGTGTAGCGTTGCTGATGCGTCATACAGGGCCGCGGTATCGTTCCTCGCAGTCCCGGGGATGGTCGGCTTAACTCTCGTCATTACCTTACTGACCGTTGCTTTCACATTGGGGAGCATAATGACCGGAATCTACTTACAGTGGCAAACAGGCAAGATCAAGTTTGGAAGCATTGTAAGCTATTGTCCGTCTCGCTTGCAAACATCATTTACGAGTTTTGTTTGTCAGACAGCCTCGAGGGCGGCACTGCTTTCCGTGTTCTTCAGCATCCCCTTTGCCCTCCTGACATGGGCTATGATTCTCTTCACTGCGGCCGTCCTGCTGTACTCCTTCTTCGGTATCCAGATGATACCTGATCAGCCTTCCCAGCGATTCGACCGAGCAACATACATATCGGTTTTCACCTCCAGCTTCCTCTTTATCTGCATCATAAGCGTTACCGTTGTCTTCTTTCGGCATCTCCGGTATACGCACCGTCGTGGTCCGGGCCGGGATTGAGAATATGTATGTGGCTAAACAAGGTCACCATGTAAATACGATTTGTACCACAACGTTCTCAAACGTTAATGTCCTACATAGTCGTACACGTTGGGATCGCAGAGGTAGCCGTTGGGTCATCAGTCTTCCATCAGCGAAAGGGGCAACACGATTGCATTTCCCACATCCTTGACGTGCCTTCTTTATGACGACTACTACTATGGTGGTGCGGAGTGTTTTGCAGGTCCTCTCCAAACCGCCACAGATCCTCGGTCCCTCGCTTTGTGGCAACGCTTGAAACGATATTCGGTTTCGGTCCTAGGGAATCTCGCTTTGTAGTGTCATCCATGTTCAAGCGACCTTCACGACAGAATACCGCGTCCTCGACCTTCTCCTCTTCGTCGCAGGATTCACGGCCACCCCATCATAGACCCAGGGGTTTTGCCAATCCTTGGCCCTCGGCCGCACCACCCTCTCTGGGTTCCATCGTTAGCGCTGGGATACCCATCCGCTTCGCACCCAAAGTAGACCCGTATGAGCCCGAGGTCGCGTCCGGACAAGAGAGAGTGCGAGGTATACGAGTCGTGAGGCCCGATTTCGACAAGGACGGGGATGGAAGCATTGTCGGGACATGGTTGGGACATGCGGTTGGTAGGACTCAGATACATGCCCTTCTTACGAAACTTATCCACATCCCGTAATGTTATTTCTTCCTTAGTCCTTCTTGATCCAGTTCGCCAAGCCTGCTTTCTCGCCCGATCACGAACCTATACGTTTTCTATTTGATCCCATATTCTCTTACCGTGCAGGACCCGTAAGGTACATTGGCCCGGCACGAAGACTGCCGCCTCCCTGCAACGTTGAGGAACTGCCAGAAATCGCCTTTGTTTGTATCAGCCACAACCAGTACGTTGGCAGGCCGATCGAGTGTGATTCCCAGATGGATTCACATCATACGCCATCGCAGCTATGACCACTTAGATCTCAATAGCATACTTGAGCTCATCAAGCTTCAGCCCAAGGTTAGATTTCTAGTTCCGTTGGGTGCGTCAACAGCATTATTCCTTGCATGTCTGCCGTTGACTCTGGCACAGGGAACAAGTCGTGGTTGGAATCTTCTGGCATTCCTGCCAAACAAATATCTGAACTCGACTGGTGGGAAAATGTCGATTTGGGGCCTGGTATTGCTAGAGACGATCCCTCGGCCGCCATACTGGCCGATGAATACCAATACGCGCACAATGTAGAGAAGTTCGAGCCTCGGGTGCGTATAACTTGCGTCCCGGCTCAGCATGCTAGTGGTAAGCGCTCCTGTGGGTCGCTGTGGATAAATCGGGACAATATGTTGCTCCCTCGTGCAGGTCGGAGCGTAACCGACCAAAACTCAACCTTGTGGTGTGGGTGGGTCGTGGAACAATTCTTCGGCAGAGGTGAGAGTGAGAAGAGGGATTGTGTATACTTTGCTGGGTGTGTTCAGCCAGACTTGGAACCTTCTCTTAGAGATTGCTTATTCCGTCCAGTGATACGGGCTACCGGTCAGGCCTGGATGCAACTGAAGTTTGTCCCGCATTCAAAGGTGCGAAATGCTGCGACTCTAGCCATGTACGTGGATCTGACAACGAAATTGATATATTATGAAGAAATCGGCGAGAAGTTCCGGCCCATAGACCTGGCAATGATACCAATATGGAGAGGAGGCACCCTCTCTTTTGTCAGCGCTGCCGGACTGGAGGTATGTAGCGCAAAAATGCAGAGCCCCACGACGAGTAATCATTAATGTATTAGTTAACGACCGACGCGCTGACTTTGGCACACCACGCCACGCCGTTGGACGCGCTGTGCATACATTTAGATTTGCAGGCACGCCACTCCATCGCTATGCATTTCGCCACGTTCGTGGGGAGCGAGGTGGAAGGAAGGAGGGCTATCGAGGGGATACATGAGGCCAAGGCTAACTTGGTCAAGGCGAGATCACAGGAGGGGAAGAAGCAGGAACGGGTCGGGATGTGGTGGGAGGAGGGCGGGTTTGGCGTCGTGGATATCGGGGAGACTTTTATTGTTCCTCCCCGACATGACGGGAACGCGGGTTCTGGAGTAAGTAGTTAGAGATGACATACGTTCTTGTACGGAATACAAACTTGATACATGTGACGGTCGGAGGCTTGGCCCGGATGTTTCCGGGTTCTTCGCCACAGACGCACCTGAAGCTTCCGCATTTCTCCTGCATTCCTACCCTAGTTTGATGCTGTCAATGAAGTCACCACTGGCTGGCCCTGCATTAACTTTGGGGTCCAAGACCAATCAAAGACGATGTCGACCGGAAAGCTTGTCTAGGTCGACAGTATTGGGGACACATTTTTGGCGAAGTCCACCGGCACTCAACGAATCCCAATTATCTTACATACACAGAGTCTTGCTCTCCGATTTGATGTAATGTTCACTTTCACACCTCCACTCCTGCGACAGGCCAGCGTTTTTTTAGCCAGCCTGCGAACCCAGCTCGTCTCTCCTTGTAATCGCACGGACAATTCGGACATGAATTCCGTCTTGCCCTGTTGCCGCCGATCAATGATTACGAGATGAAAGGCGGCGGCTTGTTCACTCGACGTAACTCACATAATACATTCCTATAGCAGCTTTGTTCAAGCATCCGGGGTTTGCGTGCCGTTGGATCTTACGCTAGACTACACAACATCTCTGGAAGCATTATGCCGAATAGGTATGCAGTACGCCGACAACCCCTTCCTCGCACTATAAAGAGCGACGCTTATTCCAGGGAATCTTCACCTCACTGCATCTCATCTTGAATCGCTTCGCCATGAAGCTTATCCACTCTCTTTACGCCTTCGGCCTGCTTTGGGCTGGTTATCCCAGAGCTGCTGCTAGGCCATCTACGTCCGCTGGATTGATATCCTGGCATGGAGCCCGCTTCCCCTCCCTCAATACTCGGGAGTTCCAGAATGCACCCATTCCACTGACAAACTTTGGAAATAACTTCGTAAGTCGTTTCGCTGTCTCGGAATGGTCTGAGTGACTAACCTCAACTTTCCTGGATAGTATACAACAAACATAGGTGTTCTCGGGAAAGGTACAACGTTATTTATCCCATTAGTGCCTGATATTTGACCTGTTTCTGATTTAGAGATTCCGGTGGCAATCACTACCGCGCACTCGGATATGTGGCTTTTCAGCTCCGAAGTGGTCAACAGCAATACTACTGCCATCCACGCAGAGCTGGATTACGGCAATAGCTTGGTCTCCGGAACGATCGCATTTGTCAACATCACTGTTGGTCCATTTGTAAATGTCACTTCAGGTATGATCTTCAGAGGATTATGCATGCTGAAAGTCGCTGATCTTGTCGAAGCGTTTGTCAGAGTCGATGATGTTAGTGAAATCTAGTCGTGGATATATGTTATCTGACATCTACCATAGGCGATCAATATGACCGAGTTGTTTGACAACGGTGTCTACGGTGTACTTGGACTGGGCTTCGAGAACGCGTCGGTGATTCAAGAGATTCTGGATGAGAACAAATATGATGCCACGCTCAGACCCCACAGCTTTGCCTCAAGTCTGTTCGGAAGCGGTCCTGGTATCTCCCCCTTTGCGTCTCTCATATTCGGTCGGGATAGTGGAAGCGGCTCCATTCAGGCAAATGGCACATTCACTTTCGGCACGTACGTGGACACCTACGCATCGTCGCTAGCTCAAGCTGTCCATTTGCCGGTGTTTTCGGACACTTCGGATGAGGATAGCAGCAACGGCACCTCCTTCCCAACTTGGGCCCTAACCCTGGATGGTCTAACAGTTAATGGTACCCAGTATACCCTAAATTCATCTGTGCCACAGGTGCCATCCGGGAAGAGTCTCGTGATTCTTGATAGCGGATACTATTCTACGATCGTTAGTCCCGATATCGTGGACTTCATATATAGTAATATCTCCGGCGCGGCATATTTCAAGGAGGTTGATGCCTGGATTATCCCGTGCAATATGCCTGCCAACCTCAGCCTCACCTTCGGGTAAGTTAAACAGCTTAGAGTCATCATGGTATGCTGATAAGGTATTGCAGTGGTCAAGAGTATCTGATGGATCCGCTGGATCTTACCGCCATCCAGTATTTCAGGCTCACAAATGGCACTGAAGTCACATTTTGTAGCAATACATTCCAAAGTTCGTCATTTAGACGGGGCAGTGGACTTCCGGCGGCAGATATGATATTGGGATTGCCATTCCTTCGGAATGTCTACACATTGTCAGCATGAGCAGTCCCTTTCATCTCCCCCCGTGTTATGCTTACTGATGGATGTTCACGCGATCAGACTCTCCTATGGAAACACAGTCTACAATGCGACCACTTCAGAAGGGCCATATGTTCAATTCGTCTCGGTAACCAATGCGACATCGGCTTCGGATTTCTCGTCCATCAGACACCGTATACTGGCCAATTCACCCATGGAGCTTACCCCATCCGAATTCATCAAAACAATCAGGGCCGAATCTACGAATGCTAGCTCTTCAAGTGATAATGACCGTACCTAGGATTTTGGCTTCTCTCATTCATCATGCCTATGCAAATATTGAAGGGATGACTTTATTTAAGTTACTCTGAGTAATCTATACGTAGGAGTTTGCTGGCGTATCCTGAGAGTCAGTACTGGAGACGGCCTCAATACAAATATCCAAGTTATGATAACGTGAGATACTGTAAATCCACGTACATGTAAATCGACCCTGCCATGACCCGGGGTCAACGGTGGCTGATGGCCCAAGGTAGCGGGTACAGCGCGAAAATTCTAAGTCCCACCGCATTGAAGTATTTTCGAACGCGATCGGCACGACTCGGAGTGCCTTGCTGTGGGCGCTAGTGTGTCCATGCCAGTGGCAAGTGACAACCCTGTCGTATCACCGTTGATGGCAGAATGATGATATGGGACCAGACAAACATTCTGTCAGTGCAGCAATGCGTTTCAAAGCCCTTCGTTGACTCTCATAGGAAATACTAGTCTTCCAGCAGCATAATCACCTGCAGATCTTTCAAGTCGGACTGGCTTTCGTTCACCTACGCACGACTGACATCGTTCTCTCTGACAATCACGCGCAGTAATGGGGATCGCAGGCGGCTGGCAGCCTCGACGGTTGACAGTCTCGGATCGCATTGCCTTCCATATAAACCGCTGCAGCTCTGCTTATGGCTTCAGTACCCCTCTCTCTCCTACGCTTATCTGACATGGCTCCTACTCGGGCTTTGATCATCGACGACTCTGACCTTACTCATACGACATCATCTGTCGACTCGGTCTCTGTCAAGATATCACTGCCAATGCCACTGGTCAAAGGAAGAAGCAAGCGGTCCTCGGGTGCTTCCGCACTCACTCTGCGCAGGAGAAGTCGTACCTCACGCGGCGCCGAACATGTACATGACATCACGCCGACGAAGGAGGACTCCCCTGCGAGACGAACGGGCGACTCGCGACGGCCTGACAACTTCGTCATCTTCGACGACGCGGACTGCGTAGACTTGGAAGCTGAACTGCAGAAAGATTGCTATGTCACTTCCCTCTCACCGTCAGCCACGCAAGACCTGGATTACGAGATCATTCAAGTAGTCTACGAAGACGACGCGAAACCTATATCAACCCTGTCAAGTCCCGCGGTCGTGGACCTCACGAAGCCCCTGGACACCTACAGCGCCTGCACTGAACCTTGCCCACCGTACTCTCTGGAGCCTATTTTTGAGGAATCTATCGACGCCAGTTGCTTATCGGGCGCTGGTTGGCTCTCTCCCGATCATCATAGTGTCGCGGATGACTCTCGCTGCTGTAGTGCTTCCGACACGAGCATTGACACCCTCGCCGACGGCGGCTCTCTCCGCCTCCCGGAAGGATTCCTTGACAATCTTGAGGAGATGGAGCGCCTCCTCGCCCTCCACTCCCGCGCGAAGCCCCGCGCACGCACTGCTTCTCTGAACTCGAAGGAGAACGCGCCGGTCGACAGGAGCGTCAGCTGCAGTATGACTACGACCTCTATCGACACGCTCGCGGAGGGCGGCGAGCCCAAGCTTCCCCCGGGGTTTTTCGAGAACCTGCAAGAGATGGAGCAGCTCATTACCTCGCACTCTGGCCAGAACGAGCACAAGAACGAAGCCCCGTCTCGTCCATCAAGACAGTTGCCTACGATTATAGTGACGAAACCTCAACGGCGCATCGTCCGCCGCGAATCGAATGTCATCTTCAGCGGCTCGTCAGCCGTGTTGACAAAGCAACTGGACTACGACTATATGGATGAGATGGTATACGATGAGGACACGTCCTACAGCGGGGTATGTCACCGCATCAACGAGCATCCGTCACGTACTGACCTTACTGTACAATAGGACTACGCCCCCTGTGTCCCACCACAATACGCAGATTTCCTGCAAGTCCCGTCGGTCGACTTCCGCGGACGTATCATCGGACACGATGAGGAAGAAGACGAGGAAGAAGAAGTCACCTTCAAAGCCCCCATCATTCGCGTCCTGCTCAAGAAGCCGCGGTTCAACGGGCTCGACGGTCTACGCTCACTGGTCACCCGCCTACGAAGGAGACGTCCTTCATCACTGGCAGTGGATGAACTCATGGAGATTATAGACGAGGATGATCTCGTGGAAGAAGACGAATACTAGTCTCACGATGGTTTACGATTTTCTTCTTCCTGGGCACATACCTATTCCTATCTGTTTCGGACTTGTTTTGCTATTCGGACCTAGTGATGAGGCAAATGTGATGATTATTTGTAATAGACATATACCTGTATGCAAATAAGTTAATGGTAGCTAGTACAGTGGATCCATAGACAGCAGCATCAATGAAATACAGTTGAGTCCATCTAGAGCACGAGAGGAAATGAGTGCGCGGCTAAGTCGCTCGCTGTAAAAGGCGGGAGAACGTGCTCTGTATAGAGATCTTCTTCATAATAGTGGGCTCCGGAGCTACAAGACGAGACATTAAGCACGCAAGCAGGCCCATTGAGACGCCGGTTGACTCACGGTCTGATATATCCTCATCTTTAACCTTCCGCTTCACGCTTTCCATAACCTCGTTAGCGGCCGAGCGGTCAAAGTCCCCTCGGATCTTCATGAGACTCTCCACGAATTGTATGTTCGGGCCGTGCACCTTCGCAAAGGACCAGAAGGATAGGAACACCATACTCTTGGATGCCTCGAGCATGCCGAGGATCATCTCGATGACCTCAAACGACTCCTCGAGCTCTTTCGGCTGCTTGAACGCGCTGAAGAACTTGAAGACGGCGCTCACGTCGTCCTTGATGCGGTCCGTAGCGGCAGGCATCTTCAGCTTACTAGGAGAGTTCACGAGGGCGGTGATGTAGGTTACGAGGAATTGATCGAGCAGGTCCTCCACCAACAACTCAAGGAGGGTGGGATTGAGGAAGGCTTGGCAATCACCCATGTAGTCCCGCATGGTCGCGACAATTTGTTCAATGACGGTGCCATCGTACCACGTCTGCTGGAAAAGCTGCTTCGTCACCGGCTTCAAGTCGTTGAAGATAATGTCGATGAGTGTCTGTATGCATTTCTTCGCTACATCTAGGAATCCGTCGATAGCGTCATTGAGGCGCTCGCTGATCGTAACTCGATATTTCTCGGAAACTAATGGCTCCAGTCTCGCGGACAACGCTTCTGTGAAGTCGGCAGACTTGATTTGATCGTTGGCAAGCGCGATGGTGTGCTCTACCAAGCCAGGAACCGCCTCCTCGGGTTTCTCGACGTGCTTCTTGAACTCGCCTTCAAGGGTCTTCGTCCACTGTTCTTGGATCATCCGCATCACGCGGTTCACCTCAGATACAACTCGTGCCAGGATAGCGCCCTGACCGCTTTCCATGGCCACGTCCACCTGTTGGTTGACCATTTGGAATAAGATGATGGCTCCTTGCATAGCGTACTGCCCTTCGCTATCTTCTTCGAGCGGCTCTGACCGAGTAGTGAATGCCTGGATTTCCGTCTTCATGAGGTTATTCGTCCATTCGTCGAGCTTCTTGATGATGAGGTTAACGTAGTCCTCGATCAGACCCTGCTCCTTGCCATCCAGCAATGGCGGCTCCATCAGCTCGGGAGGAACATTCAGTTCCTTCATATTCTTCTTGTACTCTTTGAGCCAAGCGTGAAGAGTGAGGAGCACCGAGGCCTCCGGCTCAGACATAAGCAGTTTCTGAAGCGTGGCATTAAGCGTCTTGTGATACTCTCGAACAAAGAGAGAGTAGATCTCCCATTCAGGAGGGAAGCATGGGACGACGTCTTCCTCAATGCGGATGAGGTCTTGGTACATCCATCCAAGACTGTCCAAGAAACCGGCGGGGTCCTGCTCGTACTCTTTGAGGGCATCCTCGAACTTACGCTTGATAGACTCAATGATTGTTTTCGTAATATTGGACCGATAGTGTTTGAAGACTCTTGCATCGGCCTGCATGGATCGGAACTTCGCGGCTGCATCCATCTTAGCAGCTCGCTTGACGAGCCGGATGGCTATGGCCTATCGAAGCTGAGTACACCGACAGGGGACGTCTGCTGGGATGATACATACCTTCTCATCTTCCTTGCCTTCGATCTCTGCTATTTTCACCAATTTCACGATGACCTCTGAATGGCCAGCACGAATCAGAGGTAAAATGTTCCGGGCGAGATCGACAATATACTCGTCGAAAGATTTGATGAGCTTATTGAGCCGCTCAAACCACCGAGTGAGAGTGTTTCTGGAATCAGCGGACGCTTTCTTAGCCTGGTGCATGGTTTGATTGCGAAACGCTTCCAGCTGGTTGATATTGTAATGGATTGCCAGGAGATTCGGCGCAGGGCCAACGACCTCTTCTCTATTGCTCGCTAGCATTGCTTCCAGCATATCTAGCTTGGAACTCATCTCCAAAAGGTTATTGACCATTTCTTCTACTTGCCCGAAGTTCCGATGGACCATGGATACCTTCAAGACATGAGATTGTATATTCATATGGTCATATATTGCGTACTCACCCTACTGATCTGGTCGAACGTTGGGACTACATTTTTTGGGTCACTGCAGAGCCTATCCACGGTCTCCATCTCGTCCCTCACTGCCTGCACATTGTTTCGCGTCCCGAACAGTTTCCGTAGACCATCTTTCGTGGCATCAAGCTGTTCCTTGACTCCACTTTTGAGTCGTGCATCTATGGAGGCTTTCTCCTTCTCAAGTTTCTTTCGGAACGCGACGAGCTTGAGCAGATCATCGGGAGACTGCAGGTATTCGCCTACGGCTTGTGCAGCCGACAGAGTAGGAGGCGCATTGATGGCTTGTACAGAGGTCATCGCGGCGACAGGGTATACGTCGTCTCAGTGGTGGCAACAACTGTCATGGAATGAGAATACACAGAACCGAACAAGGATCGTTTAGGTCATAGCCAGTCTGAGGATAATTGACCTTGGCCTGCGCACCCTGCAGTGTGTGAGCTAAAACAGGTACACTTGTTGTTGTGGCTTTTGGGAGCCCGCAGTGAATGATTACGACGTTCTCTATCATCGACTATGCTCGACGTATAGCAACTGGTATAGTACATGATATGCATACAGGCTAGAATGATGACTGGCTAGTGTAATCTGACGACCCAGCATAACCTTATGCGGCAACACTCTCGGCTGCGATGTTCTACTTGTCCTGGATGACCTCTAGCGTCCTGCTCCATTGGACGACCTTCGGATGAACGGTAACCTTTCAAGGCATAAGCTCGTTATCCAGCATGCAGAAGAACAGCACGTACCTTCTTTGGATCAAAATTGAGGACTTGAAGGCCGTCCAGCGAAGTTGCTCGGGAGAGTGCGACATAAGCTTGACCTAGGGGAGGACCATACTCAGTAAGGCTTAGGCAGGTAGATAGTAAGAGGGTCTTACCTTTCTCGAAGACCCTGCCGAGGTCAACTTTCACTCGTTCCAGTGTCTGGCCTTGCGATTTATGGATGGACATTGCCCATGCCGGGATGAGGGGAATCTGAAATCAAAACGGTTAATAAAGCACTGAGTCATCCAGATGATACCGAACGCACCTGAGTCCGGGAAACTTGGACTTCACCATTCGGCAACTCTACTTTCCAAGATTCCGTTGTGACTAAGACTTCCCTCATCCGTCTCTGGCCTGGAATGACAAATTCTACCACAGGAAACAGCTTGCCCTCAGCCTGAGCTTTACCCTTCTTTCTATCTTTCGGGTCAACTTGGTCCCCGCCAGCAAGGTCTTGCTCCGAGCCATATAATGCCGGATCTGCAAACCGCACGACCTTCCCCATGCTTCCATTGACGAGTGTCTCGTCGATATTCTTGATGAGCATGACCTGTGCATCGACCCTGAGCGTGATCTGGGATGGCGCCATGAAATTTGCAAGCATCTTGTCGCGTTGGGGACCGTCTATTATTCCGCCATCCATTGCGAAGTACGTGTGGTGCTCGGTCGCAAGGCGATTCATACGCGTTGAGTTGGAACGCTCAACGTCCTCGCGACGAGGAAAACTGCGCATATGTTGCATCAGTTGGCTGACATCTAACGATGGGATTGGCTTACAGCTCCGTTGGACCCAGTCCGTCTTCGTAGACAATTTCCCGAGATAACGACTTGAATTTATTGATGGATTTTTGTGATAACGTGCCAAACCTCATCTCATTCAACATGTCCACGAATTCTGGAAGAAAGAAGCATGATTATATGGACGTATACACCGAAACATGACACTCGCACCCTGATCTGTTTGCCTAAAGACTTTGGTCAAGTTAAAAGTGCGTTGGACAGCTTCTGTCCAGGCTTCTGCTTCGAAGGCGAACTTCACAGGCGCATTACCCCTTGTGACGGGCGGCAATTGGAAGAAATCGCCGGTAACGACGAGCTATTGTACATCAAGGCACTTTATTCTATGTAGACGATGAATAAGCTCCCTGGGGACTTGCCTGTATACCGCCGAAAGCCTTCGGGATCTTGCGTACCACTTTCGCAATATGAGAAAGCTTGTCGAACAGGTCTCCGTCCACCATGGACACTGCATAGCGTTCTCATTAACCCCGGCGCACATTCGTCGAATATTGCAGGATATCTACCTTCATCGATAATAAGCACTTTCGTCCTCAGCCACCTTGCCATCGCCTTCTTATTTTTCCTGACTTTCGAGGCCAGATCATCCGGTTTACCTTCGCCTATACCGATGCCGGCAAAAGAATGAATTGTTACACCGCCGATATTGCAAGCCGCGATGCCTGAAGAGATTCCCATTCAATTGGGACAGGTATCGATAATGCACATCTATATGACTAACCAGTGGAGGCAGTGATGGCCACCGCATCCGGAGCTTTGATAAACTTCTTCCGAAGCGTCTTAATGATTTCTCGTAGGAGGACAGACTTTCCAGTTCCTGGATTCACATGTCAGTTCATTCCGGGACCTTCATTCAGGAATACGAAGAATGCGCATATAGCCACGTAAATGAGGACTGGCTTCCGGAGGGACTGTCCGCTTCGCAACTCACCAGCACTTCCCGTGTAGAAAACACTTTGCCCTTCCTTTACCAAGTTAAGAATATGCGTCTGCTCTTTGCTCAGGAACACCGGAGCGGGCTTTCCTGTCGCCTTCGCAGCTACCACCTTTGTAGCTGCGACTATCGAGGAGGTTCCTTTCGCCGACCAGGAGCTTGAGGAGGACGCCCTCGCAATAGAAGTCGTTGTAGAGCCATAGTTTGTCCGCGTCGTTAGAGGATCGGTTTCCCAAGAAGTGGGTAGTTGCCTTCGCTTCGCTTGCGAAGGGGCATCCTGCGAGCTCGATGGTCGTTTCTGAGGATTAGTTAATGGAGGCGTAGGAAGTAAGTTCTGTGACGTCTTCTTGCTCCCAACGTCAGCTAGCGCATCTTGGATAGCCTTCAAACGTTTATCAACTCCAGTCTGCGGCTTCGGGGGAGTGGGGTCCCACGGGATATCCGAGCTCTGATTAAGAGCCGGCTCCGAGAAATCCCTCTTAACAGTTCTTAGACCTGACTGCGGTGCTCGCGTTGTTTGTGACATAGTAAATCCGGGGAGGAGACAATTCGCAAGAATAAGCAGGTGGCAAGAAGCAGGGGGACTCTGGGAATTCTCGCGCATCTACGTGACGCGACGCGACGTGTAACGGTCACGTGGTGCGCGTATAAGCCTACTAAAATCCATGATATTTGACTGGAATATGTGCCGAGGTTCAAATTTCGCCCAGGAGAACATACGGTTCGACAAGAAATGAGGTCCGCGGATTTCAGACGCAGACGTGTGGCCTGAGGTGCCCGCTCGCACTTGTAGGATTGCTACCTTGCCGCCCAGCCGTCACGGTCAGTCGGCCTCTTGGACGGTACCGTTAGCCTGAGACTCTGCCAGTGAGGCGTCCCAAGGGTTTCCTCAAGCTACTTGGTAGTAATTACTAGTCGACCAACCAAAAAATAGACATGTGCGAATCTCAAGGAAGACTATGAAGGCTGAAGCCACCGGGGCATTTCCCGGATTTGGTGGCGTCGCCGGCAGTTGCAAGTTGTTGCTGAAACACTGGCACGGCATAGGGGCATGACATCTGTGCGACGCAACAGAAGCAACACCACACTTCCTAATGAGCATTCAAACAAGAGAGTATCACTTGAAAACCTGGTGGGGAAGGATGAGGAAGTGACCCCTCAGCGAGGGCACGGAGTAGAATCTGTGGCTAGTTTTGTGGCCACCACGCGCTATTTGCACACAGAGCCCTCGCCAGCCACAGGTCTCCTTCCTGAGGTACACGGACCAGGTTGGCATACCGGATTTCCTGACCATAATATATTCTGAAGCCCACTTTCTCTCATCTCGAGACATGCAGTATATTATACAGTCGTTTCAGATACCGTATAATGCGTACACCGTAGCGACAGATCATAAAGGAGTGCCCGAGCTGCCCAGTAAACCCATAAGACGAAGACATAATCCCGCTCTGGCCCATTCCAAGCTCAGCGTGAAATCAAAGCAAACACAGGATAGCGCCTGCTGCCAAAATACCAGCGAAGCCTGATGCAAACTGTTTGAGGCCCAGCGCGCCGCTAGTTTTGGACGGAGACGCAGCAGTACCTGAACCAGTCCCTGACCCACCGGAAGTCGAGACTTTCGGAGTCATACTAGCCTCAGTAGTACTGGGGCTCCCAGTGGGGGCAGCAAAGCCAACCACCATGTAAGAAACAGTCTCCGTCCCTTCAGCGGTAAACGGTTCGCCGTCTTGATTCGCGACTATGTTGCAATTGGCTACGCCGTTGGACAATGCGCAGGATTCCAAGGCCTGCACATCTCCTGCAGAGTAGGATATTACAGCGTCGTTGGGGCCTTCGATAAGAGTTGCTGTACGGCGTCGTGAAAGTCAATTACTAGGTCATATTATGATGAGAACAGGGGGAACCCACCTGTGGCGGGGAATGATTCTTCTTGACCCGAGGCTGTCGGCGTGCCTTGAACGATCTCCCAGGTTGTCCGTCCATTGCTATCGGTACCTAGTACACTGGCGCTGAGGGGCTGATCGTCAAACCCCGGAAGATAAAGGGACGTCTGTGCATGAGCAGGCAATGCTGCAGGTATTGATCGATGAGCACCTCATGCCTGCTTCAGTAACTCGGATTACTCACAGCTAAGGGCGATGGCGCTCGCAAACAAAAGAACGGAAATTTTGCCAACCATGGCGGTCGTCTGCAGTGTTCGAGATAAAGGGGACGGAGGGTAGGGAAGGAATTTTGGCTGGATTTGCTCATTTCTTCCGGTCTATATACCCCTCTGATATATCCACGCGCTAGCGCCTAGCCCCATGGTCTCGGAATCCCATCACTATGCCCCTGACCGTAACTCCGGAGTAATATGACTCGTCTGTTACGCTTCAGGATCGACGTTATTTTTGCGGCAGTTTTGCACATCAGAAATGACTGATCAAGGCCGCTGCGTCCAGTTGCGAGACGTCCTCCATGTGCAACAGTGTGCGCATGCATACACAGAACTGGTCGGGTCGGGCGCAAGTCGGGCTTTAGGCGAGTCAGATTTGAGTTCTCAGATATCGTCGAATGTATCTGAATCAAGGTGCACAAGAAGCAGTAAGGCCTCTTGAGGAATCCGCGAGATAGTGACTCGGACGCCCACATGTGGGTAAAAATGGGCGACAGTCATCCCTGTAACCTTCAGAGGCGAAAGGGCTCCCTATCGTGACTATGCATCCTCATACAGGTACGATTGAATGCTCGTACTAGGGGGTACATCAGATATGCTGTATAGTTACAGAAGCTTACGCCGTACACAGGGCTCGATGTACTAAGAGGAACGGATGTGCAGTGAGACAAAACCATGACAGTCCTCCTTTGTCTAAGGACTGCACTTCTCAACGTCACTTCTCCGTCCAATGATTAGTTGGATGAAGACTTTGATATAGGCCTGTCACCAGAACCGAAACAGAGTAGATAACTCGACTGCTCGGGCAGAAAAAGGCCAGCGCTAGAGCGAAAACTTTGAGCACATCAGAAGGCATAGGAACATCGATCAGTTCGTTCCCGGATTCGCGTCAGAACAGAATTTCTTTGTGCGATGAAGTGAAGCAGACCGACATAGTCGTCGTGGTCAAAACAGAAAATTTTGCAAAAGCTGTGACCAAGGTCAATAAGACTCACATGACATGTCACACACATTTACGTCACGTACGGATACGAGTCGCGTCGTGTGGCGGCTTCACCGCTTGAGTTCACCACAGTGACCACACTACTGCCTGGTCGGACATTCCCCCTTTCATGAATAACAACCTGAAGAATGTGGTCTCTCAACTCGGAAGCGACAAGGTTAGAGAACGCCAAGAAGCGCTGGAGACGCTGAAGACGACGTTTGCTCGAGATTCAGCCGTTCTTTCCGTAGACCCTGACGGGAAGGGCAGGGCCTGGCTGGCTATATTTCAAGCTCTTTTTACCCTGGTTGATCAGGAAAAGAAGGATGTTATTGGGAAGGGCTCGCTGGAATCAGCTGTGGGTCCAGGGGCGGCGGCGAGGCGCAGGCTCGGAGAAGCTGCCTCCACTGTGCGGTGGCTTGCTGAACGGAGCGTGCACAGGATGAATTCGAAGGTCATTCATTCTATACTGGACAGACTCGTGCACAAAGTGGCGTATCGCAGCACGGATTTGCTTGCCCCTGTAGCGTTGGACTTCCTCAAAGCCATTCGCTGTGTTGTGAGTTTCCATCCGCATCTGGATCATCTCAAGGCCGCTGTGTGGGTTGACATCGTACGCTTGACGTTCAATATTGTTCTTGGCGACCCCTTGAATAGCTTTCTGGATGAAGACGACTCAGCTTCTGCTGAGGAGCCTGATGACGCCGATGGTCATGACTCTGGTGACCCCGATCAGGATCAACGACATCCTACTACTCTTCCGGGATCGTCTAGGAAGCGTCTTCGACCCATCCTCAAAGACAGGCATAGCACCGCTACTCGTCGACATGTCGGTCGCACCGTCAAAGCAGTGTCTCCGGAGCAGGTAGAATCCATGACGATCCTCTCTATCCTACTGCGCTCGAACGCGGCACCCTTCCTATCCCAAGAGCACCCACGCCTCCCTGAAGCCATCCTTTCTAGGTTCCGACGTTTCATTGACATGTACCCGTCTGATTCTAGCCTATACCACGACTGTTTGCACGCTCTATCGGCCACCCTAGGTCATATAGCTTTGAACAAGACCCTTGCAGTCCATAAATTTGCTTCCGACGTTTGGGGCGGGCTGGTCGAACTGATGGCAACCAAGAATAAGAAGTTGAAGGAGAGTTTGCTAGCGAATCTGAAACTGCTCTTTCCTTACCTCACCATGTCAATGGTCGAGGATTCCGACGCTGCAACGTCGTGGGCTGAAGGAGTGGGAAAATTATGGCAAGCGCTAGATATGGAGATTGGGAGCAGACGTGGTCTCGAACCTTTGCCATTGGACGCCATACGGCTGCAGTTGGCTCTTCCGACGGATGAAGGCGCCGTGGAGGAACCAACTGGGGCTTTTGTCGCTCATACTTTCCGCTACGGCAGGGAATTTAGCGCAAGTCATGCCCTGACATGGGCTGTTTTAGAATTGCAGGCGGACTGCCTGGCAAAGGTACGCCTTACGGTTCTGTTCTGCTCCCAGACGCCTGGTGCTTACAATGCCATTTAGTTACTGGTCTTGTCCGAGTCGATGCGAGGATCACTTGCCACGATGACCAGGAATGACGGCAAACGAGCGAGGCTGCAGAATCCTATAGCAACCCTCCTCGTCTCCATACAGAATGAGCCACAGACTAGCATCCGGACGTATAGGCTGCAGCTACTTCTATTTTTCATCGACCGGCATTGGATGATCTTGCATGCTGATCACCGGGGAGCTGTACTGGACCTTTTGAATCAGTACATATCCATCGACGATGCTGTCGCGCAGTCTTGGGTGTTCCTTACTCTCGCTGCCATAGCTTATGCTGTTGGCCGTCAAGACGGTTCGAATACTGCTAAGCGTTTTGATCAAGGCAGCTGGGATGCTATCTGGACGCATCTTGTCCGACGTGCGAACGTGGCCCTAATATGTCGCGCTGCTTGCCATGCGGGATATACGCTGCTTCAGGCAGCCAGGCACTTGGTGTCTCCTCAATGCGTATTATCCGAGATAGAGTTGCTGGCCAGGGATTTGGACGTGCAAGGCCCGACATATCCGAGCGACTCCGTGTGTGCATTCCTAGGGACCTGCCTCAAGATAGCAAGTCAGGACATGAGACTGTTCCGAATGCAGCTGGAGGAGAAGGTCCTCAGTTGGTTGATCGAAGTGTGGCGAGTTGGCGAAGGATCCGTTAGAGCCGTGTCCTCCGCGCCATCTCACACGGTGGACGATGTTCTAAGCCTACTTCAGACTATCCGCGGCGTTGGCAGGCGGGCTCATGTCATATGTCGCATCTTGCTCCCAGATTGTCTAATAACCCATACGGTAATCGAAGAACAGAAGTGCTCCGTCATACGCGACTATCTTCTGGATGCCCACCTTCCTCGTTATTCTGAAACCACTACTTCGAAAGCCGACCATGCGTCTGATGGGTCTTCCGGTACGATGCAGGGTGATGCAGACCTCAGCGAACCTCGAGCCCGAGACCGGAGGATCTCCACCTTTCTGCTCAAGTTGCTTGAAGACGTCTCCGTTCGATGGGGCGCTCTTCAAGACATGAAAATGACGGCCGAGAGGGCCAGGCGAGATCTGGATTTGGCTGCGGTCGCTCTCATTTTTGAACACTGCCTCGTATTAAACGGAGTCCGAAGTAACAGACGAGTTATTCAAGCTGCTTGCAGAGTCGTCTCACAGCTCAAACCATTACTTACGGACAGTAAACTGACAGACGCGGAAAGACTGTCGCTCGTTCTTGGTCTAGAACCTTTGGCTTTGGCTCAGCTACAAACGGAAGAAGACGACATATGGGAGACGATGTTGCCTGCCGGTGAAGGCACTGGAATCAAGAGAGAAATACTCAGGAGAGTTCTACGAGGGTCAGACAATAGTGCAAGAGATGTCGCATCTCGTAGATGCCTGCAGCGTCTTGTTTGGCAAAGCAGTGATGTGAGCCCCTTCTGTTGCGTGCCCTTTGTTCTACTCAAAGATTTTTTGTTTCAGGTACAAGATGCATTTGCCGGGATGCTCGAAAACATGAGAATCGTCACCAGGGCTGCTCTGGGATGTCATACTTCTTCTGCGACATTCGCCGCATCCCGAATGCTGGAAGACGAAGACGATTTTGCAGAAACATATGCCCGTAGCCGGATGACTCGCGCTACAGAAATCCAGCCGTCTGACGATACGTCCATGGAACGCCTCGACCTCATCAGGTCTTGTACACTTTTTCTCTCTGTCGCACCAATCTTGCAATCCTCTTGCGGCGAGCCGACTCGAGACAAGGAGCTATCAGAGATTTTCCTGCAATCCGGCGACACGAAGTTCCTTGCATACGCTGGCCCGTATTTCCATAGTATTCGAATGCGGACTCTGACTATCAGTGTCTCCATACTCGAGAAGTTTCTGGATAAGGTCGAAGCTTTACTAATTCCATATCTATACTCTCATAGCGAGAGATTGCAAGTGCTGGTCATTCAATTCCTTGGCTCAACATCGCATATCTGGTTGGACCAGAATGACGGCGACCTTTCCCCGGAGAGTGTGGGTGGGCGGGTGCTTACACTTTGTCGATGGCTCCAGGAGACTTTACAGACTGGCAGGATATCGTCGTGGAAAACCCGAGATCACATTGCCAGATTTTTGGACGGATACCTCTCTCAAGATCCAACTCAGCGGTTTTGGAGACTGAGGTTAGACGACGAGGAGGATGTAGAGGAACCAGATTCCTTTCCGACTGCCATTCTTCCTACATTGTGTGCAGACAAGGACGTGCGAGTACGCTTTAGAGCAGCCGTTCTGAACGCTCGATTGTTTCGTCTGGCTTATGCGAACAAGCTCGATCCCCTGCCCTTGTATACGAGCGTCACGAAGTCGCTATGCACCGATCTCGGAAAGTCAGTCAGTTCCATAGATCATATCCGCTTTCCTGAAATAATCTTTGGCTTCTAGCTTGGAGCACATGCTAACCCGCCTGCTGTGTCTCGGCAACATAATGGTGGTTAGCTCAGCTGTCAGGCGCGGCTCTTACTGGCATCTTTTGGAGACCTGCTTGTACACAGTGGCGTACAACGCTCATGTTAAGGCAGTGTTACTCTGTGTTTCGGAAAGGATGGGTCTACCCAGCCTCTCCCAGCTATTCGAAGCCTACGCGTCTCAAATTGCTTATTCTATACGACAAGGGGAACTTGACTTCCTCCGACTTCCTCCGCACCTGCTAGGTTACACTGATCGGCGTGCGTGTGCTGAAGCCACATTCCTGCAATTTTCGCCCACGAATCTTCTAGCTGGAGGTTCGCCATCTACTGTAGCACATGGGAAGAAACTATTCGCGAATCATTGCAAGGCAATTCAGAAAACAGTCGCGCAGGGTATCTGGGAGTGCTTTCCGGACATCATTGGGCATCAGCTTGTCTTTTGGGTCGAAGATCACATGTCCGACCCGGAGGCCAAGGTGGAGGATCTCCGCCAGGTTCTCCTTGAAAAAGTCTCAGATATGCAGGAGGCTCATAACTTTGACAAGTATATCTTACAGAGAGCCGATTGCATTATCGCTGCTATGCTTCGAACTGTGAACGACCCAGACTTCTCTCAGGATGGATCAATCGTGAATGCCCTCAGAGCAATCGGCGATGAAGCAGTTCAAACTTTTCAGGACCTTTCCCACTACCGCTCCCGCGATGCTTTCCCCGCCCACGAGCCGAATCTTCCGAGTTTCAGTGCCACAACTATCCTGCATTCACTGAAATGGCTGCTGCGTTTAGCACCTCAAGTTCGTGTCGAGTCGGTCTCATATCATTTGATGCACCAGCTATTCTCAGATATCCAGCGCTCTCCCCTCTTGAACGAACAAAAGCGTCTCATCAATGGAATTCTGATCTGGGTAGCAGCACAAGCGTCCTTGTTTCGAGACATGACTCTACTCAGGACGTTCATCAATGGCAGCACTATCCTGCTCTGTCAGAGTGATCTAGCAAGGGCGGCTCAGTCTATGCTTGAATGGGCTTTTGGAGTCTACATCAAAGCTTCGGATCGCGACCCGCGCTTCCCAAACGTTGTTGTTCGCATTTCATGCATAGCCCATGATTATATGATGGACTCCCAAGATAGAACAGTTTCTCAACTGGGCTCCGACTTGTTGCAATGGATCGAAGCACAGACCGTGATACTCTCTGATATTGACTCGATCCGTCCTCAGGTCCTGAAGGCGCTACCTGCATGGCCTCGCGAGCCCTCAGCACCGCTAGGAGCCATCTACGACACGACTACGGGGGATAATATATCCTCCGTCTTAGCGGACCACCGCATGTTGGGCAACAAATTCCGATTAGTCAGACGTCTCCGCGATTCTCTCAGTAGCGCGGACAGTAGGCGGTTTGCCATCTCTGATTTCTGGCGTCTGAAGGAATGCATCCCTTCTCCAGAGTCCATACAGGACAAGGATGCTGAAGCTTTTGCGGAGCTGCTTTTCCTGGCTCAAGGGCGTATTGAGAGTTTCGCGAACGATCAGCCAGCTCCAGAGACTCTGAGGACGAGACATCAACGTTATGGTCGCAAGAAAGATGCGGATGCGGGCTCCCTAGGGACGGCTTTGACATATCGACCAATCATCCTGGCTCTGCTTTCCCTCCTTGATAGTCCTTCTCCATCTCGCGCGAGCGGCGCTTACCGCACCCTCCGCCTACTTATCAGTGTCTGTACGCCAGCCACTTTAGAACCTCGGAGCTGGTCCACTGATATCCGCGGAGAGCTACGATTCCTTCAAGCACATCCTGTCACTCCACGCATCGCTGCTTCCTGTCAAATCCAAGATCTGATGGCAGAAGCAATCGTTCACTCATCAAAGGATTTTCCGGTTTGGATCACTACTGTCACCAAGTTATTCTGCGATGTGCTTGCAGCTCAGGACCGCTTCTTCGCTCAGTTATGTTCTGTCGTCGTGGACGATGTAGAGTTCGCAGAACAAGTGCTTCCCGTCCTCATCCACACTGTTCTGGAGGTTTCACGACGCAAACAAGAGGATAGCAACACTCGCACCATCGTCTCCGAGTATCTTATGGCAGTTTTATCGCTAGAAGGCGTCCACACGTCGTCTTTGAGGGCTGTAGTGGATGTTATCCTCCATCTTCGGCACTTCTCTCCAGACAGTAGTGATGCTTTGGCATACGACAAATGGCTTGAACTCGACTATACATTGCTCAGTCAATCATGCTTGAAGTTCGGGGCTTATACGACAGCTTTGCTCTTCCTCGAACTAGCCATTGAATATACGCCCACGGAAGCAACCGCAGTCGACGAGCAAGTTCTCTACGAAATCTACAGCCGCATCGACGAGCCCGACGGCTTCTACGGCATCAAGACCAGAGACCTCCATCAATTTCTTCTGAAGCGGTTCCACCACGAGCATCAGTGGGATAAAGCTTTCAAATTCCATGGCGCCAGCATCGAGGCTGGGGCTGCCAGCCCTTCCGACGCAGAGGGTATTATTCAGTCTCTACATTCATTTGGCTTCCACCATATGGCTATTGGAATGCCGGATGTGTCTGTGGCCGGCGCAATTCACACCCCCTCCTCACGTTTCAACTATGACCTCGGTTGGAGGACAGAAACTTGGGATCTTCCGGAGCAAACGGAAGTTCTTAACAACGGCGCTCCGCTCTATAAGGCCCTACGGGCGGTGCATCGGGAGCGTGACCAACAGGTTGTCAACTCGACGCTTCACTCTGGGTTGCGGGCAGAACTGGAGAGACTCCGTGGTCTCGGTGACGAGAACTTGGTGGAAATACGTGAAGTTGCCAGGAATTTGATGTGCCTGTCAGAGGTTTGCAGATGGAGGACAAACGAACTCCAGGAGAATCTGCGACGGAAAAACATTGATTTGGACAAGTGGTCAATATTCCATGGTATTCATGCTGGTTTCGAGTGAGTCACGCGTACTCTTGGATTTCATGGCCCCATTGACAGTGGTTCAGTTTCACTGATCTAGAGAGTATAATGGCCACTCGCGTTTCGCTTCTTCGATCTGCAGCCCAAAGAGAACAACGAGAATTGATAGGAAATTTGGTGACGCCATTCTTCAAGAGCATTATCGACATCGAAAAGAAGTGTCTAGTTAGACTCTCAGCCGCTGCCAGAGACTCCCGACAGCTGCAAGTCGCTCTTAACTCCGTAATTCGCGCTCAGAGATTGGAAGGAGACCCTAGTTTGGAAGTGTCGGAAGAATTTGCCCATGTTCTCTGGCTGCAGAACGAACAAAAGCTGGCAGTGCAATTACTGCAAGAAATACTTGGTTCTTCCGTGTCCCATTCTGACCAGGAAACGCTTACTGCCGATAGCAGAGCTGTGTTGCTAGCCCGACTGGTAAGTCAAGACACGTTTCATTTTCGATCATCAGGACTTAGGATATCTTACAATAGGGAACATGGACATCCGAGGCGTGTTTACAAAAGCCAACCGACATCCTATCCCATTACTTCGACCCCGCCGTGGCCTACATCGCTCCGGTCGGCGGTTCGCAGTCACGTCACAGCTCTCAAGCTATCGTCTATCAGCAATGCGCGATGTTTGCTGAGCGACAATACAGTGCCATATCAAAGTCTGATGATGCTCTCAGGTGGAAGGTATACATGGACCGCAAGATACAGGAGATAAAGCAAAGAAAACGCGAGATGGAGAAGTTCCCGGCGGGTACAAGCCAGTATAATGCACTAGCGCGTGACCAAGAAAAAGCGGAAAAACTTCTTCGGCTAGACGAAGATCGCTGGAAACATCATCAAAGTGCGCTCGAGGCGTTCATCCAACAGGCGGTGGACATGCATTCTTGTTATCTTGAAGCGTCGGACGACTTCGATGATGACGGAAGCATCCGCCTGTGTTCCCTCTGGTTTGCGAACTTTGATAATGCGACATTGCAGCCGAGGGTCCGTTCTGCTCTGGATCGTGTCGCATCTCGCAAATTTGTTTTCCTGGCTCATCAGCTGTCCGCAAGGCTTTCAAAGAACCACGCCGAGGGGACTGGTCAGAGCACCCTGCGGGCTCTGCTCATCCGTATGTGTAAAGAACATCCTTTCCATAGTCTATATCAAGTCTACTGTCTGCGAGCCGAACAAGCGCCTTCACAGTCCCAATCCTCGTCAGCCAACAGACGACACTCGGCGCGCCATGAATCTCCATCCTCGCAGATCGACCGTGCCAGTGCTGCAACAGACATATTCGACCGTCTTCGTGAAGACCCTTCAACTGGACACCGAATCGAGCGCATAGAATCTCTGTGCAATGCCTCCCTCCAGTGGGCTAAATATCCTATCAAGAAGAATAGCAAGTATGACAAGAGTCAGAAAGGGCCCTTCCAGGTACCGGATGATTTACTTATCCGGAAAATCCAAGACTACGATGTCCCAGTGATGACGGCGGAAACACCTATTGATCCCACGATGCAGTACTCCGATTGCATATGGATCAACAAGTATGAGAGTACCTTCGAAACCGCCGGTGGCGTTAATCTCCCTAAAATCATCAACTGCATCGGAAGCGACGGCGAAAGATACAAACAATTGGTGAGTGCACCCAGCTGTTCGCGAGTAGTCCCTTACCAGTCCATAGTTCAAGGGCGAAGGTGGGGATGACCTGCGTCAGGATGCGGTCATGGAACAAGTCTTTGACCTCGTGAACATCGTGTTACGCCGGGACGTCGAGACGCGGAAACGCGACCTTAACGTTCGTGGCTACAAAGTAATACCTCTAGCTTCTCAAGCAGGAGTTATTCAGTTCGTGAAGAATACTACGCCTCTGCAGTCTTGGCTGTTCGCTGCTCATATAAGGTACGCAATGCCTACCAATGATGGGTTCCCAGATGAACTTACCAGACGGTTAGATACCGACCGGAAGACATGTCGCACAAGGAGGTTCACAGTCAGCTAGTGAAGAAACGCAAGGAGTGCGGTGGCCAGGCTGAGCCACTTGTGGACCTTTTCCTGGACATTCGCAAGAGATTCAGGCCTGTCATGAGGCACTATTTCACGGAGAAACACAAGAACCCTATGTCGTGGTTTAGCAAACGTCTGAACTATACCAGGAGCATCGCCACCACTTCCATAGTGGGGCATATTTTGGGTTTAGGTGACAGACACACCTCCAATATTCTGCTGGACAACAGTACTGGCCAGGTTGTGCATATCGATTTGGGTATCGCGTTCGACCAGGTGGGGAGCCAGATTCTCTGATAGTTCTTGGTATTAATTCTGTCATCCTCAGGGGAAGCTTCTACCCGTGCCAGAGCGCGTCCCATTCCGCATGACTGCTGACATGGTCGACGGCATGGGCATGTCTGGCACCCAAGGCGTATTTCAGAGATGTGCCGAAGAGACCTTGCGAGTCTTGCGCGACGGTTCAGAGGTGATCATGACGGTCCTGGAGGTGTTCAAATATGACCCCCTGCATTCATGGTACGCTACGGTCTTCCTATCAACCGTCATGTTCCATAACTTATGCTGGGGTATCTGATAGGACTGCGAGTGAACTCAAAATCAAACGGATTCAGGGAGAGTCTGCACCGACGTTCCCCGACGGAACTCGGATGGCGATCGGAATCGACATGACAAGTGGTTCCGCCGACGAGGCAGCTGACCGCGCTCTAACGTCCGTGGCTAAGAAACTCGACAAATCACTCAGCGTAGAATACACAGTCAACGACCTCATTGCCCAAGCCACTGATCCTGTCAATCTTGCTACTATCTTCCCCGGTGGGTCCGCCCTTTCAACGCGAACTGCGACGGAACTAACCCACCTCTGAAAGGCTGGGGACCCCATTACTGATCCAGATACCCTTGCAACTCCATTCATCTCTTCATTGTATTTCGGAGAATATGCGTATATCTGTAGAAGCCTTCACATTGGAACAAACATGTATCAATATCGCTGTCAACGACGCTCACGGTGTATGACTAAATGTGTATTAACTTATTATGATCCTCAATAGACCATGGCCAGTTCACTGGAAACTGCCGTCGACGGACATGCTCGAAGAATTTAGAAGAGGGTGTTTCACTCATAAACACCCCATGACAACGGTCTCTACTGCACACTTTTGTACTTGTCCCTGGTGAGACGCCGCAAAGAGCGAAGATATAGATATCACAACTGGAGGATATACATGTTCCTATGAGAGGACCGAACAGATTGACAACACTAAAGGAGTGATCAGCTAAGCCAGAAGACCGGTACGTCTTGGGTCTGTGAGATGACAGTGGTGATATAATGCAAGAGAACTACAGTGGTGTGTTTGGTATTTATCCCTCACGAGAACTGAAAACATCCAGAAACAGCGGAAAGAGAGGAACGAAAGGATAATTCAAGGAGCACCAGTCCCCTGAGGGAGCATTCATTTGTTCTTGGCGATTTCCCGCGCTGCCTTGATGAGAGGCGCGAGAGTCCGCAAAGGCTCGCTGAGCTTGAAGAAAGGATGCTGGAGTTAAGTGTCAGTGATCGCTGTCACCCATTTGGAGCCTGACGCATCGACGCACCTGTAATAATTGTGTAGCATCTGGTCGCTTCTCCGCATCCACTTCTAGTGTCTTCGATAGGTAATCCTTGAAGACGGGGGACAGAGCCTCAGGATTGGCGATTTGAGGGGTTCCATTAGTGGCGATCAAGTACAGCGCCTTGAGCGGGTTCTGGTTGAGATAAGGGGGCTCTCCCTCAATCATTTCTAGGGGGAAGGCACGGATTAGTCGATGTATGCGGTCACGACCGACAGCAGAACGCACCTATCGCCATGATACCCAAGCTCCAGATATCGACTTTAGGCCCGTACTCCTTCCTCGTCACTACCTCAGGTGCCATCCAATACGGAGTCCCGACCATAGTAGTCCGCTTCGCTCCTTCCGAGATCTGCGCACAGAATCCAAAGTCGGCTGCCCATGCCCATCAGCACAAACAAACGAAATACGACAGTGGGTTCCACTCACTAAGCTTGATGTCACCGTTCAAACTCAGCAGGACGTTATCACTCTTGATGTCCCGATGGATCACACCATGCCGGTGCAGGTGCTCCAGACCCTTACACGTCTCCCTGCTGACAGCGGCGATCTGGCCCTCGGTCATCAAGTTCGCGGTGACGACGTCCGTCAGGCTCCCGCCCTCCATGTACTCCATGACCACCCACAGGTCGTTCTTGTGCAGGAACGAGTCGATGTAGTTGACAATGTTGGGATGCCGCGAGGCGCGCATGACGAGGATCTCGTTGATGATGAGGTCCTTCTTCGGCTGCTTCTCGAGGTCCATTTGCTTGATCGCGACGCACATATTCGTGCCGACCTGGTAGGCAGTGTAGACGCCTCCCGAAGCACTGGGATAATATACCTCATGAAGATGAAACTCAAAACATAGATCAAGCGCACTCACCCTTGACCGATCTTCACCAGATTCCTGTATAACCTCGTCGGGTCCGCATCCGTACAGATAGCCTGCAGCCTCTTGATAATATCCGCCTCCTTCTCTTTATCCTTCTCCTTCTTCTCCCTCCTTCTCGGAGTAGCCACACCCGCCGCGCCAGCGGTCTTCGCCAAGTGCGCCGCCGCCGCGCTGGGCGGCGCCTGCGAGGGCGACCCGCGCTCGCGCTCCTTCCCAGCCGACTTGCTCGCGTGCAGATCGACCTGGGACGACCCCGGCGAGGCGCGCGACGGCTGCTTGTGCAGCGCCTGCTGGCCGGGCTCGCCGGGGCCCTTCGCGCGGTCCTTGGTCGTGTGCGACCGGCCGAGGGAGCCCTGCTGCTCTGCGGCGCGAATCTTGGAGTGCGTGGATGGCGCGCGCTGGGAGGTCGACCGGTCGAGGGTCGGGGTGAGCGGCGCGGGCGGGGGCGGGGCGGGGCGGTATGAGGACGGCGCGGGAGCTGAGGCGGACTGTGAAACAGCAGGAGGCTGGCCTTGGGGCTTCTTCGGAGGCGGGGGTGCTGTGCGCTGTACGACCGATGAGTAGTATACTAGAGGAAACATGCATGGATACTCACGGGATTTTGGAAGCCCTCCAGGGGATCGGCTTTCTGTGATGTCGAAGGCGATCCATGGGCCATCTTCTCCCACACGTCTCCCCGCGATTCCATGCCCTCCTGGTAGAACTTGACGATCTCCATCACGGCCTGGGGGTTCTTCTCCTGCTCGGTGCGCGAGATGCCGCTCTCCTGCAGGAGCTGCTGCCATTCCTTCGGCAGCCCCGTGAACTCGCCGGTGGAGGAGTTGAAGCCGACGTGCGTGAGGTGGACGGGGTCGTAGGGCGTGGAGATCTCGAGGCGCTTGTTGGTGGTGAGGAAGTCGGACATGAAGCTGAGCATGCCGCCCTTTTTGTTCTTGACGGTCGTGCCGCTGCGGGAGCGGCTGGGGGCGTGGTGGTACGGCGAGGACTGCGCGGACGCGGGGGCGAGGTCGAGCTGGCCGTTGGCGGGCAGGGATTCGTTGGGATCGGCGTAGAAGCCGTTGTCGTGGTTGGTGATGCCGACGGGCGTGGAGAGGCGGCGCGCGGCGAGGCTGCCCTGGGTGGGGAAGATGTCGTTGAGGTTGGCGGTGTTGGCGCGCGAGGGCCGCGGCGGGGGCGAGGTGCGCGTGGACGACATGTTGCTGGACGGCGGGGCGCTGTCGTCGCTGTCGTTCACGTTGGTGTTGTGCGCTGCGAACGGATCGCGGTCGACGGCGGCTGCTTCGGGCGTCGAGGGCAGGCTGTGTTTCCTAGCCCGGGCTGGCTTGTGAACCGAGTGTTTCTTGGGCGAGTGCTCGACCGGGGCCGGCGTAGCAGGAGGGGGTGGCGCAGCCCTGGACGGGAGAAAGGGATCCTTGAAGGTGGCGGCCTGGGCGGCGTGCAGGTTTGCCTCTTGCAGCAGCGCGTTGTATTCCTGGATAGACTCCCTCGACGGGCGGTGGTACTCGACGGTAAATTTTGAGTGGCGCCTCTGCGTGCTCGACGGTCGGGTAATAGCGCTTTGGGGCGAGGACATGGAACAAAGCAGAGCAATCAGATCGTGCGGCTGCGGCTCGATGTCTGCGCAATCCTGGCCGAAACAAGGCACATGCAGACTCCAGGCGCTGTCGATGGCGACGACGATGGCAGCGGCGGACGCGATCTATCACAGACGTAGCCGTCGGACGGGTTACACAGCGAGCAGCAATAAACGCCTCCTGGCAACCGGCCCAAGCCCGGCCTGTTTCCTCACGCCTCTCGAGCGCCTTGACCACCTATATCCAGTGTCCTCTGCACTGGTATCGTCCCTCGACGCTCTCCTTGCACGAGCAATGGTGCTGTTGTTATTCTGGCCAGGGCCCCAGCCAGGCTGATTGGCGTTGTAATGTCGGCGTGGCCAGTCTCACGCTGATACTCGGTCGATAACGCAAGCCTTCTCCCCCATTTGTCTCGTCCATCTCATAAGACGGGACCCTGTCGGACTACCCTTCTGCGCACTTTCTGTTCTCATCATGGACGCCTTTGATCCACCACCTGATGCAGTACGACCTCAACCTGTGGTGGTTGGCCTAGCAATATGTTACTGCTCGATGTATCAATTCGGCAGATGGACCCGTAAGGACTTGGTTCACTTCATCTTGATGTGACACGGCCCGAATACTCATTCCCCAAGGAATTCCTACAGGTTGTGATTTCCGTTCAAGCTGCAGCCTTATGTCAAACGTGATGAAGGCGCTGAGCCGCGGGACGTGACCGTGGCGTGTCTTTGCATCTGGGGCAAAGTGTTTCGCACCTTTGCCTCTCGACGTCTACCAGATACAATTCCACGAAGGGCACCCTCCAGGCTGGACTAACTTTGATTCTTAACTTGTCATGTTCACAGTCGGCTTTCCTCCACCATTATCCTGAGAACGAGTCAAGCATTTCCTATACGCGAGACGAGCGACATTGGCACCAGGTACGAGAGAATGCTGCCCAAGATCACTAGGACACTTGCCACGCCAAACGGTGCCCGTCGAGACTTCTCTGACAACATGTCTTCTCGGGCGGGGGCTAACGATGGCTGCTGGTATGGACATGTATCTCTTTCCACGCTCACACTGCGGTACCCCTTGCCGCTGCCCCTCTCTTAGCTTCCGCCAGGAGTGTCCTGAGCACACTTGGGGAATGCATTCCCGGACGGACGGCCCGCCATTCTTCGGACCTTTCGTGTTCCGACTGCACCGCTACAATGACTCGCAAGGATGCAGGGGCGCCGGGTCTCAGCCTTTCGTCTTTCAAGGGCGACATACATTATTTCACAATATAACTCCCGCCTACCTTTTGCGGTTCTCAGAGTGTTCACTCCGTCTTGTGCTGCTTTTTCTTTGTATGCAATGTCAGTCTTCCCGCGCCCTTGTCATTGACGATGACAGTGAGCACGTCTCGACAATAATACGCCAGAACGAAGCCTCGCAAACACAAAGCCTCCTATTGTGCAGAGGCCAAGAATCAGGAGGACTCGTCGATCGGGGCGCGATCTGCATTCCAATCTTGACCGGGGCCTTCCGGCCTGGACCCGGGCCAGTCGCATGACGTCCACCCAGCACACCCGCATAGCTTCTAGGCACTTCCGACGCTGCGCGATAGGTCCGGTGCGGAACGCAGCCCACAACACAACGCACACTCGCCTGCAGCATAAATTGAGCGAGGGGCCCCCCGGTGGAGCCTCTTTCCAAAGAGACGCGTCACGATTCTCACTACTTGCACACCGCCCTTGTATTTAAGACTTGCGGCACAGCCCGTCTCCTCAAGCTAGACTGTCACGACTTTACGACTCGCGATGAATACGAATACGCACGCTGATCTTGCCGCCGCCGCGACATCCTCACCAAACAGAACGGTCGTGTTTCCTTCGCAGGGACCGGACGGCGAGAGTCAGAGGAACGAAAATTCGATGGGGCGCCCCACAAGCAAGGACGGGGATCAGTGGCCTCCATTGCGCAAGAAGAGGGCCTCCAATGACCTGCGAGATCTGTATCAACATGGCAGGTCATTATCAGGTTAGTCTCTCTGACACCTTTTCAGTAGGAGAGGTATGCTGATCTCGCCCTTAGCCGACCAGACAACGTCGGAAGCTAGGCCCTCGACAGCGAGAACTCTGAGCAATGGGGTTCAGAAGAGTCTGCTATGATCACGACATGCCTAAATTGACTGACCACTGTATTTTTACGGTGGGTGGTTCTTGTAACATCCAGGGATATCGCAGTGTTGACTCCCCTTTGTAGACTTGTAATGGAGGACTTTTTCTTTGCGAATCAGTGTATGATACACCGGGGCGGAATATACTGTATGGATCAGGGGTATGCTGATGGACATTGTATGTAATTGTACTGCTATGTTATGCGGAATATGGCTTGTGAGGCCTTGTTTGCAAGAAAGTCTACGCGGAAAACTCACCGTCTCTCCTCAGTCCTCGAACAACGGTCTGAAATTCTGGAAAACCAGTTAGCCCGCATGTTATCACAAGATGTACGCGTTCTACCTTATCACTATGGCTTTTCTCTTGTGTAGGCAGGATTTCCGATTCGTCATATAGACTCAGGCTATCCTCCTCCATATCGAGCTCCGCGTGCTCCTCCTTTACGAAAGCGATCTGCTGGCTAAAGGTCGGCCCCAGGTATTCCAGCTCATCAGCGTCAGCGTCGCCCTCTAGCATCGCCTCGAACTCCGCAGCGTTCATGTTCTCTATTCCAAGGCCCGAGTCCCGAATGGCCTGCTCCTGCGCTTGCGACAGCTGCGATGCCGGGAGGAACAACGGCTCCGACGCATCTCTTCGCGAGGGTGATTCTGCCCTTTGGCTGAACAGCGGGGACTGCTGCCGAGGCACCGAAGGGGGAGGCATAGACCCTCCGCCCGGCTGCGACGTGCTCGACGCTCTGTTCACCGCTCTCTCATACCCATCAACGTCCGTCCGCTGGACCACCTTCATAGGTTTCTTGCGATCAGGGGCTCGCTTCGTATTGTCCCTCGCCGCGGGGGCTTCGTCTTCCTCGCGAGTCCGCTTCCTACTCTGGGATCCTGCTTGGCTGGCACCACCGCCGGTGCCGTGCAGCTGGCTCGTGGAGATGACGAAGAGCGCCTGGAAGGATTCGTCGTCGACGTCGATGAATAACGGCGAGAGAGGGTCTGTGAAGCGCAGGTCGAGGGTGAGCGCCAGTGACTCGGCGAATGCGATCGTAGCCTGCCTTGGTCTGCGTGAGATGAGTGTTGCACGGTAAGGTGGGAGATAAGCATACATTGAATTCGCGCAGGTGAAATGCGATTGTTATTGGTGGACAGTAGATATCGTAGACATCGAATTCGTCAGCGCTTATCGTGAGCTCCGTGGACAATTGGGCACCCGCTGTATTCTGATTAGTCTAGTCGACGACTGGATGAGCGTACTCTACATACCTTTCGAGTCAAAGAAACTGTCTACGCTCTTCAATTGTACGTCCGTGTGATTAAACGACCAGATAAGTTGCGGGTCGCTCTTCGTACTCTTGGTGGCAGGGAAGTGCTCGATCATGTCTTTGACGGAGCGAGGACCAATAGTCAGACGAGACTCGTTCAACGCTTCGGGTTCTCCGGGGGCCATAAGAGACGTCGGCGTGAGTAGCAGAAGCTTGTGCGTCTTGATGACGCCTGCAGAGTCTCGTTCAGAAGCCCGTGCACGCAGGTTCGTCGCGAGAGGCTTACCGTGCTTACAGTGCAGGCGGACGATGAGCTTGCTTTCTAGAGTGTCACTCTCAGCAGAATCGACTTCGTCTCGCTCGGACATGACGCCTTCGACCACTGAGAGTTCACATCTGGTTACGGACTTCTCCACAGTGCGGTGCTTCAAGATCGACAACAGAGACTGCCCGCACCACCCGCACCACCACATGAAGTGCATTCAGAAATACCAGCAAGCCGGATAACATACCTTGGTTAGTAGTTGGCCGGTCACCGTCAAAACCTCCTGCACGCCGTCGGCGAAGTCGTTCCGTTTCGACTTCTTGTCTCCAACGTTGTACCTCACGAAGAACGATTTCGAAAACTTGTACCGAGCATAAGCTGACATGGAGGAGTTTGTCGAAGAGAGCGAAAGGGAGTCTGGCGTCGCGTAGATGGTGAGATCATCGCCGTATCTTGATAGACATCCCAGGGCCCTGGTGAAGGCTAACTCGCAATTCTCAGCAATGCAGGTTTATGTTTCATCGCAACTGTCGACGCACGTTTGAGGCCCGTAGTGTCTAGTGTTGCTTGCATATAGTAACCCGGTCTGTGCTTGAAAGGGCAAGGCGGGGTCGAGGGGCGAGCTTCAGGTAACACGCGAACAAGTCCAATTACACGCGTCGCGTGACAGTTCCTCGTGACGAGCAGTGACACGTAGCGTCACGACCGTATAGGTGTCACGTCTATCCCTTAGCCAAAGCCAGAAAGTCGACCCCACTGGGAGGTCACACCGCCGAACGCGTTCGCGAACTGCAAATGCGAACGTGAGAACCACATCACGGTGCACGTGGGCGCGTGTCGATTCTGTGGCTCTGTCCACCGGCCACAGACGCGTACCCCTCTTGCTCATGTTAAAGTCTGCATAGCCTGAGGGTTTTAACTTGTAAGTTTATTGTATCAGTCTGTGAGATGAAATTGCTGGGTAATTGTAAAAAAATGTGGTGAGTAATCGAAGCTGTCTGTCCAATTGGGGTCACACGAACCCACTGAAGCCCCTTCCGTGCCCTCCCCCTAACAGTTTCCATGGTCAATACTACTGGCATTGCATTGGAAATGTGATGCCTCCACAGATGCCCTGTATACATATAATTAGTCATTGGGCATGGACAACTTGAAATTCATGGAAATTACTCTATTCACGTCATCAATATCCCTGGTATGGTACAATAATATGTGCATAACAAACTGTATTTTATGGATTGAAAGCATAGCCGCCATTGCCTTTCTCGCTCAATAACAGTTGCGGTGTGGCGATTCCCTAGGCTCAGGTGGCATGGCATCCCCTCACGTGCCCAGACGTTCGCCGAACACGTTCGCGAACGCGTTCGGCGGGCGAACCTCCCAGTCGCCTGGACGTTCTCGCCAAAGCATAAGATGGAGTCCTCAGAATTATACCATGCCAAGCAGCAGTTCATTCTGGGTCCGTATTATCCTTGGGCACTAGTAATATACGCTAATCCCTCTCGCAAATTAGGAGCCTACTCGTCGTTGATCGACTTGACACTACCTGACCCCAATTCCCCGGATCACAACCCCATACTGCTGTACAAGGCTCGAGCGCACATTGCCTCTGGCAGCCCCAAGTGGGTAACGGAGCTTGTTCCAGCAGATACTGAAGATGTTTCCTTGAAAGCTGTCACTGCCTTGGCCCGGTATAGACAAGCTACAGAAGATGCCGACAAGGACTCTGCACTAGAGGAACTGCGAGATCTGTGTGTAGAGATCGAAGGAGAGGACGGGAGCACCGACGAGAGACAGAAGGCTCTGGTGCGCGTTATAGCTGGAACCGCATTCGTGTGGGCCGGCGAGATCGAGGAAGCTTTGGAAACTTTGGGTGCTGGAACCAGCCACGAGAATCTTGAAGCGTGAGTCAGCAAATCCTCATCTGCTAACTTACAAACGATTATGCTGATTCTACGTGGTGCGCTCTGTTCACAATAGCGTTGCTATCACTGTGCAAATCTACCTCTCCATAAACCGCACCGACCTTGCAACGAAAGAGTTCAACCGGGCCAAGCGATGGGCAGAAGATGATCTCCTCCTGCAGCTCATAGAATCGTCTATTGACCTGGTGAAGATCGGAAATGATGCATACTCCAACCCGAACTCGTTCTACAACGAGCAACTTGGCAACCCGTCCTTGACTTCCCCGCACCTTTTGACAGCGCGTGGTGTCACACGCCTTCTGAGAGGGGAGATTCCAGCGGCCAAGTCGGACTTCGAAGAAGCACTCTCTCAGAAGCCTGGCGACCCGGAGACCTTCGCCGCCCTGACAGTAGCCTCCAGTCTACCAGGGTCGAAGAGAGGGGAAGGCGAACAATTCTGGAAGTACGTATCTCCGCGTCGTATTGAAGTCTTTCCCTTCGTATTGACTTGCGGGCGGCTAGTGATTTGACCAGCAAACACCCCGAGCATCCAATTGTCCAGGAGGTTTCGAAAAAGGCTGACCTGTTTGACGACTTTGCCACCAAATTCATTGTCCCACCTATGGCTGCGGTAGCGTAATCTATTATAGGTATTGATCCAATCTTGTCCAACACTTCGGAGTGATCAGGCGAAGAACGTCTCGTCCTCCGATAACATCGCCCTTTTTTGGGCGTTGTTTATCTTCTCTCGCCCTATGAGTGGACCCTTCACCTTCTCCTGTTCCCTGAGCATGCGCGCGACCCTCTTTCACGCTAGCGGCCAGTATATCCGCCCGAGAAACGTCGTGAGCGTTGAACTATTCTAACCATGACAGTCGGTAAAATTGTCAGGCCGACATGCAGCGGAAATGGCATACTCGGCTTTCGCGACAGTCATTGGCACCACGCATCGAATGCTATACTGGTATGTTGATTTAGACCCGCCAAAGGTTCCGTACCTGTCTGACTTAGCGTCCGTCGTGCACCGTAACTCAGGTCCATCACAACCATTGGCGATGTCAATGGGACGTGCTGGACCTTGGCTGGTCCATCAGGAAGCTGTTGTATACTCCGCTCGACGGTATTATGACGCTTCTTCGGTTCAAGTAATAGATCAACTCTGCATGCTTATCGGTGACTTCAGTGTTGTTCAGCAAAGGAATTTGCTAGTGAAGGTAACTTCGATGCCCATTTCCACCTTCGCATACTTTATGGATGGTCGGCGGACACTGCGGCCTCTTCAAGCGGAATATGAAGTGCAACGATAGTCAACACACCCCGACGAGCCTGAGAAGCTTTCCAGATCTGCACTCGCTGTCACTGTTGTTATTCGGGTTTAGGGAAGTCGGCCTCCCATGTCTACATGTCTAACTTGCATGGAAGTACGACGTCCTGGCATCATACTTGCCGGGGTCATAGGACGAATCCATTGACGACTCCTGATATATAAAGGCGCGCCGCCTTGGTTAACGCACCCCCGGGCCTGCATCACTGAGTGCACTAAGATAACATGTCTTCTATATTGCAGACTGTTTCAGCCACAGTGCGTATCTTTCGCTTACTTCGGTATTATCCTCGTTTAACGCTTTCCAAGGCTGTAAGAGCGAAAGACGATGCTGAGAGGGTCGTCGAGGAATTTCGCGCGAAGGTTTGTCTTATCCCTGCATGGTCGGGACAATGCATGCTTGACATATGATAAATTAGATAAAGCAGGACATATCTTTTATCCCTGATGCAAGCACACTGGTATGCATGCTCCCGCTTGGAACGATATCTCTGGCTAATCACTGCAATGGGCAGGGTGCGGTTGTCGATGCAATCAGACACAACGACGCGATAGACGACAGGAAGATGCTAGTGTGTAGATCTTCGGCGTGCTACATGCCGGCAGTTGCGCTGACGTATATAGCTTGAACACGTCTTAGTCCTGTTGTCCCGCTTGCCCCAAGGCGACCTCCTAAAGAAGCTTCAAGATGCTACCGTAGAGCTGTGTAGGTTTCCTCCTCTACAATGATTTATTAAACCTTGTTGCTGATTTATCGCCCATTAAGTATACCTTGATCTGCCCCATCCTCCCGTGACATACATCGGGTCCGAACACGCTTTCCGCACGGCCGATGGATCCTATAATAACATTGATAACCCTAAGTTAGGTCAAGCGGGAACCCCGTACTCCAGGAGTGTACAGGACATACATCTCCTTCCCACAAGAGTCCTACCTGACCCCGGTCTCGTCTTTGATGTTCTCTTGAAGAGAGACGGGGTGAGTAAAGTTCAATTGTCGAGGAAGCAGGCGAAAGTGACATGGCCGATAGTTCGTGAAACACCCTGCGGGGCTCTCTAGTCTGTTCTTCTCTTTTGCTGCTCTCGTCATCCACAGGTTTGCGTTGTTCTATAGCTCGCTCCGGTACGGCACCGCTGACCAGCTTCAAGCATTTTCCGTACATCCCACCAGAACTATGATATAAACGAGACATCCTCTTACGTTGATCTTGCACCGTTATACGGTAATAACCAAGACGAACAGAATAAGGTCAGGGTTCGAGATGGTCGCGGCCTCCTCCACCCGGACGTCTTCGCGGAGAATCGTCTCCTACTCCTGCCGCCCGCCACCTCTGTACTGCTGGTCCTCTTCAACCGTAACCACAACGTCAGTTCTGGCAAATGTCTTCTCTCAGTGACGAATGCTTATCACGCGGCCTTCATCTAGTACATCGCTCGCAAGCTATTACAAATCAATGAAAGAGGGTGGTATATTGATCCTGACACTATTGACCCTGTCGACACCGAGAAAAATGCGAAGCTTCTGCAACAGGAAGAAGACATCTTCCAAACGGCTAGACTCGTCAATGCTAGCTGGTTTGCGTCGGTTGTCATGTCAGACTATTTCAGTAATATCCTGGGATTGGTTCGGGATGGGAATACTTGGGTTTTGAATCCCTTCGAGGTAGATACATCCTGGTTTGAACTCCCTTCTGTGCTCTGACATGGATTTGTATAGGACATCAGGAAATCAGATCATTCCCTCTTCGAGAGAGGAAGAGGCAATGCCTGCAGCGTTGAAGTGAGGACTATCTAGGCTCCTTCGGGATTCAGCTGACAAGCACGACTAGTTTAATTGTCTCTACAGATGGCATGCCACAATGTCAGTCGCCGATGAGCAGTATACCCAGCGGGTGTTTTCTCAGGTGTTTCCCGACAAACCTATGGATCAGGTGACACCTTTTCTGTAATACCTGCCCATAGTTGTCTGACCTTTCCCAGGTTACCGCCGCCGACTTCAAGGAAGTCGCAAAGAAACAAAACGATATGGATCCTGACTGCTCCCATTGGACTTTCGGCGGGTGAGCAAGGCAGGACTTCATAGGCTGTTTATGTTTGATGATAAATATCTACCATCAGGTTGCAACGGCAAAAAGATGGTACCTTCAGAGACGAGGATCTGGCAAACTTCCTGAGAAACTCGTATGCAACTCCGGTCTGTCGCTGTGATCATGACTTTGACATGACAACGTGTTTAGGACTGAGCAACCCGCTGCTGCCTTCCGCGCTAGAGGCACACCGGAGGTCATGCGCTTAAATGAAATCATGGGTATTACCCAAAGTCGTGCTTGGGGCTGTTGCTCACTCAACGACTTTCGAAAGGTGCTTTATTCCGTCCTTGTGTTCCCGTAATGTACATGATACTGAACGTTCACTAGTTCCTCGGGCTCAAACGTGCGTAGATCCCATTTCACTGCAGACGAAGTAGCTCATGCCTGGTCATATTCAGCGTACAGCAGTTTCTTAGAATGGAACCCCGATCCAACGATCGCTGCTGTTGCCGAGAAGCTCTACCATAGTATCGACAATCTAGAGCTCTATGTAGGTCTTCAGGCAGAGGAAGCTAAACCCGTTGTTGAGGGCGCCGGTCTTTGCCCAGGTGAGTGCAGTACAAGTCCCTTTACCAAATCTCTAACCTACTTTGTGGTAGGATACACCATCAGCCGAGCAATTCTGGCCGACGCCATTGCTTTGACAAGGGGTGACAGGTTCTTCACCGCGGATTACACGCCGTACGCTTTGACTACTTGGGGCTTCAACGACTGTCAGAGGGATCCCAATGGCCCAGGCTTTGGCAGCATGCTGGGTCGCCTCTTCCTGCGCACGCTTGGGGACCAATGTCGTCCCAACAGCACGTATACTTGGTTCCCTCTGATGACTCCAGAGTCAATGAAGGACGTTCTGACGAACCTTGGCAAACTCAATGTATACGAATTCGTTAGACCGAGTACGCAAAGGCCGCTGGTTGTCATTGATGATTACAGGATCGTCAAGGAGATCTTGAACAATGACAACTTTGTCGTAGTGGGTGTCGACAGGGCAGCTCCTTTCATCAAGGGTGAAGGGTAAGGATTTGATTTTTCAACCATAACCGCCGACGTCTGAGTTGCACCAGTTTCTTCATTGCATCATCCGACCCGGAGCAAGGGCGCAGGGAGCAGCGGGAGTTCCTCCGCTTCCTCGCTGGCACGCCCGAATTAGTGCAAGCGGTCACGAAGTACTTCAATCGCAAAACCGTTGAGCTCATACGAACGAACACGTATGGTAACGTCGGCAGCAACACTAAGAACATTAACATCGTACGGGATGTCGTGAGATATGCGCCGGTTCATTGGGTTGCCACAGAGCTGGTGCGTCACTTTGATATGGCTTTATTCTGGTACTTGAGCCGTGACGATCTACAGGCTGGGATTCCCATCCGGTCCAAGGACCATCCAGATGCCCCGTACACTGAACAGCAGCTGTACGACATAGTCACTGGGATCTACGAGTAAGTGATTTACTGAGGGTGGGAGATCTCCTTGACCGTTGGTTAGGTATCTTTTCCTCGACATCGACCCTGCGAAGGAGTTGACCCTGCAGGATACTGTAGGAAAGCAGATGAAGGAACTTCTGGGCCACATTCACTCAGGTCTGAGTCGCCAGGGGTCTGTGAGTATTCGATGCCAGCACCATAAAGATTCCGAATCGCTTAGCATCTCGCAGCTTCTGTCCGGCATATGGGACACCATCTCTTCCATTTTCACTGGCCAGTCCAATACCGACAAGGGCACTTTCGCGGAACGCTTTTCGACATCCGGCTGGTCACAGGACAAGATGGCGAACACGATACTCGCGGTCCTCATCGGCTCGACGGTGGAGCTTTCCCAGAGTACGTCTAGTCTCAGCTTCTTTTAAATTCATGACTGACATTGGGAACTTACAGCGTTGACTCATGTCATCAACACGTACCTCGACGAGAAGCATGCCTCCACGATACAGCCTTACAGTAGTACCTGGGATGCCACAGCAGAATCCGTCGTACAAGCATTTGCGCGTGAAGCTATCAGTAAGGATTTGCGACGTATGAGCCATGAAGCCTTCTTGACTTACCATGTGCAGGACTCGACCCTCCCTTCGCTGGCGTGTATCGTGAGTGTCTCTCCTATAAGCCTTTAAGATACATTACTGAACGTCGGGACAGGTGACTGCCGTCGGGGAAAGTCCATCGGTACTTTGTCGGTCCAAGCCAAGGACCGAGTGTTCCTTGACATGGAGAAGGCTCACAAGAATGTAAGACTGTCGCTTTGAGATACCTTCACTTGCTCACAGAGCCGGTGGCAGGATGCCGTCTTCAAGCACTCTGGCGAAGTTAATCAGAATCGCCCGAAAGAGTCCTATCTGATCGCGGACGGCTCTACAAAGTGATGCTCATGCTCTAGCATTATGCAACGTACTGACCACCCATGTCTCAGCTGCCTTGGAGAGGAGCTCACCTTGAAGGTCTGTGCTTGTGTCAGCGTCCGCACTGTGTCTGATCATGTTTCTTTAGATCATTGCAGAGATGCTACAAGTTGTCTTCACCCTAGGGAATGTGCGTCGGGCTCCCGGCAATTCTGGAGTGCTTCAGAGGTGAATATCGCCCAGGCGAAGTACCACTTAAAACTTGTGCTAATGACTTCTCCAGGCACAGGAACGAAGCCAATCAGGCAGCGCGGTGGGAGTACCTCAAGGTGGGGGGTGTAACCTTCTGGCCCGACTCTATGGTCCTACAGGTAGTGCTGTTCTACATGCGATGTTGGTCAGCCCTAATATTAATATTCTGCCATAGTATGAATGAAGTTACCTACCGCCTACGCGAAAATGCGGTTGCATGGTTTGCTGCGTTTTGTCCTCCATGTCGTAACCTGGGTTCCCCTATAGCCTACGATAATGTTTATCATTTTATACACACCATATGTTGCATTTTGAGTGCCAGTCGCGATCTAACTATATCATTATGGCGGACATGAGAAAGCACTCGGATCGTATGGACGGCCGTAAAGCGCGGAAACCCTGGGAGAATTATGGCCCGCAAAGTGATGGCACAGCTTACCACGATCCCCGATCCAATCGACGCGTCCGATCTCGGGAAGTGATGCGTCAGCTCTTCCCATTCGGCATGGATCTCTCTGCGGAGACGCAGCCAGCCATACACGACAGCCTTTCTCTATTCCTACTCTCAGAAAACCGACATATTGTGAACAACCCACTTGGATACTACTGTAATGGCTTCCGTGCACCTCCTCGTCTTGATTCATGGTATGTGGGGAAATCCCAGCCATCTGGCCGAAATGAACCGAATAATATGCGAGACGCATAAGCGCAAGGACGTGGAAGAGTCAAGTAACGCTGAGTTGGAGGTGCTTCTGCCAGAGACCAACCGCGACGATTCCACTTATGACGGAATTGATTGGGGAGGAGAACGGGTAGCGGAAGAGGTAAGTGATTCCTCCTTGGGTGGGGCTTGTTGTTCTTCACAGGGTATTCAGACGTCGCGTAGATCTATGCAAAGGTAGAGAAAATAGAAAATGATGGTAAAAAGGTCTCCCGATTGTCAGTAACGGGCTACAGTCTGGGTGGATTGGTCGCGCGATATGTAATTGGGTAAGCAAGGAATATCCCCCCATAGACCAACATTCGAACTCGGGTATACTACAGGATCCTTTTCCAGAGAGGTTTCTTCAATGAAGTGACCCCGGTCAATTTCAACACCGTTGCGACACCGCATATTGGGTTGTTGCGCTACTCTTCGTTCTTCTCTTCCGTCACCCATGCCCTGGGACCGAAGCTACTGTCAAGGACGGGGGAGCAGTTCTACGGAGTAGACAAGTGGTCTGTTAGAGGAAGACCCCTTTTGGATGTTATGGCAGATCCAAGTATGTCTCCTAAATACTTTCTTGTTTCGCCTTACCTAACGTTTGCCAGATCGTATCTTCTACCAGGCTTTGGCCAAATTCCAGCATATACGGATTTACGCAAATGCGTGCGTTCTCTGCGCTAAATCATACATCTGCCCATTGTTGAGTTCCCTTCTAGCGTCAATGACCTGACAGTACCATACATCACGGCCGCCATTGAGCCGGAAGATCCCTTCGTCGAACACGAGACGAATGGTATAAAGATGTATGACTTCACTTCTGGCAGTCCGAAGTGCGGCATTGATAGGCGTTATTTTGGTAGTGAACTGGACGAGAAGTACGATCCCATCATAAAATCGTATTTCCTTCCTTCAGAGCCTCCCGTCATCCCGAAGCCGTCAGTGCTATCCAGGGAATGGTTTGCAGGTCTCAAACCTCGACCATTCTTACCTCCACCGCTACAATTCGCTTTCCCTTTCAATATCGTGAGTTTTTAGCGAGGTTCTCCTTGGCTGACAGCTGAGCCGTTTGCTTTCAGCTGATGTACCTCGCCCTACCGTTCTTAGTGCCGGTGATCATAACCCTGGTGCTGATACGGTTTACCTCCGCTTCTAAGTCGTCGCGAGCTCGCATCCAATTACTCGAAAGAGACGAGTCCTACCGGAACAGACTTGTCCATTTGATCTCGGATGTCGAAAAAGACGTGGAGGGTGCCGTTGGCGAGTTCATGGTCGATGCGGGCCTGACATCGGACTCCAGTCGCTCCGGGGAACAGAATCTCGAGGATGAGTCACTGCAGGCCATGCAAAAGCCGTCCTCACATTATCCTATCCTCAGCCCTGCGCAACGGACTCGCATCGCCGCGCTGAATAGCTTGCCTGGCTTGCGCAAAGAAAGGGCATTCATACACCCGACCAGAAATTCGCATGCCACGATTATCGTCCGGGATCCCAAGCGGTTCCCGTTTCACAAGCGGGGAGAGGGAGTCATCAGACATTGGGCGGACCATTTCATCCTGTGAGTTTGCAATAGATCTATCTTGTTAGGAATGGATTCTCTGTGGTACGGACTATGGTACTTTGTACACTCTTTTGTCTCTAGACTGTAACTTATATTTGGCGCTGTCGTAGGTAGATGGCCGCTGCCGTTAATGAGCTGTGGCTATTGTTCACCTGGTTTGATGCCCTCTCATCCTGTCCCCGCACCATTGTCCCCTCGCCCGAAGCTGTTTGGCTTCCATCTTTGGTACCGTAACTCACTATCACGTGACGCGGAACTAATTAACGCGATCGGCACGCGTCACGTCGCTAAAGACAATTAGCTGCGAACGAGAAGGCTGCGGTGCGAGTGGGCTCTGGCACTTTGCAGCTGGACCTACTTATACGCCGCGATGGATCCACAACTCGGACTCGTCCCCGCCCCTGGTTGCGTGGTTACGTCGTACAGAGTCAAAACCGGACCCGTATACTCTAGACGACAATACGACGACCTGGCGTCGTCTGTCTAATCCTCATATATATTGTATCCGCTCGCCATAGCTAGCTTCGGTGCCCCATTAATTATGTCCAGCACTGGCAGCCGCAAGAGAGCCCAACCTACTGAGAATGACGGCGCTGAACGAGCTCGCCCTGATAAGATCCAACGTGAGTCTCATGTACTGCTGGTCTGTAGAGTTGACTTCTCATTCACGATACAGGGTTATCTTCCTCTCCAGCGGGTCCCAAGGCCCATACACGACGGAGGAAGAGTTCCCATCCAGCCGACGATGCTCAAGAAGGTATTAACCAAGGGACAAACATGTTGAGCATGCTAATAATCTAGTATTCAAGGAAGTCTCAATTACGACGGGGTCCACATCACAAAATATGCCAAGCGAATGTGAGCCAGGAAGACGAGGTGCTTGAGAGTGCGACTGACTGGCTTCTCATCCTAGTTTCCGTGAGATTCGGAAGAAATGGCGAGGACTACACCTCACTCAAGGCTCGAAGAAATGGTATCGCCCTTCCAACATTTCGACGAAAGAGCGTAACAAAACCACGAAGAAGCTACAGGTGAGCTCGACTAGTGTTTCCGGTTGAATGCCATGTACTGACTAATGTGCGGTGAGGTTGTGCGGGACCTGTTAAGACTTAAGCGTAAACTGGGGAAGCAAGCTGAACTCGAAGGGTCTGATAGTGATGCTGAAGCACATGCGGTTGCGGACATGCTCATAGAGACGAATGCAGAGTTTTCTCTCGACGATTCTCAGCACGCGTATCGGAGCCCTGGCTTCCCGGCTGTGGACTCGCGTAGATTGTCCCCGTACACAGATGCATCGTCCAGCCGGTGTACCTTCGACGCTCGCAGGTCGTCCCTAGCTTCAGAATCGTCCTTCAGCTTGGCCACGTCCGACGATGGTACGCTGGTGGAAGAGGTAAGCTCCTTTGCCACAGTCACACCCGCCTCTTCTCACCCGCTTGGAGAACTCGTCGTACTCCCCCGGCTATTCCTGGAAGGAAGCCGAACGCCTGCAGCAACAAGCCCGCGAGGCGCTCGTAGCCGTGGACAAACTACAGGAACGGCTCGCAAGCGCCGATGCCGAGCGGCGCGCAACGGTGGTCGAGAACGCGGCATTCCTTCAGAGCGTGCGCGGGCTGGCAGCGATGGTGGACCGCGTTGCTGGGCGGCTGGGGGCGGCGCCTTGGTCCTGCGCGCGGGCCAAGGGAGGGGAGGAGCTCCTGGATGAGATACGGGCGCAGCTTCAGGAGGCGGACAGGTTGATCGGGGTTTGGGAGGAACTGGCAAGGGCGCTCGTTGGGGAGGTGAGGAGACGGGATGGGGTTATTTCACGGAGGGATCGGGAGTTGTTGGCGGTGCGGATGGCGGTGACGGATGGGCAGGCGTTCGATGGAAGGTAGTCGGTCTTTGGGAGAGGCTGAGATGTAGTGCTGGAGATGGAGGTCAGTGAAGTGCCACGGTGAACGTCCAGGTGCGTTTCCATACGAATACTCCCCCGTTTAGATCCTTATTGACGTCTATGATCAGCTCTTGGTGTTCTAAAGATCGTGGGGCCTCAGGGCACCGTACCTAATCCTCCTGACCTCCACCCTTGCAAGCATTACACGTCTGTATTTTTGGTCTTAATATGTTATTCGCTAATGTTTACCGTGTACGATACGGTCACTCGCATTATTTCGTATTATACTATATGTCGCACCTTTTCTGCTATGTACCTATTCAAGTCAAATGCCACAGTATGTGTCCCTCGCACCTTGCGCCAGACTCGTCGAGAAGTCTCCTCCAGGTTTTTGAGGAAAAGAAGAGTTTTGGGATTTAGGGCACAACACACAGGATACAGATTGCGAGGGATACAGGCCGATAGCGTAACGATACATGAGTCGGTATTACAATTAGATAGTCCACTAAATAGCGTATGAATCCGAGGCCAATCAAGGCTTGAGAGTCCCAGAAATATATCACCCATTAACCTATTGGAAGTAAAGTAGCGAGTCCGTAAAGAGTGGAGGGGGTGAGAGATCAACGTCGTGCATCGTCCGACAGTCCGTATCAGGTCGTGGAGCCGTCTCATCCCCGAGAATGACCAGGGTTGAGCTAGAATCGTTTAGAAAATTAATGAAACATGATGCTGCGCCTCTTGGCCTGCTGTTGCGCGGTGATGATGACAAAGTCGGCGGGGAGGATGGAGGCACGGCGTGGGCTGCGGACTGCGCGGGTGACGGTCTTCCAGGCGCGAACCATTGAGCGCGAGAAGGATTTTGAGTGAGAGGAGCGCAAAGACGATTGACTGGAAGAGACAATATTTAGGCTGAGTGGGGGGGACGGCGGGGGGAGGGGGGCTTACCGGCTGTAGGGGCGATCCTCGATGGCAGGCACGGCGATGACGGATAAACGAGCGTGGTAGGTGACTTGGACCATTGTGTTTGTGAGAGAGGCGTAGAGTTCGTGAGGGTTGTTATACGGATTGGGTAGCACGGAGGGTGTGCAGCGGCAGCGTCTCGGACGCGGATGAGGAGGGGATTGATGAAGGAACAAAGCCAAATAGTAGGTACAGGGTATAGGCGCAGGCAGTTGAGGAGACCAGTCCGGGGAGATGAGAGCACAGTTCGTCGGCCTTAAGAGTTGCGCGCGCGTCTCAATAATGCGAGGTCGCGATGCTTCTCAGGTCCCGTTATAGCCACACCTTGTTCTCCATCAACCATTGTAACGAGCAGAGCGGCATAATCGTGTATCCAGCCTCTGAAGACGATGAGAGCCCGGGAGAATGCAAGCAACGCAGCGGCAGCGGAACATTGTGGACAAAAGCAGCGAGACAAAGGAGACGGGCGAAGACAACGCCTTCCTTATCGGGACGGCATTGACATAGCAGCTTTAGCCGGGAGGTTAGTCGACGCTGCAGAGCGCCCTCGAATGTGCTGGCAATCGAGTGCATCATAGACCGAGGCCGCCAAGAGGGGCGGGCACTCACGCAACACATCGCGGGCATCGCGTCAGACGTCGACGAGCATATGGACCGGGCAAGATCCGCCCGGTCGCATATAGCCACCCGTCTTTCACCCAGACCACTCGGACAGGAGTTCAACACTCCTCTCGTCCTGACTATCATCTCGACTCCAACGTCGTGCAGCACTTGAGAAATCTATCGACGCGCAGAATCACTATGCCTCGCCCAGCTGGAATCCTCGACAACGCCCTCGCCGCTGTCGGCAACACCCCGCTCATTCGCTTGTCGAAAATTGCAGAGCAAGAGGGTCTAAAGTGTAACCTGCGTACGTGCCGTGGCCATTGTGGACCTTCCAGTAGAGGCTCATCACTTACTTTGTTAGTTGGCAAGCTTGAATACACTTCCGCTGGCGGGTCCGTCAAGGACCGTATCGCCAAAGCGATGGTAGAAGCCGCAGAGAGAGAGGGCAAGCTGATTCCGGGCAAGAGTGTCGTCATTGAGCCCACTTCTGGCAATACTGGTCAGTGTTTCTCTTGTCTACCATAGAATCAGAGGGGCTCATGGCCCTCAGGTATCGGACTTGCTATGGCATGCGCCATCAAGGTCTGTACCCGTCAGCCTCAGTTACGCATGGGTGGTTGCTGAATACTATAGATATAAGGGATACTCAGTGATCATCACCATGCCCAACAAGATGTCGCTGGTGCGTTGCTCCCTCCCCCACTGATTACCCTCACTCACTCCCTGTTCAGGAGAAAGAAGCCACCCTCCGCGCACTTGGCGCAGAAGTCGTGCGCACGCCTACCGAGGCCGCATGGGACTCGCCCGAGAGCCACATAGGTAGCGCCCACTCTTCCTTGCACACACGTCTCGTGGCTGAATTCCTCCACGATCCCGTTCAATTTGTGCACAGGTGTCGCTAAGAAGCTCGAGAAGCAGATCCCGTATGGGATCATTTTGGACCAGTATCGCAATGTGCGTACCTCTTCCCACTGAGTGCATGCGAGACTACGAGTCACTGACGCATACTGCTTGTAGGAGAACAACCCGCTTGCGCACGAGCTCACGACGGGCCCGGAGATTATCGCAGACGTCACTGCAACGCCCTCCACACCCGAACGTCCCTCCTCCGGCCAAGTCGACGTCGTAGTCGCCGGTGCCGGGACGGGCGGCACAGTCACGGGTATCGCCCGCGCAATCAAGAAGACACACAACAAATCCGCAACCATCGTCGCGTGTGATCCTGTACGTTCCTTTTTCACCCAGCTTACAGCAATTCCCTCACCTCCCACCAGCAAGGCAGTATCCTCGCGCTCCCGGCCGAACTCAACAAGACCCCAACGAATGTCCCCTACATCGTCGAGGGCATCGGGTACGACTTCGTGCCCGACGTGCTCTCGCGCGAGCCGGGGCTGATCGACACGTGGGTGAAAACGAGCGACGAGGAGTCGTTCGCGATGGTCAAGCGCCTCATGCGCAGCGAGGGCCTGCTCGTGGGCGGTTCGAGCGGGAGCGCGCTCGCGGGCGCAGTGAAGTGGCTCAAGGGCACCGAGGAGGGGTGCCGGTGGGCTGAGAAGGAGGGTGCGAACGTGGTAGTGCTGTTGCCTGACGGGTGAGTGCTCGTTGGCAGGGGGCATAGGGTGTTGGGTACGGATGATTGACGTCCTATGGCAGGATTCGGAATTATATGAGCAAACCGTGGTTCCTCGAGATGACGATGAGCCCGGAGCCGACGCCCTTGGCTCAGAAGATCGCGAGCGTGCTCGGTACGCCTGCGAAGACGAACGGGCATGCGAACGGGACGGTGCAGGAGACCGTCGAGGAGACTGGCGCCAGTGTGCGCCCGCCTGTGAACGGGGTGAAGAAGGTGGTGGAGGGTGTGAAGGAAGAAGGCATGGGTGAGGGAATGCAGTGAATCGACAGTCTGCTACTGGTCCCGATGTTTGGAACGTTATAGAGGTATCATAGACACACGGACGATAGTTTCGTTTATTGAGCTTATGTATCGGTGATCGCATTGAGGAATAGAACTTCCTAATCTAATATTCGAGTCACTTTCGGGATACCAGCGCTGGCTGGAGAAGGGCATCACATTCTGAAGCAAAATTACGTGAATAAGGTAACGAGAGTCTATCCTGTAGATCATATCATGAAGGTAAATCTCAAGGCCCGACTCGAACCCGCCCATACGTCGCTCAAATGTCCTTGACCTGCTCCTCCAGCCACGTCCACAACTCCTTCCCGAGCTCGGGGTCCGCCGTATCCTTCCTCGCAGGACCGACGCGTGCCCAGGGGATCGCATACTTACCGTTCAGAGTCAGACCCTCAGCAGAGGTGCCGGCCCAGAGTTGGGTCAGGGCACCGTAAGGGGTCGGATACAGAATGGAGTTCTGGAGGGAGTCGTATCGTTATGGCATGAATATGAATTGGTGATGGTAGACGTACGATAATTCTTCTCTGTAGGCCAGTGGTGTAGCGTTGCAAGTCACTCTTGATATTTCCTACGGGAGGTGGTGAGCGACGAGTCCTCCTTCTCGAGATTAGACGTTGATAGCCTCATACCGGGGTTCAGCGACACCGAAATAATGCCCTGATCTCCGTACCTCCGGGCCAACTCATTCGCGAACACGACATTCCCCTGAACAACATTACGCGCTTAGTCAGGCTCCTGCGCACTACCAAGCTACGCACGAATTTACTCTGGGCGTACAACCGCCCCGGATCGATCTTCCTCCTTTTCGGGCCGTCCTTGAACGTTGCAAAATCGAGGCCGAAGAACAGATGTGCTGAGGATGACGTGGTGATCACGCGCACTTTGCCCTCGGGCGCGGTCTTCGCTGTCTCTAGCAAAGTGGGGAGGAGCAGCTTCGTGAAGTAAAAGTGCCCAAGCACGTTGGTGCCGAATTGCATGTCGTACCCCTGAGCGGTGACCTGGTCGATGGGGCATATCATGACGCCACTGTAAAGGCAAGGAGGTTGGTAAGGGAGCCAAGGGAAAATGATTGTGTAGCTTACGCATTGTTGAAGAGCACATGTAGCTGGCTCTCCTTGCTAGAATTCGGCGGGTCAGGAGCGGCCTGAACTATACGAGGATGAGCCCAACGGACCTCTTAAATTCCTCCGCAGCCGCTTTTACAGAATGAAGATCGGCCAAGTCCAACTTCAAGAAAAGCGCGGTCTTTCCGGTTTGTTGCTCGAGATCCTTGATAGCTTGCTCAGACTTCTCCTGGTTCCTCGCGGCAATGTACACTTTTGCGTTATGCTGAAGCAAGGCCTAATCCAGTTAGGTGGCGTCATCAGCTTTCCTGGCCAAATGGCCGAATGATGATCAACACGAACGACCAACCTTCGCTGTCTCCTTCCCGATGCCAGTGTTGGCACCCGTGACGATCATTACCTTACCTGTCAAGTCGGGGATATCCTCAACTTTGAACTTTGATTTCGCGGGCCACATCTGCTGCGTGAGCATAGATAGATAGGCACCCATAGTTGACCTGGTTGTTCCTTTACCAGTACACAGTTGTCGAAGGTGAGTGTTGGATTCTCCAAGGAAATGGGGACTGGGGTCGCGCACCGGATGGTCAGAGGGTATTACTTGCTTGGGTATTTGTGGGATCCGGAGCGCGACCGCACGCTTTATTCTTATACGCGCAGCGTGATGGTGGGAGTGACTGTAGGGAAAAGTCTGCCATCTCACCATATCGAATGACGATCACAGATGCGGCCTTCAGAAGCCCACAGCCGCCGCCCTCTCGCAGTTATCGCAGATGCAACGCGTACGCTCGAGCTCGGCATGTAATACAGGATCCCCACTGTCGCCGCGTATGCACGTCAATAGTAACAGATGATGACAAGGACTTTGTCAACAGAATTCGTGTCATCGGCGCGACATAAATCCACGAGAGGCACATGAGCGTCTCATCAGTAAAGCAAAGTAATGCACCAAGCTGCGCATGCCGGAGGCGGAGCTCCGCTGCCCCAGCAGCTGCTTCGATACCCAGCGTTGAAAAGACACTACTGTAGCTAGGACTGAGGACATGGCTGCTAGCGAGCTGCACCATTCGCAACCGAACTTTGGACGCTTTCAAGACGGCCAACCGTTCCTCGGCCCGCCATCTTCTTCAATGGCTCAGTGTACAAGGGCCAAGGTCTCCCCATCCAGCTCATGAGCTCTGTGTGGTCCTTGTACGGACTGTCCGTGGTAGGGTGAATCAGAACTCTGTAAGCGGAGATATGAGTGGACTTCAAATCGAGGTCGACATCTCGACGGGACGACGTACGAGCAAGGACCGCGCCAAACAGTGAGCCATGAGAAGAACGCACCAGTCTGATGGGGCGTGAACGTGTTCACCTCGAACATGGCGACCGGGTGGGGGCCTCCGGGCAGACAGCCGGATCAATAAACTTTCTGAAGTGGTCGATTATGAGCTAACTCACCGACCGGCTTGTCCCAGAATTTGTAGATTCTTAATTCAGGGAACTCCCGACGGATACGTTCATGCAGCTCTTTGGCGTACTGCATTTCCTCGGGTACGCTTTGCATATAGTATACTATCGGGCAGGTACACGAGGAATAAGGTCAGCTCAGATATAGCCAGTACGGTGAGTGTACTTACTGTGGAAGTCGAATCCATTGTTCGAGGAATCGATGGGAGGAGGGAATTCTGTGTATGAAGAGGACAACTTGCGATCCGGTGCAGGAGGATTGTAGAGTGATTTGCCATCCGGATTGATAGTGTTTGGCAAAGGCTCAGCGTTCTCGTATCCTTCGAGAGGTGACTTCAATGAGCCCTGTTTCATAGCGACTGTTCCAGATTTGGTTAAGCCAGCGACAGACTGACGTGCCAGGCGAGGGTTAGGGAAGGTACCGTTATAAATCTGCAAGCTGTACGTATCCAGAACGCCATTGTCGCCATATCTTCTGCATTCACCGGTGGTGACTGCTGACCAAAGACAGGCTCTAGGTGTAAGCATCGTCAGCCAGATTACATCATCCGACTCCTGCCTTCTCATCCATGCTGGTCGGCGTAAAGATAGAGTACCAGTCCTGTCTGCTCTGTGAATTGTACCTCAATGGACGATATCTGTACGAGTGCAAGGCGCACTGGTGGGAACGGTCGAAGGCATCATTGTCACTGTCTTGTGACCGTAAATGCGACGCGTCCGGTCACGCGCCGTCTTTCGACTCTGCACCTTGTTACCTACTTGGAGTATCTCGCTGCATTCGTCGACCGGACAGTATGTCAGCCAGGGAGACAGCCCGGCATGGATCTGCAGAGGAGACGTTGGACAGTGCGTAGATTTACGATATATGGTGTTCGCTCAAGATAGTGACATTTCAACCCTAAGTCCTGCATGAGATCTCGCAGCTCTTGAACACGCAGCTAGACAAGGCAACCCTGGCTACATGCGTGAACATGATTGAGAATGGCGTTAATCCAGAGGCGTTGGCTGTATGTGGTCCCCGAGCTTGCGCTGAGAGTTGCATAGCGAAGCGCTTATCTTCGGCATGTTCCAGGCTGTAATACAAGAACTCAGAAGGGAGAGCGCCTCCATCACCTCACCCGCCAACGGGAGATGAAATCGGCCACGGCGGGGACCAAGCTTTCCGTCAGATGTCTGGCAGCAGCCATTTGTACACGTTGCTCAGCCAGGTGGTCTTCCGTAGAGTTGGCGTTCGCGTCAAACGCTGACTCGGAGATCCAGAGCTTGGCAAGGTATGCCGCAGTGATTATCTAGCAAATAGTCGTACCGGCGTTATCGACAATGGAGCAAGCGCGGCCCTTGGACGGTATTTAACTTAGAGGTGTTTCCCAATGCCGTTTGATGGTATCCTTGTGTTTCCACGTAACGCGACTATTCACCGTTACATTCCTTTTGCTGAAAGGGATTACTAGTGACTAGACAGGTGTTCATGAGGCGGCGAGGATGTATCATCGCTCAAAATGTACGGTTCAAGTCTTCAAGGTAGTGGTTGCTTCCGAGTATGCTATACGTAGTCGAATGAATGGTACCGTTAGAAACTGTCGCTGAGCGCAATGCCTTGAAATCTTCCGGTAACCCAGAATGCGTCTGAGTTGCCACGCCCGTTGTGTAAATAAATGCGCAGAGCGTGAATCTACTGTGTGTAAAACAACGGACGGACTGCAATCATCGCATTCCGATGCCTGTGGATGCCTGAAGCTTGTGCGATAAATTAGCCTAGCGGAAACACATACTATGTAATACATAGTTAATTTAGCAGCCATGATGGAGGTGACTGCGCCACCTGTTGCTGATTGGTGGGCTGATCCCTGACAGTGACATCGCAGCTCGCTGCGTTCACAGTCCAGAGCTTCCTCAATAATTACTTCTGCATTGGCTCCTAACCGTTATTAACGGGTGCCTTTATTCTCTTGCGTCACGCTTGTTGGCGGCTAGCAGAGGCAGCACCGAAGAACATCACGGCGAGGTTGCTGCCTGACGTTGCGTTCGAGCGCTCAAACCTTCCTTAGCACTCAAACGATTCCAATGCACATTTGAATTTTACATATAAGGCTCCCCGCTTCGACAACCGTCTGGCCCAATGGTCGCTACCGCAGCGACTCCTTCGGAATCATGCCCGTCAAACGTTCTTCAATGCCCCTCCCGAACATGAAGTTGCTGAGGTCTCTCTTCGTGTTAGTTGCTGCCCGGCCATGTCGCGCAGCCCCTCTGACCGCGGGTCCATCGCTGGCAGCTATGAGCTCGGATGACGGCGTGGCCAGTATCGTCAACAACTTCCAAGATTTGAGCGCAGTACTCAGTCTCTTTGCAGCCGACTCCGTGGAGAAGAAATTAGCAGACCCCAAGTCCTCAGACTGGGAACGCATGTCGGCGTTCTGGTCTATCTTCGGTATTATTGGAGCGGTGAGGGTGTACGCGAAGATAGCGGCGGGACTTGCAGGCGCGGAGACCGCTGGCATGGAGCTGGGCGGTGCTAGAGCTTATACCAGCCGAAAGACCAAGAAAGCCACGTGTTCCTGCGTTATAGGCCCTTCAGAGCGCCCGCCAACTTGGGAGGACGATGAAGACTTGCTGCTAGGTCTAGCAAAAGTTGACTCGACGTTGTGGATACGCCCCCATATAGTCGTTATGGGCTTCTCCCGCTGTCCCTTTACGGGACGCAGGGCGCTGAGGGAAGCAATCGGGAGAGGAGTCTTCGTGCTTCTGACGCTAGCAATCCCCTGCGTCCCGATTATTCTCCTTCGGAGGAGCGTCAGAGGTACCATCTCCGAGAACCTCTCCTTGGGGATGACAGCAGGTTCAGCATTTCTGGGAGGGTGTATTCTACCGATGCTCCTCCAGGACCTAAATTCTCTGGGATTTGCATACCTGCCTGACGCAGGATCCCGGCAGGGAGATGGATTACTGCAAGCTGGAGATACCGTCACGACAACCAAGAGTCGACTGTGCAGGATTATGTGGCAATCACACGGTAATCGCCTTCCTCCCCCGAGGAGTGCAGATCTGTGGTTTATTCGCCTACTCGCAGCAATAGCGACCATGTTCACGGTGGTCGGCTATGTGCTGAATTACATACTCCTAGGCAGAGCCGGATCGTGGCGTTCATACGCTTGGCTCGGGATGCAGGTCGTAATCCTCGTAGTGAGATACATCCTATGGGCCTACCGACCTCATCTTATCCATAGTCGCCGACCGACCATGGTATACGCGGTGACTGGCTCATTGCTGGCGTTACGGCCGCTCACCGTCCAAATAGACCCATCCCATTGGCCACCGTCCGAGCCCCCCCTTCCCCGGGACGCGGTTTACTTTGCGGTTGCTTCAGCGCGAAGCAAGCTTCTGAATGGAAGCGGCGCTGAGCAACATCTCAAACTGAGTAACTTGGATTTACTTTCCACGACTGCGCCCAGGGATATTCTGCAGGCTGCATGTTATAAAGTCTTCTGCGAGATGGGAGATCTCTCGCCACAGCTTAGGAGGCGACTGCGGGTAGTCAAACTTCCGTGGTCTTTTGTGGAAGAATTGTATGCTGCGCAGGGTCTCATCTTGGGCCACAACCCCTGGGTGCTCGGCGGCATTTCCCTTGCTGCCGTCGTCGATCTCTACGAGCACGATGACGGCCGAGAACCGCAGCCTATTTTTCTAGGATTAACGACGATCCACTCATGCAAACCCACGAAGACGGAGGGAGTGTACGAATTTAAACGACAAGAGCCTGGCGCAGCGGCTGTCAGAGATGTGGTCGGGATTACCTATGACAATTATGGCATAGAGGGAACTATCGAACTGGGTGTCCTCACCGACCGACTACCCACTCCCCATACGTTAACAGAGTCACACGAGAAGTTTAGGGATAATGTGGCGGCATGCCGCTTCAGCGCCAGGCTGAATGGGCCACCGCATTGCGAAGTACACGTACAGGAGTTCGGGGATGGTACATCACCAGTAGTAGAGCACAACTCAAAGACGGAAGCTTTCCTTGCGGATGTAATACAATACGGTAAAGACGTTATCTGGTACACGCGAAACAAGGACCACACAGATTGTACAGAAGTTTGTAAAATATTTGGTTTCTGAAATTCGGGGACGGGAGGAGTTTGCAGACAGTGGTACCAGCAGGACAGCAAGGTTGAGAGAAAGCACTTTCCGGAGAGCCAAGAACCTTCAAACTCCCACCTGGTCTTCCAGTCCTAAGATTTTCCGGATAGCAGGAGTCAGCTCCTGGGGCAGAAACAGTTTCGCCAAACAGCCGTCTTCATCCACGACCGACACATGGCTGGTGTCAGGATATTCAGCAAGTACCTGGATGGAACGCCGGGCCGCCCCCCTTTCAGCAACCACAGGAGTCCAGACAGTGCTCCCCGGGCTTGCGCGTCGCCAGTGAACATGAGACCACGTCACACATATTCGAACGGCATCGGGGAAAGCGGGGCATAAGCGGGTGAGCCATTCTTTCTGCTTCCGCAGATCAAGGTGTTGCTCGGCAAGGCCGTCATTAGCGAGCGGATCTGCCTGATAACACTTGCAATTCAGCCCTTTCACTTTCGGATTGTGGCTCTTGATTTTCATGGGGAGCTACGTCCCGATATCGGTTAGCTCGCTGCACCTGGAACGGAGAGCTGAACATACCCCACGATCGTCAGATATTGTCAAGGAATCCATAGCAGGGATGTACTCTTCCAAGCGTACGTTATCATATATTGTCATGGGCACGGTCAGATCTTCAATTGTAGAGGTTGCTTGAGCAAGGGCCGCAAGTGGAGCCAGGTCGATATCAAAATATCGTGTCGACCTCGGTACCTCTCTGTTCACAATCCCATTTATGTGTAGCCGGCGTATCGGCCGATTGGGTACCAACAGGGGGAGCAAATACAACGGACATTGCAGATCACGAAGGTCTGGTAATCCCGTTTGAGGCAAATCGAAATCGTGAGATGTATCAGCGACGTTGTGCGGAAGATGCGTGATGTGAAGTTTGTGGATCGAGGGTGTCCGAAGAAGAAATTTTGAGAGCAGCGGTAATTTAGCTTTATTCACCCGGATGGTCATGTCCTCTAGAAATGAAGGATCTACCAGGAGACATAATGTCCCAGTAAGCCTGAGATCATCCGATTTCCAGATCCGTAAGGAAGGCGAGGCAACCGCGGCCATGACGGCGGGTATGAAGGGATCAAAACCATCGTCCATAGTGGACAGGGTGTCACAAAACGTGAATTTCTTGATGGCTACCATGACGGATGGTATTCTGATAGAATCGGCCAGGGCGAAAAATTTACACCGTTCGAAGGCCAGTGAATGAAGAGCAGGCAGGTCCAATATGACTTGCATGCCTACAATATCGAGATCCACCTCCGATAAACAAAGGTTCTGCAGCTGCGGCAACAGGGACAAAACTTGAAGATGCAGCTGCTTGTCTTGAAGAGGGGAGAGGCCGTCCACTCCCCATCTGCGGAACTCCGACAGACCGCGCCAATCGTATAGCATATATGACCGGACGTATGATGCAAGCGATGCAGGTGTGCTATGATTTTCCAAGACAAAGTCGTACCAGTTGATATGGAAGTCTGGGGGTAAATCAAGGTTCCGTGTAAACCTCATATCGCTGAAGAGAACAGGCCGACAAAGGTCGCAGAAGTATCGGCAGGCCAAAGACATATTCGATATGGCATACTTGGACTCTTTATGGCTCAGCCATTCTTCGGACGGGCATAAGTGATGTGCGATTTTGAGCCAAAGCTCAGGTGGTAAGCAAGAAAATACGTGGTCCCCCCCTCCTTCGAATTCTGAGAATAGTCGAGACAAGAGCCGAACCTCGGTTACTTCAATTCGCGCATGCAATTCAGTATATCTCTCACCGAGACTCGAAGACGCCATGATGCTACGCCGGAAACTTGTCTTTGGAGATGGCGAGATATGTTAGAGGGCGCATCAATCTACGCAAGGGGAACGGTCGCGCCTGGGGGGATGAGATACACCGAACAGCCTGTGCATCAGATATAGATCAGCGCTCCGGGCTATTATTGTCACGGTTCACGAGCGCGGACGTTGTCCCTTCCACTGATTCAGAACAGAAATAAACAGTGACCATATCTTATTTATCAAGGCAACATGGAGAATATGTTGGATTCTTCAATGAGGCTTCAGTACAGAGATGCAGTTGTGCGCGAAGGTACAGTATAAGCCCGCAAAGCTGGTGCCCTCTGAAGGTTCCGAGTCTTTTGGCAACCATGGTTTGGAGCGGAGAATATTTACGTAAGCACCTTATGCCAGGTTAGGACGCGATGCAGTAGGCCCATTCCTTATTCATCATTGCTTTCTCCCATTCACCATTGTCGTCCACGGCGGCGGGGCTTGTCTGTGACACTCTTCACCCCTTTGACCATTTCAGCAATGTCGGAAGAAACGCCAAGGTTGGTAGACTCGTTCACTGCACCCAAGGAAGTCCTCCAAGAGTTTGCAGAGCTCGCCGAGGAAGAGGATGTCGACCCGTTTGCAGAGACAGCGTCTAAGCGCCAAATAGCTGCTCGTCAGTCGGACTACCACAACAGGCGCTTTAATCGCGTTGCAAACGAGAGCGGAGACGCGTTTCAAGATGGAGAGGACTCCGGCTACAAAGAAGCGATGAGGCTGCAAATGCTGGAGAAGGAGGAGCAGAGGGTGAAGAGACTGATTGAGGAGAAGGAGAAGAAGGATAGGGAGGAGGGTAAAGAGAACATGGACCTGGACAAGACACCGCCGAGAGCCGAAATACAGGCGGCGGCTCAGGAGTTGGCTGCTGCTGCTGGGTCCAAGCGGAAACGGAGGTGGGATGTAGGAGACGACGATGAAAAGAAAGAGGAGGCCAAGAACGAGAATAAGGAGTGGTCCGATCAAGCTCTGGAGGCTGCCGCACCCAAAAAGCGACGTTCAAGGTGGGATGCTACGCCCGCCGACGTGAATGCAGCTCCTACTGAGACTCCCAAGCGGTCGCGGTGGGACCAAACGCCTGCTGCTCCGCCAGATGTCGCTCCTACACCCATTATTATGAATGCTCCCGGCTTCATGATGGAGGACAAGCACAATCGATTCCTCACGGACGAAGAACTAGACGCAATCCTACCCTCTCAGGGCTATAGCATCGTTACGCCGCCTCCAGGCTATGCGCCTATGATTCACCCCAGAAAGTTGATGGCGACTCCCCTTACCACAAGTCTCGGAGGTTTCGAAATCAAAGAAAGCTCGGATGCCGCTGCAGTCGCTGCGGCGGCTGGCCTTGCTCCTGAGTTGCCAACCGAAATACCAGGCGTTGGGAATCTTGCTTTCTTCAAGCCCGAAGACGCTCAGTACTTCGCTAAAATTCTGAAGGAAGAGGATGAGACGGAGCTGTCAGTGGACGAGATGAAGGAGCGTAAAATCATGCGTTTGCTTCTCAAGATCAAGAACGGTACCCCTCCCGTGCGTAAGACCGCTTTACGACAAATTACCGATAAAGCTCGAGAATTCGGCGCCGGACCCCTTTTCGACAAGATCCTTCCGCTTCTCATGGAGCGCACTTTGGAGGATCAGGAGCGGCATCTACTGGTCAAAGTCATCGACCGAGTCTTGTACAAGCTCGATGATCTGGTTCGACCATATGTTCACAAAATCCTGGTCGTCATTGAGCCTTTGTTGATCGATGAGGATTACTATGCGCGAGTTGAAGGCCGAGAAATTATCTCTAACCTGTCGAAGGCGGCTGGTCTTGCCCACATGATCTCAACGATGCGTCCTGATATTGACCACGCCGATGAATACGTGCGCAATACCACCGCTCGTGCATTCTCCGTTGTCGCATCTGCCCTGGGCATCCCTTCCCTCCTGCCTTTCTTGAAAGCTGTCTGTCGTAGCAAGAAGTCGTGGCAGGCTCGTCATACGGGTATCCGCATTGTCCAACAAATCGCTATCATGATGGGCTGCGCTGTCTTACCCCATCTACGCAATCTTGTAGATTGTGTGGCCCATGGGTTGCAGGACGAGCAGCAGAAGGTTCGGACTATGACTGCCTTAGCATTGGCCGCTCTCGCCGAGGCGGCTGCTCCCTACGGTATCGAGTCCTTCGACAATGTTCTGAAGCCCCTCTGGCTTGGTATTCGTCTTCACCGTGGTAAAGGTCTAGCAGCGTTCCTTAAGGCCATCGGCTTCATCATCCCGCTCATGGACCCCGAGTATGCCTCATACTACACGAAGGAGGTCACCGTCATCCTTATCCGTGAATTCCAGACATCGGATGAGGAGATGAAGAAGATTGTCCTGAAGGTTGTAAAGCAGTGCGCCGCCACAGAAGGCGTCACTCCTCAGTATATCAAGCAGGACATTCTGCCTGACTTCTTCAAGGCATTCTGGGTACGCCGGATGGCTCTTGATCGACGAAACTACAAACAGGTCGTCGAAACGACCGTGGAGTTAGCGCAGAAGGCCGGTGTGTCTGAAATCGTCGGACGCATTGTGAACGACCTCAAGGACGAGGCCGAGCCTTATCGTAAGATGGTTATGGAGACGATTACCAAAGTCGTCGCGTCGTTGGGTGCGTCTGACATCGATGAGCGATTGGAAGTCCGTCTGGTAGACGGTATCATCTACTCGTTCCAAGAGCAGACGACTGAAGATCAGGTCATGTTGGATGGCTTCGGAACTGTCGTCAACGCTCTCGGCATACGAGTGAAACCTTACCTTACGCAGATCGTCTCCACCATCTTGTGGCGACTGAATAACAAGAGTGCGAAGGTCCGTCAACAAGCGGCCGACTTGACTAGTCGACTTGCTGTGGTCATCAAGCAGTGCGGAGAGGATCAGCTGTTGAGCAAGCTTGGCCTCGTCTTGTTTGAGCAGCTCGGTGAAGAGTACCCAGATACCTTGGGAAGCATCATCGCAGCGGAGGGGGCTATCGCCAACGTCGTTGGTATGACTCAGATGAATCCCCCCGTGAAGGACCTTCGTGAGTTTCCTTACGACCCCATGCATTTTAGTGTATTCACTAACTTTGTTTCTAGTTCCTCGAATGACCCCCATTCTTCGTAACCGACATGAGAAGGTGCAGGAAGCTTCAATCAACTTGATCGGCCGTATCGGTGAGTAGGTATACACAGTTCCTGGTGCATGATCTTAATGTCATTGAATTCAGCTGATCGTGGTGCGGAAATGGTGCCAGCTCGTGAATGGATGCGTATATGTTTCGAGCTTCTGGATTTATTGAAGGCTCATAAGAAGGCCATTCGCCGGGCTGCCGTTAACTCCTTCGGTTATATCGCGAAGAGTTTGGGTCCTCAGGACGTCCTGCAAGTGCTGCTAACCAATCTGCGTGTCCAGGAGCGCCAGAGTCGTGTTTGCAGCACTGTGGCTATTGCAATCGTGGCCGAGACTTGCGGTCGTAAGTATCTTGTCTCTCTTCCAATGTTGCGAACCATACTTAACCGTCGATTATTAGCTTTCACCTGTATCCCCGCAATCCTCAACGAGTACCGGACGGCCGAGTTGAACGTGCGAACAGGTTGTCTGAAGGCCTTATCTTTCGTCTTCGAGTACGTCGGCCCGCAGTCAGCCTACTACGTTGACTCCGTCGTTACGATGCTTGAGGATGCTCTCACGGATCGTGACCTTGTACATCGTCAGACTGCGAGCACGATTGTCAAACACTTAGCTCTGGGTGTGGCTGGTCTGGGCTGCGAAGATTCTATGCTGCATTTGATGAATCTGGTGTGGCCGAACTGTTTCGAGACCTCGCCTCATGTCATTGGCGCTGTTATGGAGGCTATCGAGGCGATGCGTGTAACACTGGGTCCTGGCGTATTGCTGAGTTACGTACTGCAAGGCTTGTTCCATCCAGCTCGGAAAGTTAGGGAGGTGAGTTACATCTCGTACACTGGATGAGCCTCCATGTTCTAACTCTTCTCAATAGGTGTATTGGCGGATATATAACTCACTCTACCTTGGGGCCGCCGATGCGTTGGTACCTTTTTATCCAGATGTGGGTGAGCTCAGCGAAGGGCAGAACGTGTACGACAGATATCCCTTGCAGGTGTTTATATAGTTTATAGTGTTTGCTGTATTATTACGTTATCTCTCCGATGTCTGTATTTCACGTAATCATTAGTCCTTGAGCCTCGCAGGAATATCAGCCGTGTCAAATACACATAGGACATGGGTACATCAGTCTACTCTAGATCATGAACCCCCACTGGTAAGATTGGGGGGAAATCCTGCGAAATCTACTTGGTCTTGCACGGGGGTGCCTCCAGATGTGTATGATATCCGTAAACGAAGGCGGATATTGCTCTACACCCAGTCAGCGGATGCATAATACAACAGAGCGTTTCTCCACATACCCCTGGTGGCGCGATGACTCGCATTTGCTGCGTCTCCACAGACCCGGGGTTGACGTTAGGATTCGACATTGGCAACATCTGTAGCTGTTGTGACTACATAGACCATAGAAATCAGTTCCGGGGAGCGGTACAGTGCTCTAGAAATCGTACTTTTGGTACCGCTGCCTGGAAAACAAGGCCCGTTACAGGTTGTCCTGCCGACGCCTGGAACCTAGCCAAAATATTGACTACACCAGGTCGAGCTGCATTTGGTTGAGGAGTCAAGGTTATCTTCAAGCCGTTCTTCTCGTATGCGGGATAAGCGGTCAACCGTGGCGCCGCAGGCTGTGCGGCAGCCGGCGGCGGCGACCGCGCCTGTGGTAATGAGAATGCCGAGGACGTTTGTGCAGCAGGTGCTGGTGCAGGTGCTGGTGAAGATGTGGCGGCGGGGGGAGTTGAGTCGAAGAGACCTAAGATGTCGTCGATGGTGGAGGGTTTCTTCGCTGGTGCGGCCCCTCCCGGTAACGTCGGTTGCGATGTCGGTGCAGCCGAAGTAGTCGATGCAGAAGAGCCGAAGATTTCTGCCAGTAAATCCTCGTTGGTTCGAGCAGGAGCTGACCCATTAACCGGAGCAGCGCCTGCACCATTAGATGATATCTCATCTCCCAGCAGATCGCCCTTACCCCAAGCGCATTAATACATAAGAAAGAGCAGTAAACAGCTTTGCCCTACCTCCTTCCCAGTTTGCGTAGACCCGACGGGCTTGTTCTCGCTGACTGATAGTCGAAATGAGGCATAGTTACGATCGTCAGATGAAACTCGAATGGTTACGTACCGACACCTAGGACAGTGGCCTTCAACTCTGGCGGTGGCATCCGCTCAAGCACCCCGCTTCTCAGCTCACCCAGACTGAACAGGCTTGCGAACTCGACAGCCCTCTGCTGCAACTCCAAGTCTGGGTGCGTTGTATAGCTTCCCAGGATGCTCCCTATCCGTTCTTGCTGCGCCGCGCTGATACCTGGACGGGCAGAGATCTTCGTAATCGCTGCGAGCACGAACTGCTTGATGAGGAAGTTGGCGTAAGCGGAGTCGAGGATGGATACTAAGAGATCCACGAGCTCGGCGTCGGTCACCTGATTTTCAGCAATAAATAATCAAGAACATCCATGGTTCAATAGGTAAAAACGGACGGGCTTCGTTTGCTCCTCCTCGACGATGCCAGACTCGAGGAGGATGTCACAATATTCTCCGATTACCCAAGTCGCCGCCAGCGTAAGCGACTCTTGCGAGATATCGTCTCGAAGGGCGGTATACAGTCTCGAAGCTGTGTACGCCTGCAGTTCAGGTGTATGTGCGACGAGTCGGATGAAGGCAGACAGGATCTCTTCACGGACGTAATTACCTGCCTTCATCAAACATCAGTATTTCCGGCGTAAATAACACAAACACAATGGTGCTCACCAACTTCAACACCCGCAAAACCGTATCGATATGCCACCGCTTGTTCGGCGCGAACCGCTCCGCAGCTAGACATATTTGGGTCGTCATTCCGAGCTTGAACTCGTCATCCGCGACCTCGAGGAACGCGAGCAGCTCGCGGACCATCAGGCGAACATTCTGCTCGTTTATGAGGGCATAGGAGAGCTCGAGCGCGCGCCGCCGGATGGAGATGTCGCCATCGCGCAGGCAGTCGAGGATGGTGTTCCGGTGCCGCTGGACGGCGTTGGTGTCCATGGAGACCACCTTGTTCAAGGTGTTCAGGGCCACATATCTGAGCAGGTGTGTTAGGTGGATGATTGGGATGATTGGATTTCCGCGGCTGCTCGGTCTAATCACCGCATTGCCCGAGGTCTTAGGCAGTGAGTATGCCGAGACATAATCACCAGCCCAAGGCGAGCAAGACAGAGAGAGACCGAGACCGCGCTGCCAGAAGAACGAGGGTAAATGACGCTTTACCGAATGTTATTATCCCGGTTGCTGAGGAACTTCCCAAGGATGTTGATAGCCATGACACGCAACCCACTGTCCGCTTCGATTTCCAAGACCGTGAGGACGGTCTCGTACAGAATGGAATTGCCGACGTTCTTGGTACCGTCGGTATTCGTCGCTACCTGGGGACGCCAGTTCAATTTGAGCGCATAATACATGGAACGGGGGTAAGCATACCTGGGCCAGGATATCGTTCATCGTCTCACTAGCATGCAAATCGCCTTTGCCGAGAATGCGCAGCAACCGCAGGATCTTGACCTGCAAGAAAGGATCTGCGATCCCGGAGACGTCATGCTCTGCGCTGTAACCTGTAGTCACGAGTGCCTTCAGGTGTCGTACGAGCAGCGGCACGGCCTAAGTAGACACATATCAGTTTTGAGCCCCTACAAGTGCAAGCCAGAGCGCACTTCACGGAACTCTTGGAGACATGATTCATCAACTTGACACATTTCAGTGACAAGGGTCGTCGCTGTCAGGAGTACGCCATGATTTCGATCTGTCAGCAGATGCTTGCATTTTGAGGTGAAGTGATCCGTCAGCTCTGGTACTTTCTTGATTACGCGAAGCGCGCACAACGACGCCTGTAACAAACAGCTTCAACGTGTTGCTGGACCATTGCCTGGGGCGAGGCACAAACCTTCTTCCTAATGTACGTGTTACTGGATCCCAGTAGTTTCTCGATTTCATTCGCCAAGTCTCTCGACATCTCTTCCGAGGCAATGTTTGCAAAAGTACATAATGCCAATCCGACAGCATACATGTTCGTGTGGTTCATATCACTAGTGCATCGGACACAAAGTATCAGCGATATCCCCGCAGCAACTACCAGCATATGTACACACTTCTTCAGCGAGTTCGTGACCAGCGTGAGCACCTCCTGGTTCTCATCCAGCAGCAGCATGATTCCAAGGTACCCCAGCCGCTTGTCCGCGAACCGAGGACTCGCTACGAGCTTGAGGCATTCGATCTGGCCAAAGTGTGCGGGGTTCCCCAGCATGTGGATGTACAGCAGCTTCGCAATGTTATTGTATCTGGCATAGGTGTCTTCCTCCCGGAAGGACGCGCGTATCGCGGCGGATTCCTGCTGGATGAGGGCCCGTTCATCCGCGACCGTCTGTGAAGTCCGTGTTATAGTGTGCAGTGCCGTAGTATGTGCGCCAAGCTCACTTTGCATGCCCGGATGGCCTTTATAAGGGCTTAATTTGGAGAGTTTAAGACTGTGAGACTCTGTATAATAGCAAAACTCACCCTTCAAATTGTAATAAGGCATAATGAACGGTCGTAGGAGCTCCAGGCGTCGTGTTTCTTGTTAGAATGAGGTTGCGGCAGTCGCCTCCTTCCTTTTCAGGTGCTTACTAAGCCGTCCGGATTAGCGCCCTCGTCGTGCACTCGCGTCGGATATTTTGTGACTGTCTTACTGCCTGCGAGACCCTGCGTTACCACAATCCTCTCTGAATCCCGTTGTATATTGCCATGGCCGACCCCCCATCTTCTGAACCTGATAGTCAGGCCCATATCTTCCAAATCCTGCAAAGTTTAGGGATGTCGCGCGACGACCTGGCACGTTGCACCACCGAAATGCGGCACTTTCTTGCTTCAGATACTGCGCCTTCTACTCGCGCGTTCTCCAGAGACCGGAGCGTTTCTCAGGAGCCCAGGTCGACAATGGCCATGCCTTCGTTGAGGTCTCGCTCGAATTCGGGCGCCAACGCGTCATTACCCCGTCCCCACTCCCCATCACCCGCAACACCGGTGAAGTCCGAATATGTAGAGCCTTCTCTTGCGGCGCGCTATTCCCTGGTTTCTCTTAATCTGGACGCGGTGATGGAACGAAAGGAGAAGGAAAGGTCCAAGCAAATGAGACGGGTGAGAGAGAAACGACGAGTACACCAGCCGTCGCCGTCGCCGGCGAGGTCCATCAGCTTGGACAGCTTCATGAACACTCGCGATCATGCACGCGTCCCGAGCCCGGAACCGCGCCGTGGTTCTCCAGAAGCGTCAAGACAAGTAAGCATATTGCATATAAGCCGTTCTGTCACGCTTAATACGCGTCGACAGCTTGAGGAGAGCCATCATACGCCTCCTCACCTACGCTATTATAGAGTGTACGAGGACCATCAACCGATTCATGGTCATCCGACTCAGAATTCCGAGGTCGGTTAGGTTCTCTATCTATTAACATTCTGCCGTATTAATAACAGTATCATAGGCGGGAGCGTCATCCTCATCCTGTGTCGGATCTCCCGAGTTGACGCGAAACCGCACGGTGTGTACAATACTTCTCCAGACACTTGTCAAATTTCAACAGCTATACAGTTTCCAACATCATCCCTGCCGCCTGTCACTCCGAAGCGGCAAAGCTCCTACTATCGGACTACTCTGCCCCAGTCATCTCCCCATCGAGACGCAGAAGCGTCTAGTTCTCCCGTTCGTATCGTCAATATTGTGACGTCTCCTGCGCCTATGGGTTCGCCGCCGGATGAGTCGGAGTACTCTTCCTTACCATTCAAACTACCGCCGGGTCCATACAGCCCTACGAAACCGACCCACTCGTATGCCGCGCTCATTGGGCAGGCTATCCTCGCTTCCCCCGATCACCGTTTGACTTTGCAGGAGATATACGAGTACATCACCATAGTTTACCCGCACTTCAAGCGGGGCGGCGGGGAGCAGACGTGGATGAATTCTATCCGCCATGTTCTCTCTACTACCGCTGTATTTCGAAAGGTGAGCAGAGAGGTTCGGGATGACAACGTTCGCGGCGGGGAGGCCGTCGTCGGTAAGACGAAGGGCCGGACTTTGTGGGCAATTTGGGACGATGACCTGGATTGCTTCAAGAATGGAGGCTTTGACAAGCGTTTCTGCAAAGACATGGTGAACACCTCTGGCAAGAGCAAGAAGAGAGGTGCGGAGGATACCTGCGCCAACTCGAAGCACGCCAAACGTGCCAGGCAGCTGGAATCGGGATCTGCCAGTACATCCAGCTCTCGCGCCGAGATGGCACATCCGCAAGTCGTGCCGATTTCTCATACCAATCCGCTATTCCCGCCTGTGCCTAACAGGCACTCGTATGCGACGCACCAACCATACTATCAACAAGTATACCCGTCTGGCAGACAACACCGGTCTGCCGAAGTCTTTTTCCCTCCACTGCCCGATTATTATCAGCAGATCCCTTCACACCCTGCCGCACGATCCGCGGCAAGTTCGTCCTCCATCTCACGATCGTCCTCTTACCTCGATGTGGACGACTCGAGACCTGTCTCTCCCCCGTTGTCCACCACCTCTTCCACTGTGCCCGAACTCGTTTCCCGCAATGGTACATCTAGTAGCTCGAGTCCGCCCCTTGAGGAAGAGAGCCAACTGTCACCCGTCCTCGGTCCCCGAGTGGTGGATGATGATGAAGGGAGTGTCAGATCATTTAGTGTTGCTCCAAGTGTGGGCAGCTTCTCCGCTCTGGATGACGGACCGGGTGATGTGTTTGGGGACTTGGGCCCTAGTATCAATCTTCGTGAAACCGACCGGAAGGGTAAAACAGTCCAGAGACTGGTGAGTCGGATGCTTTCGCGCGACACCAGACGGTTCATTGATGAAATTTGTGGTGCAGCCCCCAGTGCCGGATTCTCCACTCTCGCGGCCCTCTGCTAAGAAAGGCAAGGCCAAGAGCCAGCTTCGTTCATATAGCCCGCCCGCATCCATCTTCCCTCGTGCGGGGAGTCCCTTGATACTCCCGCAGACTCCCCCTCGCAAGAAGGGTCCCAGTACAAACATTCTTCAGTCGTCCCCGCTGCGTACCCCTCTCTCCTCCAAGGGATTGAGTATGAGCCCCTCGTTCGATCTCGCACATTACAAGACCCATCTCGAACCTCCCGCGCCACATCCTCTCCCCGTTTCTGTCATAGGAGAACAACCGCCGACCAATGAGGGTACGTCCTCTGAAGCCCGTGCCGAGGACTCGGAGCGGGAGCTGCCGCATACACCCGAGAAACGTTCGAGTTCGGGTTCGAACTTAGGGGTGCCGTTCTTGTCTGCCACGCCTCAGCGCCTTGTGTTCCCCACCACTCCCAACAGCTCTTCGCCCTTCCGCCTAACATACGAAGCGACCCTTGATCCTTATAATCCGGCTTCAGTCCTCAATGAGGAGTTGTCGCGGTTGGGAACGTCGGCGACTTTCGACAGTCCTGTTGGATTGTATGGTCGGGCTGCACGAGGACTCCTATATGAGAGCCCGGATGCCGCGAGTCCTGGGCGTTTGACTCGCTACTGGTGATCCCCTTCTTCAGAGACACCTATACCACCGCCCTTCTTATCTGTAAGTATCTACTTCTTGATCTTTTGTCTGGATGTAAGAGTATCAGTATCTAGCCTGTCAACTGTTTCATATTTCCTGTGCACGATTTTCAAATGATCATTGACGATTTCCTGGTATTGTGTTCCTTTTTATTCGATCGGATCTGCTCCTCTTGTTGTGTTATTATATCCCGTGCAGATGGAAGTCGTGTACCAGTAAGTGCTTTGGGGAACTGGACTGCTTTACAGTAATAATACAACAAGTAGCAGATAGATAGTAAGTAGGTAGAGCGAAGAATATTCAGGGCATAAATTCTGAGAAGCCAATGTTAGAGACATCGGAAAAGACTGCGGACAGGATCATACCGTCTTCATCCAACAAGGTTCCTTCATCGAGGCAAGCCTGGATGTATTCTCCGATGACTAGACGCCTGTGCTTCGGTCTGTCACCGAACTTCAGACGCATGCAATGCAAAATTATCCTCTGGTAGCTTACTCAGATGTGCGCTTCATGAGTTCTACTCGCCGGCTATCGTCGCGTTTATCAATCACGATATGGGTCAGCTTGGGGTCATCGAGATCGACTATTTTTCCGCCATTATCGAGGATCAGCTTTTTTACCTCCTCGAACCTAAGATGAAATTCTGTTATCCTCCAGTTCAGGAAGTAGCGGAAGCGTCAGACGTACTTCGAAGTGATTTGCTGCTCGTGTTTGGTTGATCTCAATGCGAATCCGTGAGCGCGAGCGTTCTCGGGAGTGTCCAGATAGAAACACCTGTAAGAAATCAAAGCCTGTCCTGAATTGCAGGATACATGATGACACCCACAGATGCCTGAATATCCTCTCTTGGTCATATTCCATGGCTGCGTCGTCTTCACCCATGCGGGCGGTACTACCCTGGTCCTGGTTCTCAGGCTGCGACTGTGAGACTCCCAAGGCCACTTGAACACCCTGCAGCAATAAGGGTCACATACGTTCATGCACGAGATGAGCTTCCGTTACCTTCGGAAGATCAGAGATATCAAGCTGGGACTATGCAATGCCAAAGCTTCGTAACGGACATCATGTTATTGTAATCTCGCCAGCACGTACCATGTCATCCGCCGCATCTGTTCCAGCTTTGGATTCAACTTTCAGCCAGTCATCATCGTCTTCTTCGAGATTGACGTCGGCGTTATCTGAGTCATCATCAACTTCAGTTTCAGACTCCTCATCCAAAGTATTGTCCTCCTGCTCGATAGGTTTATCGACTTTGAACCAGTCGCTGGCTGGGCTTTCCCCTTTCGATTCCGGGGGTGCGGGAGACTTGACATCGGATACAGTGTCTAACGACTGAGCATCGGCGCTCTCAGTATTCAATGATTCTCCTTCTCTGTACTCATGGGTCTCTTTACGATCTGGCGTCGCATAAAAATAGTACCTGCTTCTGGTATCAGCCTGGTTAAGCAATTGTGAATGGGTGATATTACCGCTTGTGAAAGGGTGCTGGTTCTCCTATAGTTATCGAGTCCCGGATCCATTGTGGTTTGAGTATGTCATGAGTGTCTTTCTTAATTAATAGACTCAGATCATAGGCTGTCGAATAATCACTCGGAGCAGATATCTTGATATTGAGGATGCAGCTCACGAGTCGTGGTCCCGCCATAGATAAGTAGGACATCGCGGCGTCTCCCGACTGTCTGAACGCAGTTGCCACCGTGAGCCTTGATTCTGTAGCGAAGTTCAAAGGCCGGAATATGTGTGACAGGATGACCACCAACAGTTTCAGAAGGTCTTTCTTGTCCTCTTCACCCCTCCTTGACTTGGGATCAGAAGCCACCACTATGGAAGAGCTGTAAGTATGTAAAGCATCCGAAACGCGAGAAAGCACAAACTGAATGTCATTCCTTCAAAAACGTCAGACACTACTTCTACTTCCTTGAGGTCATGCCCTTTGTATTCGGGCATGAGTGTTGGCTGCAGTTCTTTGTAAGCTTTACGATTTAAATTGTATGAGAACATTTAGCACCTTCTTGAAAGTGGTTTTCCGCTTCTTCTTAGTTTTCCTGACGTAAGGTACTGTTGATCAAGGACAGAACACCCATAAGTCTGCATACTGACTGTTCCTCGTCGTCCATCTTTCTTTTCTTCTCAGACCGGAGGGCCTCAAATATAGCTGGCAAATTCAGCGCGTTCAGTTGCGCATGAGGTCTCATCGGGAGGCACCATACCACTTGCTGTCATGCAATCCGCGATAGACAGATCGTCGCGTATTTGGAGCGCACGTGGAAAGCGCATAGTATAGCCCAAATGATACTGATCTGCTCGTGCAATTAGCTTGGACCAGCATGAAAACACAACAGAAGTACCAGATGGTGTGATCTCTGCTGCCTTCACCTTCAGAATAAACGAACTGATACCGGGAATCGAAGTAAAGTGCAAGACTTGCATGTTCATGAAGTGGGCAACTTACTCTTGGGGCTCAAGATAGACATCACCCTTATCCTCCTGTCCTTTCCTTGATGTTCGGAAGAAGCTGGGAGGGGATTTTTTGTCCCATACTTTCCAAGGCTTCGATCTGATCCAGACATAATCTCCGTAAGACAAGCCAGAGCCTATACGAACAAATGAGCTGTATCTGATCGATGCAAACGTCAGTTAGCTGATAGCCCGGTACAAGGGACTACGTAGTACTTCGGCTCGTCATCCTCGTCGTTGCGGTGCCTGTCATCCAGAACGCCGCAGATTAAAGTGGAGACACCGTTAGCGCGCCAGCCCGATCCGTAATTCCCCGCTTAAGGGCATATAGCTTTAGCGTAACTGCATATGGTGAAGGCCGTGACCTACCTATTACTAGGACATCCACCGTTTCGCCCATGTTGTCCTGGCAGATAGATTAGCAGCACAGACGGGGGAGATTCTCAGCCGGAGATACACACCATGTATTCGGGCTTTACCTGTTCGCGACAGATGAGCACTGGGGAATAGGGTAACAAGTTTCCTTACTTTGATCCAGTCCTTATTCCGTCCGTTGAGAACATATTCCGAATCAGGATGCTTCAAAATCAAGCCTTCTCCCCTATTCGCCATAACCTGCTCCATCCGGGTCCTTACATCTTTCGCGGTCTTACCCTCCCATTCTGTAATGATTTCGAGCTTGCCTGGGATTTCCTTGAAGCACGACCGGAGGTTCCGCTTCCGAAATTTGCAGGACTTGCCAAGCAAGGACATGCCATTAAGATATAAGAGATCGAATACTTTGACTGATGAGGGACATATATTAGCAGCCCACACGGGTTACGTGCACGACATAAGCAAACGACTTACAGCACGGTCCGGGCCTGTCCTTATCATCGGATTTATCTGGGCGTTGCGTTAAAGTTTGTGAACATTGCTGTTGACTAATTCCACTCACTCCCAGCATGAGTCTTTAACGTCCCGAATGGGAGATGTCTCTCCGACACAGGGTCCCAGACGAGCATTTCCCCATCCAAAATAATCCTGCCGGCTCCCGTGAGGTAAATGAGCAGATGCAAGATCATTGAACGCACTCATCCACCCGCTCGTCGAAAGCCTTAGCAATGGCATCAGTCAGAGTCCCTTTCGTTCCAACATGCTTGCCGTAAAGGTAGGTATAGTCCTTGCCTTTTCTAGAGTACAGTTCGTCACAGCCAAGTGGTAATGACAGGTGTCATACCTAGAGCAATACCAGAATTGGTTCCCTCGCTTGTGCAACTGAATACGCTCCCCGTCAAGCTTCTCCTCAATATAGAAGGTCCGCCCTTGCATTTCCTTCACGGATTCTTCGATCCTGTTGGTCGGACGCTTACACAGCATGGGCGCAAATGCGCGAAACAGTTGTATGGTTTTTTCCTGAAAGCGGTCAGTTCTGCTGAACCTCATGACTTCGTTGGGGCAAGTTCTACCTGGTCCCCCAACCGATACTTAGGATCCCAGAGGTCCCAAGCCACTTTCTTGAGGTCTGAACAAGTATTATATAGGTCCTGAGCGTCCGGATGGAACACTGCAAAGACTGTGGTCTCCTTGATATTGATCTGCATGTCTATATGTCGGGATGAATCAAGGTAGATTGCGGTATGTCGAGTAACATAGTATACCTTTAAGGATTATGCGCACAATCCATCGCTGATCTTCGGGAGTACACTGGTTATAAACACGCTTCAGAATTTGGAGTTGTGCAGAGCTGGGACGCAGGGTGAGCATGTCATCGACAGTGTAACCACGTAAATCCTACTGGCTGCCCGAATGCAGGGATAGCTCGTCGAGTATATCATTCAGCTCATCAACCGTCAGGGAGCTCTCTATGACAGAGGACCTTTTGCTAACAATTTCGTATAGCACGCTGGGGAAATCTCCAGATGCTTTCTACCCTCGGAGCGGATCAGCCTGGACCATAGCCTGGAAGGCATGGATACCCACATCCTTGTCTGACGGCCTCTTCCAATTTAGCAAGCGGATTGCATCAGGGTCTTTGGTACCCAATGGAATGAGTTTGATGTAGATCTTAGCAAGATTCTTCTCCTTCAGTCCGTACATAGCGCGTTCGCGATCTTTCTATTCAGAAGTCAACTAGGCCCTTTAGTACATGGAACGTATGACTTGCCTGGGGTAGTATTAGCCGGAGGACAGGAAACAGATTGTAGCCGATCTCCTTCCGCCAATGCTGTTACATGCCACTCACGTTAGCTGTAAGGTACATTGCTACAGGCCACGCCACTACGCACATCGAACCAGCTATCCAACATCTTCCGTCTCTTCTCAGGCTTCCTCTCATTCTGAAGCTTCTCGAACAGTGCAGTTAGCACACTGAATGGTGTACTTCCAACATTCTCGACCGGTGGCTTTTCCTTTTCTTCAGCCTTTGACTCGGTCGTGTCAGGCGCAGGGGATAAGGGCGGAGAAGACGGTGCTGGTGTAGGTTGCTGCATGGTTTAGAATGAATATGAGCCCGGTCGGCTCTGACAATGTGGCGTTGAAGGAGCCGTGCCGGTAAACGGCGAACGCGAAATGTGGCACCTGGAGCGTGAGAGCATCGCGGTGAGGGCGACGATCACATGACGGGAATGGGCGAGACGCGTCCAGCCTGCGGCAGCGCAAACCAGGTTAAAACCAGCTCGTTGACGAGAATCTCCGGACTTCGAGCTGCCCTACTATAGTGCGTCTCTTCTGAGACGGCATTATTCACCCCACAATTCAGCTCTATTGCTCACAGAGGAACACTTATGTCAGACAATGACCCGCCTAGTATCCCGCGGAGGAAAGCGAAGGACGATGATCCTAGAATGATTGGGTCATGGAAGATCGGTCGAGTCATCGGTAAAGGAAGTTCAGGTCAGAGCCTGCTGCTGTCTATGTTTTACGGTCGCTTATTCTCAGAGAAGGACGCGTCCGCATTGCGCGACATTCGCGGACAGGGCAGTACGCGGCGGTGAAGATCGTCTCTAAGACTTCGATTCTCGAGTCGCGGATGTCCCTGGAAAACCTAGAAAATGACGCAGAACGGATACTACTTGCTATTGAACGGGAAATAGTTATCATGAAGCTGATCGACCACCCCAACATACTGCGGCTCTACGATGTCTGGGAAACATCCAACGAATTGTATCTGATCCTGGAATACGTCGAAGGAGGCGAACTGTTTGAATATCTTTGCGACAAAGGCAAAATGTCTACTTCAGAGGCTCTAGACTATTTCCAGCAGGTCATCTCTGCGGTCGACTACTGTCATCGATTCAACATCGCTCATCGAGACCTCAAGCCCGAAAATCTGCTGCTTGACAAGGACAAAAGGATCAAGGTAGCTGACTTTGGCATGGCCGCTTGGCAGAGTAGCGGAGCTCAAGGCCTGCTCCAGACTGCTTGCGGTAGCCCTCACTACGCAGCCCCGGAAGTTATCATGGGCAAATCCTATAACGGGTTTGCTTCGGACATCTGGTCTTGTGGCGTCATTCTCTATGCTTTGCTTGCTGGCAGACTCCCTTTTGATGACGACGACCTTGGTACTCTTCTTGCGAAAGTCAAGATTGGTAAATTCACGATGCCTGGTTCTTTCGATCCCCTGGCGAAGGACGTCATCTCGAGAATGCTAGAGAAGGACCCTGCGAAGCGCATCACCATGGCGCAGATTCTCGAACATCCCTTCTATAAACTCGTGGAACCGAGGGCTACTAGGTTCGACATACAAAGCATAGAACATATGTCTTCACCCATAGGTAACGCAGACGACGTCGACCCTGATATACTTGCGAACCTACGCACACTCTGGAATGACATCCCTGAGGATGAAATTATCCGACACCTGACCTCACAAGACGCTACCTGGGAGAAAGGCGTGTATCACCTTCTTATCCAGTACCGAGCCAAACATTTGGAAGACTACGATCCAGAGGATGAGGATAGTTCTTCCCCGAAGCCTCGCTCTAAGGGGAAGACCACGTCTGCAACACCAAGGAAATCTGCCTTACCTCGGACAAGGTCCCGGCCCATGAATCTTGGGCAAGGAAATCCTTTGAAGATGGTTTCTGAAGCTAACCCAGATCAAAGTGATAGTCCTGAGATAGTCTTGCACTCACCGACGCCCTCTCCTTCTGGCCCTTTCCTGGGTGCGAACATGTCTGGATCCTCCGATGCGTCAAAGGAGTCGTATTTGAATGTATCTGAGCGCGCAGAGGCATCAACGGTGAAACCGCCTGGCGCCTCGGACGAGAAAATGCAAGACTTCTTCCGACAAATCGTGAATCACCTGAATGAGATGGACCTCGCCTCTCAAGAAAGGTCATCAAATAGTTCTTTGGCTGCGCAAGCTTGTTTGTCCTCTATGGGTCCCACTATTAGGCCTATCCCCGCTCGGCCCCCCTTGGTGCCGCCGCCAACTCCTATCAGCAGTCGTTTCGTAGAGAATGGTCTAGTATGTCACGAAGATCCCACGTACGTGGATGGCAGTTCTGCAGAGATACTTATCCCTGATGGAGTTCACCAAATTGCTAGGTTTAACGGCGTGAAGGAGCAATCCACTCCAAAGAAAGTGAGACATCGACCCCCTCCCCTCATCCTGACGCCATCCGCGGAGGAGGATGAGAACTATGTGTTGATCACCCCTGAAGACGTCCAGTTCCCTCGATTCCCTCCAACGACGACGCCGTTGCTCAAATCTCTGCTGACACCCGTTTCTATGGACGGAAGTGGGAGGTCTCCTCTGTCCGATAGGCATGTTCAGATCATCGAACCAGTCGTGAACCGACCTTCCAAGTTGAAGAAACGGAGGAGTGCTGGTCTGAGCCCGGGTTTAAGTCCTGTCTCGCCAGCCTTCTCTGATGACTCTTATTTCCCCCCGACCCCATCTTCGTTCTCTCCTACAAGGCGATGGTTCGGTCACATCTTCAAATTCAAACCCGCAAACTATCGGCTTCTCTCCATGGCGGACGTCTACAATACTCGCGAGGAATGCCGCAAGTTACTAATGGGCATGGGTATCCAGGTCACGCATTTTCGGGCAGCGGATGGTTTGGACGTCCTTAAATGCCGGCTGGAAGAAACGAGGGATCCAGCGGGAATGATTGAGGGGCCCAGAGCTGTTCAATTCCGCGTAGAGGTCCGGAAACCTTCGGATGCTCAAGCCGTGGCAGGATTCACCATCTCATTAAATCTGATCCAGGAGAAGGGTGCTTTGTCGAGCTTCCGGATGATGTACAACCGTCTGAGGAGGGAGTGGGATCTCGATGCCCCAAGGCCATCCCTACCGCTCTCCTTGCCTAGCTCTGGGTTTAGTCCCGGCGTAGGTTACGCTGAGGCTGTCTACAACATGTAATTCCCTGTGCATACTCTTGCATTATTGATGAGTACCTACGATACGGCTTCTCTTACCATTAGTTTTGTACTATTCCATATATTGTCATTTACTAGGTGTCTATGCAGTTGAACACGCAACGTTACATGGGCTCATCCATCGTCATCATAGTACTCGCGAACCGTGTGGGAGGTTCCGTCAATATCAAGTCTTCGGTAGCGACGTCCATCGGCTGGTCCGCCCCTGGCTGATTCTCCTCGATCAGGGACGGGTGCTTTCCTGGCCGAGAGACAGACGCAACATCGGGTTTCGTGCTCGACACCCGGATGTGTCGGAGCAGCTGCGTGAAAGCGATTTCTTTTTGATCCCATCTGCGGAACAGCCCGACATTCGTCTTATGAGTGAGGTCTGGTATTTCTAGAGTGGGCCGGCGTAAGGTTTGCTTCTCATTTACCGCCGCCGGTGAACAGCAAGTGACATACCCATGCCTGTCCGGTACTCCTCTGCTTCACGCAACTTTATATCCTCCAGTTGCTGTTCCCGTGTACTCTTGGGTCGACCCTTGCGCCGGGCAGCCCTTTCAGAATCGAGCTCGGCATCATGGCGAACCAGCCATACATCAGCTATCAGGGTGTGTATGGTTTGCAGAGTCAAAGTCTCCCCAACCGGAGGCATAGCATGATACCAAAACCCATAGAAGTCCGCTGAGGGACGTCGTGTCAGATCAGAGGTAATTTTTGTAGACCTAAGCTTACTTTCTGCGTGGTACTTGCGGGATCTCTTGTTAGATGCCTCCACGAGCTTATTTTTTCGAAGTTGGGTCCTCGTTATTTGAGCGGCTTTCCGTGACTGAGGATGAAAGATCTTTTCCTTCTTCCCTGATGCGGCTGGCGCAGGTTTCACGTTACCCATGCTGGATGTATTGAAAGCGAGACAGGTGAATATATAATGTATTTGAGCAAGATGGATGCTAGATCGGTAGGGCTTGGTGTTGCGAGCAACTGTCAAGTGATCGAAAGTACTGTTTCCAAATTACATAAGCAAATTTCACAGTGACCGTTGAGGCCACAATTTCGTTCCACAATCCTTAGCTAAACTAAACATTCGACGTTGAACGGTTACCTCCGCCGATCTTGCACTGGTGCGGATGCAAAAGGTCATGAGGTTGTCCTAGGTTTCCCAAAATATTGCCGCCACGCATACCTACTGGTGCGCCTTACAATTGGATTCGCCGTCCAAGTTCACATACTTCGGGTTGACGTGCGTGCCAGATCTCACGCGTGATTGTCTGATCGTCCGAGTAGCTATGACCTCTTGACCACACCAGATGTACATTCAGACAGTTGCAGAGCTCGTTCATTGGCAATGCGTCCTAGCTGTACCCATTGATACCTTGTTTTGGGGAATACGGGGATCAGCGTGAGGTCACGTCGGCATGTATGGCATCCCGAGTGTCTCAAAAGTTCGACCTCGAAGCTTCAGCTTCAGCGCCTGCGAGGCTGCGGAAATGTAGACCCGCAAACACGTGTCTCCCCATCCCTTGCCAGCTACAGCTATGCAAACATCGATCTCCCCAAGCATTTCGCCGCCAGTCTGCAAATTCTTTCTTCAGCATAGGTGCACGAATGGTGATCATTGCCGATTTTATCACCCTCGATCCGCGCAGCAGTCGGTGCAGCCACAAAATCATCATTTGCAAAAGGCATGTGTGTTTTACGGCCTTGGGTCCTGTCGGTACGGGAGTCAATGCCGCAATGCACACATACCATGTCCCGTTAACCGCGGGGGACTCGAAAAGAAAGGACCTCCAGCTTCTTTCGTCAAGTCGTCGACCTTCGGGCCATGCAAATTCTTTAATCGAGGCAACTGCGCCAAAGGGGGAGCTTGTCCCTTTCCTCATGTACAGACGGCCATCGCACAGGACGGTTATAGTTCACACGCGCTCAACAGATCGAACCAGATAAACATCGACAGTAATATGGGTTCAGCGGTCGCAAGTCCGGGGGGGCCCTCTGGAGACGATATAGCAGCTGTAGAGTCCTGTACGCCGGTGGACGTACCTGTCGACGTGCTCGCCCTGACGCCTGTATGTCCCCTCACAAAAAACTATCCATTGTGCTCAACTGCACTGTATTCGTTGGCAGGAAGAATATTCTAAAGTCTCCACCACTGCTAAGCGCACCATCCTGGGCTCACAAGTGACCTTCGGGCCTGGGGCGTTCGTGCAGCAGATCAACACCGCTTTCGAGTCTCCTCGCATAATCATAACCAATCTTCCCCTGGGCAGCATATCGCCGGACGTGATCGAGCTGACGAAGGCTTTCGGGGATCTGTGTGCTGTGAATGTCGACACGGCACCGGCCGCCACTTTTGCTACGGCTCGAATCGACTTCGCGGACTGCGCTTCTGCATGCGCTGCCCTGGAGAATGTCAACGGTACCCTTTTTATGGGAAGAGAGCTAGCTGCTCGGCTCGACCTCACCGCGGTTGAGACAGGCTCAGCCGCTCTGTTGTGCCGCAAGGTCAAAGTCAGTTGGTTCGCGCCCCACCTAGTGGCATGGGCGCATTATTCTGTCCTCCACAAAGCGATGTCTGAGGCGAAAAGGTTGCATCATAGCATATTCGATGGGCGCCAAGTTCTTGTGCAATGCCAGTCACCGAAACGCAGACAGACTTCCTCATTCTCGATCGAGATCAAGGGTCTCCCCCCAAATGTCAGAGCAGAAGATATCCAGCGGTGGTGCAACGCTGCGTCAGTCACGCTCGGAAGGGCCAGCTATGGCAGGAGCACGGGCATTCAGCACGTACGCGATGAGCTGTCGAAATTTGGGCCTTTGGAGTCATTCGACTTGGTGCCATCGGGCCCACGTCCCACCAAGCTGAAGGCCTTCGGCCAGTTCTGCACACCAGAGGCAGCTGCCGCTGCCGCTGAAAAATTAAACAACACGCCGCAAAAGATGCTCGGCAGTCCTCTCTGGTCGGAGCTCATCTATTCTCTCAAATATCTTCCACCATGGAAACAATTTATGGCCTTAAGAGATGACCTCGTTGCGCTATCCGACCAGCATGCCGACTGCAAAATCAGGTACTACGAGGCGGACAACGAAGGCCGTGCGGTCGATCCCGTGTGCATCCGGATCTATTCCTCTGATGCAAAGGCTCTCGGAAGAGCCAAAATAGCCGTGGAGACGATGCTTCAAGGCGAAGTTCTGGCTTCCGACGGGAAGTCAGTGTGGGACGATTTCTTCCTCTCCTCGGAGGGCACGGAATTCCTGTCGACCCTGAACGGAGTTGCTAGGAGTTTTGCGAAATGTAACAAACGGGCAAGGTCTGTTAATCTCTGTGGCTCCTCTACTAGCAGAGATGTCGCCAGAACCGCGGTTTTCAACAAACTGAAGGAGGTACAAGCAATGAGGCACGTCCTCGACCTAGGCAAAGACGAGCTGAGGCTGCTTATAACCGGTGGCATGAAGGCTTTGCGGGAAACAACCGGCGTTCAAGTTGTCGTCCTTGACGTTGTCGCACGTACTCTCACCGTCCATGGAAGCCCAGAGGAGGTAGACCGAGTCCGGAGAGCCATTGTTCTGATGCGGGCGACCAAGAACATCCCAGCTGCGACTTCAGCCAGCAGCTGTCCAATATGCTTCTGCGAGGTCACGGAGCCGACCATGTTGCCGTGCGGCCATTCTTATTGCACTTCGTGCTTGCAGCACCTCCTACGATCGTCTGCTGATGCCTCGCCCGTGCGACTCGCATGCGTTACGGAGGTCAACACCAACCCAAGCCGTTCTTGCCAGCATACCATCCCGTTGAACGTCATACGAGATCTCCTTTCTCCCGAGGATGAAACGAAACTTCTCGAATCCTCGCTGACAGGTCATATAAACGCGCACACCCAGGAATTTCGCTACTGTCCAACACCAGACTGCCCAGTGATATATCGACCAGCCAAGGATGGAACAGTATTGCGATGCCCCGCATGCCTCAACCGCATATGCCCAGCTTGCCACGTCGAGTTCCACGAGGGGCTCACCTGCGCTGAACATCGCGATAATTCCTCGGGAGGTCTGGACGCATTCCAGAAGTGGCGGGAAGCTCATGATGTCCGGCCCTGTCCCAAATGCGGTGTTGATATGGAGAAAAATGGGGGTTGCAATCATATGACATGCATCCGCTGCAAGACTCATATATGTTGGGTATGTATGAAGACCTTTGCCGACGAGGATACAGCCGGCGGTGTCTATACACACATGAGGGAAGCGCACGGAGGAATCATGTAGGTATCTATAACGCTCTGATATCGAGGCTCGCAAGCGTTATAGTGATATTGCGATGCCTAAGGATCGCGAAACGGGCATTGAGCATGAGATACTGATGGGACTACGATACTGTAAGAATATTCGCCAGATCCAGGGCAACAGCAATATGCACAGCATCGTGGAGGGTGAGGCGTGTAAGTCCAGAGCAATCTGATGGGCTCGGTATAGCGTTGCTCGAATTTGACGAGTGCTGTCCTCTGGATGTGTGCGCCTGTTTGTCCCCATCTGCGGACTTAAGTTTGTGGGGATACCCCGTGCCTGCGAGCAAACCAATAGCTCATATCCACGGCGACCACCATGGTACTTACAACGCAAGCCTACGCTGCGTCTGTGATGAGCGATGACTTGGACTATGACATTATCTCGAACGGCCCAAGATCATTGGAATCTAGCATCGATGACCTCGGCCACGTGGCATCCCGCGACGTGTCTGAACCTCCACCGACAGAGCTGGCTAGACAGAGGCTGAAGACAACCACATTGAGCGCGGAAGATATACAAGCATACGTACAGAAAGCGCTCGGGGCTTCTTCAGCGGGTCAGGAGCGGGATAATGCCGACCGGAGAACTATGAAGATATACGTCGATGGTGTATTTGACGGCTTCCATGCAGGGCAAGTACGGCGAGGTACTCGACAGAATAGAGGCACTGACTCTCGCGGTATAGCCACGCTCTGCAGTTACGCCAAGCAAAGCTATCGTTCCCCTCCGTCCATCTGATAGTCGGAGTTTTCGGGGACGAGCTCTGTCACCAGTATGACTACCCTGTGACACTGCCGCATTTGGAGAGATATGAGGTTATACGGCACTGTCGCTGGGTAGACGAAGTCCTGGAGGACGCGCCATGGACTGTGAGCGAGGACTTTCTTCGCGAGCACAGGATAGACTTTGTTGCCTTGGACGAAGGGACGTCGATTGATCCAGACGTGGATAGGACCCGGTTACAGGGATACGATAGGTTGAAGAGTCTCGGTGAGTTGTGAACAATCCGAGGTTCCGAACATAGCTGACAAGTAATTTGCGTGTAGGCAGGATCATACCGACGAGGAGGACGGCCGGATTGACAGAAGGTGCACGGTTCGTTCCAACCGCGCCAGCTCGACCTTCTCCTGTCGTTCCCAGAGCGGAGATAAAAGAGGAAGAGCCCATCCCAGAGCCTATTGATATATATGGTATCGGAATCTAGCGTAACTTCCGTTTGTGCAGTCGACTCCTTCATGACATTGGTAGGCCAAGTCATGGACTCGGACTCCGTCTTTGTTCTAGCTTCAAGGGACTTAACTTTAAACGAGCTGCGACAGGTAAGCCATCCCAGGCTGATGCACAAAGGGATGGCGGACTGCAGCAGACATTGAAGCAAGAGCACAAGGGACGGCTACAGCAGAACGGAGTCGGAGCAAGACATTTATCATGTGACCGTGAGCCCGACGATTGCCCTTCCGGGAGACCGTCGGTAATAGTGGCGGGCTTCGTGTTCGCATCCACAAGCTCGGCTTTGATTCGAGTCGGGACTGCTGCACCGGCAGTAGAAACGGGACACCCGGCGAGCCACAATGATCTACGCAGTCAGCCACCACATGCAGCGCATGTCTCGGAACCATGGAATCCGAACCCCCAGGGTGCGATTAACATCAGGGAGCACAAGACCGCTCAAATCTGTGTTTGGCTAGCTAACTCTCCTCGTTCTATATCAAGGAGACAGACGCTCCCAGGAACTACTCGAGAAGATCTACGTGGTACTCCAGTAAGTTGCCCCTCTCTGTATCACTACTTCCAGACTGATGTATCGATAGGACAATGTCGGTTTTCTCAATGTCGTGGTTGCCGGTAGAGCTCTACGATGACATATTGCGAGAACTATGGGCGTCACGCCTTACGCCTGCCGAGCGTACAGAGTTACTGGTAACTCTACCGCTCGTACACAGGTCCTGGTTATCTGTCTTCGCCCAAGTAGCGATGACGGACGTTCATATCTCGAACCCCCAATATGCCCGGCATTACCTTCGCCTTCTTCCTGGATCCCCTATAACCGGCCTAGACGAACCCAGAAGTCTGTGGACAGCTGCCACGTCTGCAGAGAGCTCGCGCTGTCGCTCCCTATCTTTCTACATTCAGGGCGATTCCACTCTCTTCCCGGTCCAGCTCTACCGCGTGACGAACGCAATGGGAGATACCCTCTCAAACACCCTATACGTGATCGACACCCTCGGATACCTCCCGAACCTCCGCAAGCTTTCCATCGAGTATACGAACTGGGGCTTTGACGATCTTTTCGACCACTACCGCTTGTGCGCCTTCCCATCGCAGATTACTCAGCTCAGTCTCAAGTACTCGTACAACGAGAGTATACCTACACTCCCTGCCAGTCTTAAAGAGTACCTATGTGCCACCTACGTCCGGCACCGGTGCACGAAATGCTCCCTCCCGGGTATCTGGAACCTATCACTGGACGGCGTGCCGATCGAGTTCGTCGCGGACATACTCGGCATCTGCCCGAACACGGAAACGCTGCAAGTAGAGGCATCGCTAGCGGACCACTTGAAGAGTCTTTATCCATTGTCCGAGACGGTGCACACCATCGTCTTGAGGAACACCGAGCCAGCTGAGAGAGATGCCCGGCTGGACTCCGTGCTAGCCAAGAGCATCCTGCAGTGCTGCTTTCCTTCCTTGCGGATCATCATGGAGTGCGACATGGACAGACAGGCCGGGAACAGAGTAGGAGAGCTGTCTCATTCGCGCAGCCTGGACATCTTGCGCTCACGCGGCGTCCCAAAGTTTTAACTCCACCTCAGGACGCTGAACTTGCTGGCTAAGAGACGGATGTTTGGTATTCATAGATTTCTAGATAGCATACCCGGCGAGATATTCAAAGTGTACATGCCATGCAAATAATGATAGACGTGCATCGGGGTCATAGTGGTCCTGATGAAAACGTAGCAATGTAATACAAGCCGTAGTTCATACGACGTCTTTCTTCTTATGTACGCTCATATGCCTGGTAAGCTGGTCCGGTCGAGCGAAGCACTTATTACAACCTTCCTCCGGGCACGGATACGGTCGCGCGCCGGTATGCGTCCGCAACTAAGATCAAATAATAAGTCAATGATACTAGGCTCTCGTCGCAAGATCTACGCACGTGTTTGGACAGATTGGACGATTCAGCGAACGCTCTGAGCAATCGTCGGTCATCACGGCAGCAGAAGACAAGGGTAAACGGCCACGTACTTGCCGCAATGAGAACACTTGAAAGGTTTCTCTCCGTTGTGTGTCCTCTTATGAATGGTGAGAGCGCCTGCAATAGCGAAAGCTTTACTGCAGTTCGGGAAGTCGCAGACGTAAGGCTCTGAAGAAGTACCAGTCGGCGTCAGTCGACTGCCAGAAAAGAACTTGATAAAAAATATCTCACTTTCTTGTGTATGCCGCCGCATGTGCTGTTGAAGCGTCGCAGCCTCGGAGAAATTCTGTTTACATATATTGCATTGAAATGGCCTATGTCCTGTATGGGACTGACGACAATGCCAGAAAACTCTCAGGGGCAGCTGTTGCAAGATCACGAAGGAACAAACCTGCAAATGTCTACAAATCTTCTGCTTGCTCGTGAATCCGTTCTCGCCGTGCCTGGTACATGATTCCCAATAGCAGTCGTAATGGCTCTTGCCGCTGCCTACATGCGCAGCAGTGATGTGCGAGGTCAGCTCATCGCAGTCCTTAAACGACCGCCCGCACCCCTGCCACTTGCAGATGTGCGTGCTGCCTGCGCAGTCGTGCGTTTCCGGGGCAGGGGTCGACGCCGGCTCGGGGGGCGTCGGCGGAGAGAACGGCGACAGCGCTTCGTTATTGCTATCTGCCTCCGGGTGCGGGCTGAAGATCCGGTCGGGAAGCCCCAAGTGGTCCTGGAAGAGGTGGTTCGCGAGGATGCCGAGCGCGGCGTCCAGCTGGTTGCCCGACGAGGGACCCGGGATGGAATTCGGGTCAGGGTAGACCTGGCAGTCTCCCCAGTGGCAGGAGAGTGGAGTGCCGGTCTGGCGGGTCAAGGCCTGGGTCTGGGAGGTCTCCGGCTGCAGGTGGTAGAGGTTGACGTGCCCGACAAGTTCTTGCAACGAGTTGAATGCGGCGTGACAATTACCCCACATGCAAGCAAAGTGGGGAGGGCGCGACCCGCCCGGGGGTTGATTTTGTAACCTTGGCGAAGGGGCTATGACATTAGTGGGAGGAAATGAGTCCGGCACGGCCGATACCGGACTAGGAAAAGAAGATGACGAAGACGTGGAACGGGTATCCAGCTCAGGGTGCACTTGTGGTCCTGCGACAGTATTCCTTTGCTCAAATTGATGATGGTGGTGGTGACGGTGATGAAGCCCTGGAGGATGAAGTCCATGCCCTGTAGAGCCCGGGAAGTGGAAGAACTCGGGGTTAGCGCCGGCGTGAGAAGGGTGGAAATTTGCGTCATTCGGGAAGAAAGTACCACTCTGTTCGAGGGGCAACCCTTGCTGGCAATCGCAGAGGAACTGGTTCAAATCGAACTGAGCGGAGGCATCGGACGGTGGTTGGCCTCCGTTGGCCTGGTTTTGCTCGTTTAAATAGTTACGGTAGTCCGTGCAGCACTGCAACTATTTTATTAAAATTAGAAGAGCCACAATTCAGAAGTGCAGAGGACGAACGCACAAATTCTTCATACATGGTGCAGTCGGCACCGTTATCGCAGGGGTGCTCAAAAAATCGGTCGATCCGATCAGGCAATGGATATTCGTGGCTCGGATCGTCGCAGGGCACAACGACGCACTGGTCCGTACAGTCGGCGGAGAGTTCCAATGCACAGGATCCGGACTTGCAGTCCTCTATACAGTCGACACAGGTCGCGACGAGACCTACGGTGGACAACGCGACGCCCGGCTTAGGGGCTATTTTTTCGACTGATTCTGGCGACGATAATCGCGTTTCCACGATGGGCGAGGACGAATCGTCCCTGCTGGTACGTAAATGCGAGAAAATGTGCTGGGTGGAAACCAGCGCTGGGGGGAGAAAGGGGGACAAAGAGGGTATGGCAGACACGATGGGCGTGTCGGGAGAGCGTAGTCGGCTGTGCCGGGAGGGGAATGCGGGCCTGGGGGCAGTATTGAGCATCTTGCCGTCACGACGGTGCTTGAAGCTTTCTGGTTGACTGGGAGGGTCCTCTCTGTTACTTACGTAAGCTCATATACATGTCGCGACTGCCACGTGCCACTGCCGGCCAATCACCGCCTCCCGATCCAGAATGACTGAATGCAATCCTCCCAACAAAGTTGAGGACGCGCATTACGTAACGGGACCCCGCGCGGCGTGAAGCGTCCACTCCGCAGGGCAGTGTCGGCTCAGCGGGTTAGTTGTTGTATACCGTACCAATATATATTAGACAATGACCTAACAGTTATTGTTCTTGTAGTTCAGTTGGTATACTGCATGTCACCTTGCAGAGGCGCAATGCATGAAGTTGGGAGTTCGAGTCTGGATGTGGGCAGTTTCAGTACACTTTTCTACCGATGGGTTTTCAGTTGTAAGATGTGTACATCGCTCGTGAATTAAAACTCATTACACCATTGCCGAGCTTATGGTAAGCACCACGGGTTGAAATCCCGAAATGTTTTTTATAGGAACTATTTGCATGCACTGTATCTCTGATTCCTATTAAAAGTAACTGTGATTTACACCTCCGCCCAGAGTTATAAGACCGACTTGATGCTTTCCCCTCCATCTGGTGCACCCCCCTTTTCACCCCAACGAAATTGTCATTCTCAGTAAATATCACATAAAATACAATACTTCGTGTCCGCCCAGGACCGCCCTACGTACTCTACATCAGGCTCCTAGAACCATCCACCTCGCGTCCTCATCCTCTCTGGAGACTGTGGGAATGCACCATGGGTGCTACGCAGACTTGCCGCACAGCCGCCTGTGCAGTCACTTCACGATGGCCTCGACCTTCCTTTTACGGGCCGCGCGTCCTCAACTTTGTTGGGAGGATTGCATTTACAGCAGCGACCCCGCCACCGCTGTCAGTAACCAGTCGTTCCGCTCGTGCTCACCGTCCACGCCGTCTTGGACGGCTATTGCCCTGACATCCATGCTGCACGGCACTGAAAAGTTCAAAACGTCGTCGGGCGAGGGATGTGGCCGGGCCCCCTTCCGTCAGCGAGCTATTTCCAGCGAATCCAGCCTCAATTCTCTATCAGGACAGCCTGAGAAGGCTAGCGGTAATGTCAAGTCAATGCTGCTTGTTCTGCTTGGCCTGGCTTCAGCCTTCTGGTATCTCCTGTTCAGAATAAATTTGAATCTGCTGGGTGGCGGCGATTTGACGGAGAACGGCATCCCAGCATGCCCTCAGGTCGATGCAATTCATCCGGTCAAGCACTCTATCTTGCATTCACAGTTGGAGGTCCTGTACGGCTGGGAGGGCTTTAAGCTGAGCGTCTACAGCCGACTCGGGAGAGCGATCCAAATCCCGTGATTATTTTTCACCTCGGCATCGGGAAGCATGTGCCTGATTGTCTGCAGGACCGAGTCCTATGATGATCTGAAGCCTGTTGGCCAGGATCAGCGTTGGGATATCTTCGGAACGCTCCATGAATATCTCGAGACCGCCTTCCCGCTCGTGTGAGCAGTCCTAGCTTGTTCGTCATTGCATGATATGTTCTGAAAGGACGCCCGTTTCATCGCTGTGTAGCTATCGAAATCTGCATGTAACCAAAGTCAATACATATTCCTTGGTATTTCACTGGCAAGGATCCAATGAGACCTTACTTCCCATACTCTTGACTGCTCACCAAGGCATGGCGTTTACTCTTCCGACGCGGACGTATCACGAACTGTCCATTTCCAGATGTTGTCCCCGTCGATCCTTCAACGGTAAATCAGTGGGAGCACCCGCCATATTCTGGCCAATACGACGGTTCGAGCTCTTTGGTTTCGCGCGAGAGTGCTCACGAATACCTGATATAGGAAAGTGGATCTGGGGTCGTGGGTCTGTCGATGATAAAGCGGACTTGATAACCCAACTGTGAGTGCGGTACATCGTCTCCTCGACCGTAGGCAACTGACTGTCATCGTTCTGCAGTGTTACGGTAGACGCACTCCTCAAACACGGATTCTCTCCGTCCCGTACCATAGTCCTAGCCTATGGAATAGATGAGGAGGCCTCTGGCCAAGAGGTTATCATTTCAATTTTCCAGTAAAGTGTGGGAACTACTGAAGAATCTGTGCTAGGGTGCGGGGAAATTGGCAGGCTACCTGGAGCAGGCATACGGCAAGGATGGATTCGCGATTTTAATCGACGAAGGAGGTAGCTCCTTTCTCTATCAGACACCTTCACAGGACTAATATCCCGCGTAGGCGGCTTCAAAAACTTGGGTGGCGGCGACGTCATCATGGCCGCGCCTGACATATCCGAGAAAGGGTACCTCGACATCGGCATCCAAGTGAACACCAAAGGCGGGCACTCCAGCATCCCGCCCGCACACACGGTAGGCACATTAAATCTCTGTTGCCAAACTATTTCCCTCGACACTGGGGTATTAGAGCATCGGCATGCTCTCCTCCATGATCGTCCACCTCGAATCCCACGCCCACTCGCCCCAACTCCGTCGTAGTGGCACACCTTTTTCGCTCGCGCAGTGTCTCGCCGCTTACGACCCCTCCTTCCCGCCGGAACTGCGACGGCTTGCAGCAGAGGCGCTTTCGGATGACAGGGCCCTGGAGCAGTTCAAGGAAGGATTGGTTTCCCTCTTCCCTGTATGGGAGGCGACGCTCAAAACAACTCAGGCGGTGGACCTTGTTAGCGGCGGGGTTAAGGTTAACGCCTTGCCTGAGAGCGCAGAAGCCGTAGTGAATCATCGGATCGCTGAACATAGGTCCTGCACATACACGTTTTCGTTACAGGGTCACATATTGACACTATCTGGTGTTAGTTCTGTCCGTGAATTACAGGAGCACATCACAACGCTTCTTTCACCCATCGCAGAGACGCATAACTTGACTGTCAAGGCCTTCGGAGAAGAAGTTTCAGCCGGCGAAACGGCAGCGGGAGAACTAGTGCTCTCCGATGCGTTCTATAACGCTCTGGAAGTGTCGCCTGTCACTCCCTTCTTCGGGTCTGCGCCGGCACGGTTGCTCTCCGGGACTATCAAGGCCACTATAGAAAGCTCAACGAGATACAATGCCAACCACGTCGTGGTTGCGCCTTCCTTTGCTAATGGTCAGTAGCCTACTCTTATGTCTATGCTACGCGGAACTGATTTGCACATACATATAGGTAACACGGGTAACTGAATCCGCTCTACCAGAGCTCCCCTACTTGACGAGCCGCCAGATACCAAGTCCTATTGGAACCTGACTCGGCACATCTTCCGATACTCTCATCGCAACGAGGAGAAGGAAGTGTACGGTGACATTCATACAGTTAACGAAGGTATTGCTCTGTATCGTCCCCATTTGAACTGCGCTGATTCATTGGGATGTTAAGCCATTCTGGCGGAGAGTGTCATGGAACAAGTCCGTTTCTTTACTAGGTTCATTCTCAACGCGGATGAGTCTGACTTGATATGAATACAACGACGTCAATGTTGCCATGCCGGAAATTTAGTTTGTCTCTGGAGAGGTGATATACGTATATGGCCAATAGCGATATACAACAGAAAATACCACAGTACAATTTGACAAATTGTAAAGCAGCAAGTCACTTAATCACCTGTCCAGCCCAACCGCCGGAGATCACGCTTGCACTCCTCAGTCTCCTTCTGCACTCTGACCCAATCATCAACCACTTGAGCGAAACCACCGTCCTTACTCTTCCCATCCACCAACTCTAAGAGCTGTCGATATTCACTAAGCTGCTTATCCAGTTGTCTCTCTTCTTCCGCTAATCTGCGCTCCTCTGCAGAGTACCTCTCATGGGCGGCCAAGAGGGCCTTCTCCATGGTAGTGTCGGGGTGCTTGGGTGAGTGGAAGCCGTATAGTTCAGTGTGCGCTTTCGCGCGGATGAGGGACAGCTTAATTAGCAATGTTTCGATCTTCGTGGCGAGGAGATCGTATGTGGCAGCATGCTTGTTGCGCATCGGGGTTGAGAATTCGGACAGAAGTTTCAGAAGCTTTGCGTGCAGCCTGGGATGCGCCTAAGGGCAGTGTTAACCTCGGGATACATATAGTCACTCCGGTACAGACCTGGTGGATTTCTTCAACAAGAGCGACAATCCGATCTTGTCTGGATGAAAGCTCCTCCTCGTCTACACAAAGTCTTTGGAGATGTATGAGTAAATCCTCAGGGAGTCTTCGAGATCGTTCTGTCAACTCTTGCTGAGAAAGTTCTAGAGCAGAGACGGTGAATTAGGCATGGATGATCCATATTCAGGTACGATGTACCTTCGTCGCCGTTGTAGAACGAGGTGACGTCCATGAGCGTACGGTCCAAAGCACTTATCAGCTGATCTTCGATACCACCTGCCAGCTTCCAAGAAATCAGCCACTGGGAATACATTTCATACAAGGAATCACTCACATCTACCGGAATGCTTGCAAAACGGTGAAGGTGATCTTCGGTCAGACCGCCCGGTAATGACCGGAGGAAGTCCCCAAACCCCTCTTCCGCTGTCCACGGAGGACTCAGCCGGTCCCAACACGAGACAACGGTCAACGTGCGGCGGAGAGTCTAATGACACGCAATTAGCCCTCTGGTAATCTTTTCTAGATTGAATAGTAACTTCATCATTGGTTCGACGCGCTAGGTCTTCAAGATGGTCGAGAAGGATTCTGGTCCGAACTTGAACACGCCGGTGTCGGCTGGCTTCCTAGAATATCTCAGTGAGATACAGATTCAATACGGGCACGGATATTTTTGCGTTACTACCTGTTTTTCCATCTGTGGCAAGTCCGGACTGCTTCGAGTCGTCACGGAATGCCACAGAGTGACACTTGTCGCGGTAGTTACGACGCACGTGACTGTGACAGACGTGCCTCCACTCCGGAAACTGCCGTCGATCATACTCCCTGCCGATAACGTTCCTTGCGATCGCACGCTCGAGCCTCTTCAGACCAAAGCTTCTACTTCAGCTTGAGGAGCGCTCTCTCTCTGCCCATCTGCTGGATCTACTATAAGCCGGAACTCCTGAGACACCTTCCAGCTCGATACTGTCCATGTCAGCAGCCCCGGCCACGGAACCCTCTCCGCTCGAAAATGTTAAGCCAAAGAATTATGCGGAGACTTTCAGAGTATGTCCATAGAAATGCAGGTTGACAGGACTAGTTATGTCTGAAATCATTATTCAGAACAAGCAAGTGACATCAAAACATGCTGAGTGAGTATCACATCTTCATCTTGCACATCGCATGAATGGGCTTACAGTACACACACAACCACGCAATCGGTTCCCCGACAGCCCTTGCGAAGCTGCTGCCAAGGCATCCTACGATTGCCTGAACAGACACGACTACGTCCGCGACAAATGCCTGGACTTCTTCCAAGCGTATCGTGATTGCAAGAAAGCATGGGTAAGTGACCATTTGCCTGTCGGAGGCAAATGATTCACTCAGTGATACAATGCGATCAGATGGACGAAAGAAAAGCTGATCGTCAGGCTGCCTATGCTCGACGATGACTGTCGCAGTGGATTATCCTAGACCCTCAGCATCTCCAGCTGTGAACACCCGGACTGCAGTTACAGCATGATTTTCCCCATATTCTTCAGAGCGTCCTCAGATGAACTAAGTGCAACTTGGTGTTCGGTCACCGATGCGACAGCTTGACCATAAGTATATATACCGAGGGCTCGTTGCATGTCAACCTACGCTGTTGTTCTCGGCAAATTGACAATAACGAGACCAGTTGGTTGTTACAAAAGGGTACATGGCATGTATTGATATGCGGAAGGGAACGTCTGCATACCCAGCACCAGTACGCCGATATGAGCAATACATGATTCATAATATGTTCGCTAGGGACGTAAGCTGTATTATTTATCAGGTATGCCACAACCTACTCAAAGGTTACAGAGACGCGAATCCTGAATCGGCCGGGGCTGCTTGTTCTGTTCGGCATTTTCATGCTCAGCAACTGCGAACGCTTGAACTTCGTCTTGTAACTCGGCAAGTTTGCTGCAGCGCACGAAGCCTGCGTTGACAAGACGCCGGATGCTCTCCATCGTCCACGTCACACAGTCGAGGCCCGGAACGGAAGTGTAGGGCACGTTCGTGATGATGTGGTTAACGTCACCCACTTTGTCGGCGGGCACTTGTGCGATGCGAAGAAAGCCGATGAGGTAAATGGACTTTGTTGCGCCGCCCGTCTCACCATGGTCAGCGATCCAGGATGATCCCATCTGTTTGATATGGTACTTGATACCTCGATCGCTAGACGTGTGGTGATAGAGTCCCCAGTGGAAACTGTCTGGTACGCCCCTGTCAAAGATGATGATGTAGAGAGCACCAGCTTGGAGTGACATTGCTGCAGCTACTACCGGTGACTACCAGCGACATCCGTTAATACGGGGAAGGTGAAGGGCAGATGAAAGCACGCACCACTAATATGTAGAAATGTGATTCTGCGAAAAACAGGGAATGCAGCGCCAGCCTTTATACACAACAGACTACAATCCGGTACCGAATCTGACTCTACCATGGGCAAGTCGGTGTAACCTCCGCGTAAGAAGGTAGGTCGTGTAACCCTGAAAGAACTTAGAAGGGAATCATCTCGAAAAGCAATTCTGCGATCGGTACTTGTTAGATCACGACGCAAGGAAGTTCAACCCAGGATCTGGGTGGGATTTTTTCTGTGTCCTTCACTTCTCGCGGTAGCAGTAATGGTGCAAAACACAACCCGACCCGAGTCAAGTGCGGGACGGTGGGAGGACAGTCTGCGTAGGATTGATAGCGCCAACTGCAACAAACCAGGGGGCGCTGGTTAACAGTCTGACTGTTATTTTGGATCCGCGTCTCGGACGACATGGATGTCTGCGTGACGGTTGCGCTGAATCGCGCGAAAGACAGTCGCCCATGCCTCGATTATTTTCGGTAGCATAATCAAGCCCTCTGGTACAGGAAGGAGCTGACGGATGCTGAGGAACTTGGAAGAGAAAAGCCAAACTGCGAAGAAGGATGACATCTCCGCACTCCCGGGCCGGAAGGGGGTGTCTTCCATGAACCGCCTGTCAGTCTTGATCAAGGACGCGGAACTTAAACATACACGCACAACTGAGAGAACCGTCCGAAAAGAGAAGGTTTAGCTGCGTCCAGGTGGCAGAAGATATGGGGATGTTCCCATGGAATGGCTTTGGTGACTCGTCCACTGGTGTGAACACCGATATCACCGCGCGGAGATCTGGTAAGCCCACAAAAAAGCGAGAGCGCCCCAATATTGGAAAATAGAAGATAGTATGGGACGGAACTTCGAGTCAGACCGGATATGCCATGGGAAAGGGTAGATCTTACATCATCTTCACATCCAGTCCCACCCGTCAGAAGCAGCAGGGGCAGAGCATTCTATCCAACCGAGGCCAAAGTGCATCTTGGACAACACCTGCGTGACAGTGAAGCTCGACACTAAGTGAAGCTCGACACTAAGTGAAGCTCGACACTAAGTACAAATTACATCGATCGACACGACATAACGTCACCAACAATGACAGAGAAACATGTCGCCAATGGGGTGGCGGGGTCACCACGAGAATGAATTCCGAGCGAATCCCCACATAGCGCGGTACGCTATATATTGTTGCTCATACTTGTACCCTGGCAATGTCATCGCGAACTTGGGCCACCACCAAGATAGTGAAGAACCTCGCAAAATCTGGGTATACTCCCAGTAGTCCGGGAACCATCCGGCGTATTCCCAATCGATGATCCCCGATATATGACCATCGTGGATCATAATATTATGAGCCAGGAGATCACCATGCGTGAATACGATGGGATGCGTGGTCGAGGCCAACGATTTGACCAGGCTTAACTGTTCCTCGTAGGATTGTCCAGGTACACAGTTTTCCGGGGTGGCGTATTCGAGAAACGTAGCGTGGAAGGCATTCTCATCCTCCCATGGTCCACCTTCGGCCCCAGGGATGCGAGCACCCCGCACGGAGCCGCCTTCGACTGAACAAATACGAGGACCCCATGGGGAGGTCCATGATCGCATGAGACCAAGGTATTTCGCGAGTTCTTCTCTGATCGTAGCCCATTCCGAGGGAGACAGGGAGTCCCGTACCTCGTCTAAGGGCTTCCCAGGCAGACGAGACATCAAGATAGAGCCTCGCGACGGGTTCGAGGGATCACTGCCGTACGATAGCAGTCGCGGAACAGGAATACCGATCTTCCCCGCTAGGGACATGGCCAAAGCCTCGGCTCTCCGCGTTTTAAGTGTGTCCTTCAGAATGAGGTTGAAAGGCAGCGGATAAATTCCCATATCATGGGTAATATTGAACCACCGGCAATACCAACGTGAGAGTTTGTAGAGGACGATTCGGTGAAGGTAGCCTCGGACGTGTTCCATGAATGAGCTTCCAACCGCAGGCAGCTCTAATATCTATACCGGAGTGTTTACCACCAATGTATGCATGTCAGGAAAATGCTTACGACTGGAGAGATCGCCATGTGGTACACCACAAGTAGTGAAAGGCGGGGGAGTGGACTGGTGATTATTTGCGTGTCACCACAAGTTCTGTGGGACAAGCTTGCAGTGACACTGCACTAACCCAAAGAACCCGCACTGGACTCTACCCTGCGATGCGCTCGAAAGGAGAACGAGAGGAAAGCAACCCTGTCGACGGACCCCCTCGGACAGATTGAGGACAGGCTAGAGAACTGTCGCCGATACCATTGGTCCAGTTGCAAGCAGTTCATACTGCCGACACAAGTACAAACATAGCCAAACAGAGCCACGGTCCGATCCATACAGTAGTACATACAATATTGCGCCCGCCCGTCGGCTCCGAACTCTCGAAGAGCAACAACAATAAAGGGAACTAAGTAATAGGAAGAGTCATGCTGGCCTGCGAGTCTGCGACCTTTGTGAAGTGTACAGAGATAACGACAGTCTCACGCTAAAAGCGCCGACAGTTGCCTGAAAACCACGACAATAGCAGCTGCCTTGTGGATAAGAACGCCTCGCAGGTGTAGAAGCTCTCCCCTGTCACCGGCAGAAACATATAGGTGCGTATGGTCTGTAGTACTAGTACTCCTGTGTTATACAAGCGCTCATGGACGCCATCCAGCTCCCGCACAGTCGACAATGTCTTTGCAAACTGGGGGTCTATACATCATGCTCTTCGCGCGCGCCACACCCAATGACTACCATTGGGCGTTGTACCATCATACGCAACCTACCAAAGGGACCAAATGGCACATCAAGAATATATGTGACAGTTGGATGACGGACCATAACGTCACCAGCAGCGCGGCCAAGGAATTCTTGCTTATGGGCTTCCTTCGCATCGCTAATGTGCAGCCAGACCGCGCAGAAGAGGTTGATCAATTGGCTAGGAGCATACCCCATACGACGGCAGGTGTTACCTGTCGAACCTGGGTCCTCGACGCCGTACGCAAGCTTGTGGCGGCAGGCATTGTGCAGTGTAATGATATAGACGGTTTGGAAGCCGAAGCAAAAGCGTTCGGTTACTCGCAGTTTGACGACACAAATGCTAACAAGCAACCTCGCCCCGTTGTGGACTCCAAAGTATGTGCGTTGTGATCGAGTGGAGGTAGATCCGTGTCGATCATCAACGTGATGCTCTTTCCTTGTATTCCCGGGTGGTCACCACGCAATCATGACTAGTTGACTCCCGATAATCTCGACGTATCGTCAGCTTGTCGTAAAAGAATAGTTTAAAGATGTATCTGGAGGTATTCATTCTATGAACTTACTCCCTTCCCAAGTACCCGCACCCAAATCTCTATCCCCTAATGCCACATCCACCACTCGCATCATTCCAATAACTTTCTCGTCCTCCCATGGCTTCCCAACGACTTGTACACCAACCGGTATTCCCCGCATGGCTTCAGGATTATAAGTCGGCTTGCAACCCTTGTAGATCATCGATTCTACCGCTTTGGCACCGTGAAGATGCTGCCACTCTTGGGTAAGCTGGTCCTTAGCTGGGTCGACCCGCGTTACGGGAACGACACCGGCAGGGTAGTTGAGGACATTGTATAAAATCGTAGCCGCTGCCAGCGGGGACAAATGTGCGCAGCCGCTAGGTAAGATACAGCAAATCAGTCGTCTGTACTGTTGAATTATTTGCGCTGTCAACCTACCCATGGGGGATTGACGGCATGGCTTGCACTGGGGCAATTATACCGTCGAATTGCTGCTTCGTCCATGCCTGGAATCGATGTATGACATGCAAACTAGAGACTCCTCCGTTCCAATCTTACCTCGTCGTAGAACAACCTCCGGTAATCATCTCTCTTCGCCGTCCATTCCCAGTATTCCTTTACCGACTTAGCTCTTGAAGCAGCTACAATGGGGATCGAGACATGGTCTCCAATGACATACTTCATCAACCAGAGACCGATTGAGCGGATGAGGCCTTGTTTCGCGATGCTGTATAAGAGCAATGCTACGACAGTATGATAATACACTCGCCTGGAAGCTTGGGGCCTAAAGTAGCCAGGAAAAGGTTGGATTCCTATTTTGCCGTGAGTAGACGCTCCGGTAGAGCTGAAACCAGCATTACTTTCGGGTCAGGACCCGTGTGAGCCTCCAGCGTTTTATACCCGTCAGACGTCGTAATGGCGACGAAAACCTCCAGTGGTCTTGTTGCTGTGATAATCTCAGAGCTGTGTCGTAGATAGACGGGGATACGCTCGTACGATCAGGAATCTTGAATTCAACACATTCATGTCCTTGTTCCTGGAGCGCCTTGACTGTCTCCAGTACAGCACGCTTGTTGGCCGGTGACGCCTTGACGAAGCCATCTATGAGCGCCGACGCGGTTAAAAAGAGTCACTCGCCGCAGCACACGGACTTACCGTCAGTGTAGTATCCGAACCTCAGACGCTTCGGCAGCTCTGCGTCCTTCCACGGAGTAGGCGCCACCTCGTTGTAGTCATCAGATATCCCCAATATCCCTCGTGAGATAATTTCGAGGTCCTCGACACAACTGATGTTGAATGAGTGATATCTCAAGCCGGCTGAGTAAACATGTGGCACTTACCGAGCCATAGGCCCGGCAGTGGTCTTGATACCTTCAAAGCCCGGTTCGAGATCTGTAGTAACAACATTTAAGTGACCGGCACATGTCTTTTGCACACTATACTCGCCTCTTACTCCTTCCATACTTACTCTCCCCGCAGTGGGCCGCAAGCTGTAGATCCCTGAATAACTTGCGGGTATCCTCAGACTACCGCCCACATCGGAACCTGCCCCAATACCCGCGCCGTCCATGGCTAGCAAGGCGGCTTCCCCTCCGGAACTCCCACCGCAAGTGTATTTTGCTGACCACGGATTTAAAGTCCGGCCCCACAGGGGGTTCGAGCACTCAAATGAGAGAGCCATATTCTGTGGGACGTTAGTCTTGACGAAAGGGATGGCACCCATTGACCTGTACAGGGTCACCATCTGATGCCTCTAGTTAAGAAATATTCGGCTCCTGCCAATGATTGTCGCAAGTATTCACCGCAGCGTCTTTCTCGGACGGTTGGTTAGCCCAATGACTGTAGCCAGACGTCGCATCTACTCCTGCGATCTCGACTGTTCAAGGGTGTAATGTGTGACCGGTTGTTGAGAAGAGCTGCATTTGTCTACTCACAGTGATCTTTGAAGCTGGCGGGGACCCCATGCAACGGTCCCTTCAATCGCTTCGTTTTGGAGAACTCGTCATCCAGCTCTTGTGCCTCTCGGCGAGCCTGCTCAAACAACACTGAAATGTAGGGTCATTGTTTCCATCGCACCTCCAGGTCGGCGACAAGTACCTTCAGTAACACAGTTCGTAGTCTTCTCCGCAAGAGTTGCTCGAGCTATGAATGCCTCTAAGACTTGTGAAGCTGTCCATTCTCCATGCTCTATTCGTTTGACGATCTCCGAAGCTACCCATTGTCGTATGTCTATAATGCAGTGCAGACACGCTTGTTTCCCGTGCTCACCAGTTGCTTTCGTGATCTGCCCATGGGTGCTGGCCGAGTACTCCTGAGCGCTAGCGAGCGCTCTTTCCCGTTCCGCCCTTTTCGACTTCGCGATAACCTCGAATGAATTCGAGTTGAAAGGCCAGATCATGTTGAGACCGTCCCCTGGAAACTGGGCTTCCGCGACTTTGACTGTGGTGTGAATTTATAAGCCGCATCTCTTAGACGATATTCCCATCGAGCACCGGATCTCGTTAGCACTGTACTCGTAAGTGGACCTCGATAGACAATTTACCATTAATGCCAATGAATACTAGCCACAATCAAGCCACAATCAGGGAGATCGAGCTGATGGTGAAATTGTCGAAGGCAGCCATACAAACCGGAATTACACCCCAAACAAGGAAAGCCACTGATCGTATATAATGTGCAAGGAAGATCACAGCAAAAAGTACAAAGTTATTATGACTGAGGAAGAGGGGGCGGAGCATCAGGCTGCGGCGCAAATATGATGTGCAACGGTGGCGAAGTCTGGCTGTCCTCGCTCAGGACTGTCGCTACAATCGACCTTCCTGCGAATGACCGTCCAGCAAGCGCTTTCAGAGCGCGATTGGCACTATCGGCATCCTTGTACTTGACGTATACGCGACCCACACCTGCAGCCTCGTCTTGCCGCTGGTAGTCCAGAGCAGCCTGTGACCCTCCCTCTCCCCATTTGGACTTATCTTTCTTGACTGGTCTGGGAATCCTGAGGTCCTCCACCTCTCCATACTGCGCGCATTCGTCTTTGATGTCCTCGTAGATGTCGGAGTACTCTTGATCGTCCACCAAGTCTTCGGCCGTCACCATGTTCAACATAAGGAGAATGCGGGCATCCGACAGAGCAGTATCTCCAGCAGGCATGATGGGCTGCGGAACTTCCGTGAAAGTCTCGTACGGATAGTTGGGGATTCCACCTTTAGCTCCGACAGAAGCCCTTTGGACAACCAGGTACCTGTCGCCGAGCTCCATCCCGTTCAAACTTTGAATCGCGACATCAGTAACGTTGGCATCCACGTATTCGAAGAATGCAAAGCCCTGCTAGAACACGTCAGCTTGTAAGGCAATGAATGAATCTCAACGCAAACCTTCGAAGGACCAGAGCCGCCCTCCCGAACCAGATTGAATGCCTTGAGCTCCCCAAAGCTTTTCAGCAGTTCCATAACCTGCTCCTCGTTGAGATACGTCGGAAGTCCGCCAACGAAGACCTTATTCGGCGAGTCGGGCACATTTGTCGATACCACCCCCGGCACATGTAAACCCGGGCCCATAGGTTCGCCAGCGTAGTCTTTGGGCCGGCGAATTTTGAGAGGGCCATTGATGAAGATAATGCCATCGAATGCCATCGCTGCTGTCGCATCTTCAGCGCTGCGGAACTAGCGAGAAACATGGCATTAGGGGCGATCGATATGACAACAGACGATCGCGTACCTCAACGAAGGCATAGCTCTTTTCATAATTACACTGAACAGCGAGTACAGGTTTGCCTGCCTGCTGCGTGCCAAGCTGCATCTCTTGCATCTTGTCGTTGAAGAAGTCGGCAAGGTTTTGCTCGTTGATCTCCGGCGTGATGCTGCCAATGTATAATCTTCGAGACTGGCGGGATAGGTTGGGGTTACCGCCAATACCCATCCCAAAGCTCTGAATGGGCATGGGAGGAGGTAACCCAGGAATGCTCAGTATGGGAGGAATTTGAGTACGGTTGGCACCAGGTAGGTTGAATAAGCCTAATTTGTGTTGAGAGCAATCACATGGAGTAGATAAGGTGACGACGCACCCGTCTGCTTCGCTTGTGTGGCAGTGTACTGTTCATACCCTGGAGCATGGACATCCCAGCCTGAAGCCTTTCTCCGCCGCTGAGACAAAGGAAGGCAACCCTCTGGGGTGGGAGACCTCCTCTCAGGAGTGCCATAATCTTTTCCGCGCCGTCCACGGCCGCGAGGAGCATCCGTGTCCATATCATCGGGAGGCGGGCGACGATGATGCTCCCGATGGTCTCTTCGTGTACGATCATCGTCCGGTCGCCTGTGGTCATCAAGATCCCTCCCACCACGGCCGTGCCTATCTCTATCACGCCTGTCGTCCCTCCTCCCCCCATACCGATCATGGTCCCGGTCCCTGTGGTAGTCCCGGTCTCTGCCATCATGTCTGGGAGGCCGATGGCGATCTTCACGAACACCGTAGCGGTCTAGAAAGGGCAAAAAGGGGACACGGCATGAGTACTGTCATAAGGGCGACGCTGGCTGCGTGAGTAGCTCGACGACGATATTCGCGAGGAAGACGAAACGCCGATTCCGCGAGACGACATGCTAAGCTAGCTGCAAGTAAAAAGAAACAAAAAAGATCCATGTAAAGGATGAATGCCCCGTAAGCAGGTCGTCATTGCCAGGCAATAACAAAGGCGAAAAACCAACGAAATCGTTCACCTCTGTCATCCCTTCCCCCGGACGCAATACGCTCGGCTCTCAAACCTACTCGCGGACATAGATATGGAAGACAGGACACGATCCTAAACAGTGCGACTTACCGTTGTCGGCCATTTTGTAGTAGTGCAGCTGCTTTCCTGTTAGGCCGAAGCAAACGCGCTGGAAGGCAGTGGTGGGGAAACAGCAAGAAATTGTAACTCCGCTTGCTCTACTGCGCCTTCACCTGAATAGGCAGGTACTGTGGTTACTCCTTCCTCCGACTACGCCCATAATGCCTACAGAACTGCCATACGCCGCCGACGCCGAGGTGTCGCTATCGTACGACGAGCTCGAAGTATGTATTCCTCCTCTGATGCTTTTGGGTAAGTCTTTGACAGCTCACCAAGCCCTCTAATTGCAGGTATTACGACTTCAATACGAGAAGGAGGTAGAGGCGGGGCATGTCACGGTTCAGACGAAGTTCAACTACGCTTGGGGCCTGGTGAAGAGTCCGGTACGTGAGGATCAGGTAGAGGGTGTGCGACTGCTGCAAGGTATGTGCTTCTGTCATCGCGAGATTCGCGTCGGAACCGACACACCGGGATGGCAGAGATCTACCGCGCGGAGCCCGCTCGCCGAAGAGAGTGTCTTTATTATCTAGCACTTGGTCACTACAAGATGGGAAATTACGAGGATGCCAAGAAGTTCAATGGTCCGTACATTGCTGTCCCGGAAGGCTGTCTGAGTTGCTCATACGACCACGTAGGCCTTCTTTTAGAGAAGGAACCTACGAATCTCCAGGCTCATAGCCTTCAGACGTTAGTAGACCAGCGCTTAGCAAGGGGTGAGTGGTCTGCTCCACAACGTGCTGCTGTCAGTCTTTTAAATCTGTCGCATTTCAGATGGGTACATAGGCATGGCCCTAGCCGGTGGAGCAGCTGCCATCGGGGCCATCCTACTTACAGGTCTAATACGGCGAGCAACCCGCAAATAATGTCTTTGGCCACGACTTACGCTGTGTTCCCGCTCCCACGTCTCCTATTTATCCTATCAAATAATGTACGGTCTCTCCGACTCGCAAATAACATCCTTATGACCTAATAAACGGTACTTCCTTCCCCATCAATCCTCAGTTGTCCTTAGGCCGGGAAGCGGTGGATGGTGACGAGTATGTCGCGCGCGCAACGCATAGAATTTTGCGTAGAATTTATATCTTGTATCAATAGCGTGAAGCACGGAAGTTCGAGATTTTCCCTCTCGTATTGCTAAGAGCCTAAGGAAGAGCCTAAAACCCGGTAACTAGAGAGCTGTTTCTAGAATACAGACTAATGGTGTACATGAACATCCGTAGTACAACCCGGTATGCAAGCATTAAGTTATAGATGCAGCAGGTTCGTAGATGAATGTGGATATCGAAAGCAATGCGACGAGACAAGGTTGTGTACAGTTGTTAGCCAATTGCGTCGTATATCATGTCGGAAGGAATTGGGCTGCAAGAATAGGACTTAGTTCATCATGGTGGAGAGATGCTTGGTGCTCACCTGCTTGATACAACATTTCGTCACCAGTCATCTGCAATGACCGGATACATCAGCTTTCCGTTCTCTCTCATCAGTACAGCAGCACGCACCCTGAAGGATGTAATGCCGGCGAAGATGAACCCTATCAGGACACCACAGTCGAACAGAATCCATATAGCCGCCCAAACTGTGAGGTCCCTTGAGTCGCAAGCCAAGGCAGCACGATGATAGAATCTTACCATGGGCGGAGATCTTTGGATACATATATGAGAATTGCGTGCAGTCTGAGTCGTTAGCTTTTCGGAAGAACTTGTCGTCTGCAATGTCCCCTACAATTTTACCGTCGGCAACACGTCCGACTACCAATTATCGGAAGGCAAGACGACTCACAGACCACATAGAAGGCGCTAGGAATGGTATTAGTCGCGGTGAAATGCCAAAGAACCAACGATACTCACTTCATCACTCCGATGAACAAGCAATACCAACGGAGAGCGTCCCTGCACAGGCACGTGTAAGTGAAATACTAATATTCAGCCATAAGGGTAGCAGCACTCACGCGTGGTCGATGAACCAGAAGCCAATTAGCAGGCCTTCGTATAGTACAGTCAAGATCAAAGTCCTTTGGAGAGAGTCAGCAACAGCTCCTGCTTGAAAATTATAGACCAACAATTTGTCCCTGACAAGGACCAAAGGGCATATGAGCCCAATCCCAATGACGAAGCTCAAGATTTTTGAGACTAAGGTATCAAACCCAGCCATAATGAATATACCGCCAAATACTGCCGAGCCTATGTATCCTGCTGCCAGGATGCTCGGCGGATGCCCTCCCTCGACGATGGTGCACCCTCCGACGTTTGGGTCAATCGTGACTTTGAGTATAGTCCCCCCTGTCATGATCGCCTTTGCATAGGAAGCAGTGAGTTAACGGTGGGTCCTACCGTTGCGAAAGAGCCGTGCACTAACCACTATTATGTGACATAGCTCGTGCCAGCCAATGGTGAACAGTTTGAGTGGGTTTATGAGGTTCCGTACGGTTGGAATATTCCATATGGCGAATATCATGACAGTGTACACAACGATCTAGCGACTTTCCTATTCAGAGCCTGGGTCACTCCTGAGGATCGGTGAAACGCACAACATACAGGACAGGCACCTGCACCGACCAAGGGCTCAGTACTAGCCTCGGCTAACGGCAGAAGCGAGAAGCTCACTTGGATTTGTGTTGGCGTTATAGGGCTCATTCGGATGGGGGCAGCTACAGGCGGCCTGTAGGGGATATCAGGATCATAGTCAAGCTCCATGCTGCTTTATGCGAGCGAATATGCGTTCAAAGGCGTGAGGATAGTTCTCCCAGCAGTCGTAAGTACAGCACGTTGCAAGATATTCGACGCACAGCACGAGTCCCCCCTCGAGCACTCGACTGTAATAGAACGGCACAGACTTGTGGAACCGGCCTCGTGTACCCAGTGCGGAGATGCTGTGATTCCTACTTTCCTGATCCAGGCGCCATCGGAGGTTCAGCGGTCGTGGGAATCTGCGGGGAAGCACGACGCGCTCGGTCACGTGCCCCGCGACTTGTTGATCGGCGACGGAGTTTCAAAGTTGCTCTCAGTGGCAATAAATAGCGCAGGCGCGTCGCGTCCAGCTGCAACCTCTTCGTCCACCACCACTCCTCCCGCTCTTCAACTACCCTCAAGAATACCAAGATCATCATGGTGAGCTTGCTTGTAGCCTGGACCTATGCCGTATCGCTTACTGGTACGTTCGGTAGTCGGGAAAGGGAAAAGCGTATGTACCTCGAGTGGAAGCAACCTAATGGACGCGTCTGATCTCGTTCTAGTGGTAAATCTTCCTCCGGAAAGGCCGGGTCCGACCCCAGCAAGACCATGTCGCGGTCTGCGAAGGCCGGTCTCCAGTTCCCCGTCGGTCGTATCCACCGTCTGTTGAAGAAGGGCAACTATGCTCAGCGTGTTGGTGCCGGTGCTCCTGGTACGTCGTAAACCTTGTGATGTGGTGAACATCATTTCATTCGCCTACTCAGTCTACCTTGCTGCTGTATTGGAGTACCTCGCCGCTGAGATCCTCGAATTGGCCGGCAACGCTGCTCGCGATAACAAGAAGCAACGTATAGTCCCCCGTCATCTCCAACTAGCCATCCGCAACGACGAAGAGTACGTCGCCTCCTGTTCCATCCATCTCACGTAGCTCAATGCTGTCGGTAAGGTTACATAAACTGCTCGGCAACGTTGTCATCAGTCAGGGTGGTGTCGTGCCATTCATTCAACCCGAACTGCTTCCTTCAAAATCCAGTAAGGGCAAGAAGGAGGGTGCCTCGCAAGAGGTGTAGAGCTGCGCATATCTATGTCTGTGTAATTCTTGTATCAATATGCTGTTATAATCTATATCTTCGGTATTTCTCGTACTCAAGTATAGTATGTCAAACTACTGGGTGCCACGATGTAGCTGGTCGTAGCCATCCTGTCGCGACAGGATATTCGTATTTCGGGATCATAGAGTTGACACCAATCGTTCCCCTAACGCCGCTATCCTATGATGGATTCACCGATGAGATGATAAATTCAAACAGTGGAGGACATGTGTGCAAAGTATGGACCAAGGGATTACGTCCACACTGCACAGCATGCAATGTAGTTCCTGATCCTCTTCGCCAGTGGGACAGCCTGGGCAGAGTGGATGTCACATATCTCAGCGTCGCAGATGTGCGAGAATTCGAGCCAGTATTACTGCTACAAGTCCAGGATCCCGTTGCCGCAAGAGCATATTGGCGAAGCAGCCTGCTTGCAAGGTATTTATGAGAGTGGGGCAGCAGTAGGCGCGCAGCAAGCGTAAGGTACTTTCGGAACGCTGGCGTTTTCTGTCTTACGCTCCCCTTCCGAGTCTTTCTCCAGTTGGACAAGAATTCACAGTACGCGCGTTCTTTGTGTAGTCAAAGAAACGCATAAGCAGCGTCGTCTGCATTAGAGCCATCGAGTCTTGAGAGTTGTCTATCTCCAGTCGGCCTCGGACTATCTAATAGAATCCGAGATGACGTATGCATGCTTTCCTGCAGCTACCGCCCGATGCAGATATGTAGTGGTCATCCGGGCCTCACGTAGTACGTCCGAGTTCACGGAGGCGGGTCCATAATATTAGCATACCAGCCATATAAAGAGCAAGCTGTCGATCCTGGATTTTCAGCATACAGCAGACTCTTCAACACACACCGAACTCTTAGGCACACGCCGAACTCTTCAAGACACAATGGTCTATCCTATCGTCGCCACTCGCGCGGTCCCTTCGACGATCACGAGGGAGCAGCTTTGGAAAGGCTTGAAGGTGAAGGCGCGCGAACCGAGAGGCTTCACGCCGATTACAGAGTGCGAGGTCCTTTCGGAGCACAAGACGGGCTTGTCAAGGAGGATCGTATTGGAGGGGCTGACCATCCATGAAGACGTGGAGTTTGTCGAGCCGTACTGGGTGAGTTTGTTCATGTCCCTGGGACACGTCCCCTTGTCCTGACGAAGTTTCCGAAGGCGACCTTCAAGATGCGCGAGACAGGGACAGAAGTCCTGAACCTGATCAGCGTAGACGAGAAGGGCCAGACTTTCCTGACCTTTACGTTCAAGGTCATATTCCCGGGTACCGAAGAGGGGTCCGAGGCAGAGAAGGAGAAAGGACGGGGCATGGAGAAGATGGCGACGTCGGCGGTTGAGATGACCATTGTCCAGGTGGAGAAGCTGGTGAAGGAGGGCAAGTTGTGAGAGTCCGTGGGTGTCAAAGGGATCCTGGCGTATTTGTAAACGGGGTCTCTTCAATCCGACCGAGCATGTAACGGGGCTTCATAGGAGGAAGCTGGATACCATCCCCACTCAATCGCAATAGTATCTTTTCACCTGTGTATATATCCAAGCGGTCAGAAGCAATGTTCCATAGTCTGCACGAAGTATCAGGGATAGTGGACGCTGGAAAGCAAGTGCCACTGCAAGTGCCCACTATGTTTCGGTGCCGCCACGTGGGAAGCGACGAAGATATCGCCGTGGCGAGACTCCTCTTTACTCTGTACAGCGCCTGTAGCAGGAGTAGCAAGCCGCACAGCAGCGGCACGTTGATGGGCACGCCTTCCAGGGGCACTCGCTGAGCTGCTTGACGTGAACTGCCACGTATTGCATCCTAGAAAAGCATACGCCGCGCGCTGCAAACGCGTCTCTTGACCGTGACTGACCATGGCGGTTCTCTCGCTACCCCTCTCGTTCAACAACTCGTTCTGGTCGCAGGACTACCGGCGGGGACTCGAGGTGCTATATGGCAAGTTACAGCAGGTGAGGAGCGCTCTGTATGGGTTAAGTGGGTTCAGACTGAGCGCAGGGGTTAGGGTGTCGCGGAGAATGAGGAAATTGTAGCGTTCATTAGGGTGCGTTGCCCAGTTTTGATGAGGGGGGCTTGTGCTAACTGTTTGCATAGGCTCGTGCCAATGCTGAAGCTGCGTTGGCGGAGTCGCTGACAGCCCCCATGCCCACAGGCAATAAGGGTACGTCCCGTCGCTCAACAATACTTGCTGCCAGTAGTTCAGCGTCAGTGCGACAGGCACGGGATTCGACGCCGACGATGGAGCTTCCCTCCTTATGGCCTTCCGTGGACTGCAGTCCGAATCCATTGCTCAGGGTAAAGTGCACGAGACTATTGCAAAGGAGTTGGACAACCTCGTCGCTGAGCCATTTGACGAATGGGCAAAGGGCTATAAGGTACGGAGCCTAGGAGATTCTCGGATGCCCTTGCTAATTAGAGTCGTTACGCAGGAGAGACTGCGGCAGAACAGAGCAACTGTAGTGGACGGCTGGTTGCGTTCCTACGAGCATGCACAAGCTGATGTACGTAGCGTTGCCTACACATCTCCGAGCCAATTCAGACATTCATACTTCTGCAGGTGATCAAGCTCAAGAATCAATATCTGTCCAAAATGCGCCGCGCTGACGAGGCCGAGGACGAGTATGTCCGTACCGTTGTCTACATGTTCTCGCTCCTTATAGTTCCCACAGCGCGAGGTTTGCCCCGACTGGCGAGCACGTAGACAAGTATACTACATCTCCCCGGCTGGGACCGAGGGACTCGCATCGTGCGCCCCCTCAGAGGACCGCCAGCGTCTCCGAACGGATCGCCCAGCGCCTCAAGGAGATACAACGACGAAGCGCGGGTAGCGCAACAGGCCGCCAAGAGTCCAACTTCGTCAACGCCTCGGACGCCTCGGCTGAAGAGAAAGGCGACGCTGCGGCCGAGAACGACGAGCAGCCTTCCGCCCCGAAAGTTGACAAGGGCAAGGGCAAGGAGGTCGATACCTCTGCTCATGTGACCGCCTCTCCGCCGCGAATCGCGTCCCCTCCCCCACTGTCGCCGCCTCTGCCACCGTCTCATCTGCCCGCGGACATTCACATCCCACCGCCCGGCTCGCCTATGCCGCCGCCCCCGCCTTCGCCGATCGTTCTGGCGGGCCTGTCCCTTCCTCCGTCGGCCATTTCGGGTCTACTGACTCGCGCCGCGGCGTCGATGCCCCTGCGCCCGGTCCGGTTCCCCATCCTGGGCGAGTATCCGGACTGTTTCACGGGTGAGGAGTTCGTTAGCTGGCTGGTAGATAACGTGGAGGGCTTTGGAGGCAGTCTGGATAAGGCAGAAGACGCCGCCAAGGAGCTTACTGAGCGGGAGGGTTTGCTCAGGCGGATTGGAGAGTTCGGGAACACGTTCGAGAACTCTGATGAGGCGTTCTACCAGTTCAGACAGAAGGTGCGTGGATTGGTCCAGTATGACCGCGTCATCGCGATTGAAGCTGCCCTTCCAGGCATTTGAACTGGGAGCAACGCAGTCCCAGCCTCAAGCTGCCTCTCCCATCACAAGCCCGAGGAACTTGGCGCCCATCGCGGAGGGCCTCGTCAAACGCGGCGGCAACTTCGTGAACCTTGTCCAGAAGGCGTTGAACGCGAATGCGAACGGCGCCGCCGAGCCTGCGTTCGTTAAGCTGCGCCGCGACGCGGAGGCTGCCGACAAGGAGTACCGGATTTCGGTGCGGAAGCTGGACCGGCAGAGGTTGGCGCTCGAGGAGAAGATCGAGGAGACGCTGAAGATGCTGCAGAGGTGGGAGGGCGATAGGCTGAGGGCTGTGAAGACGGGTGAGTGGTGTCCTCCCTGTATGTTGCAGGACTTGACGTGATTGTGGTGGGAAGTGCTGCTGCAATACCAGGGCACGCTTTCGAACATGCCCAAGGCCTTGGACTCCTCTTTGGAGCGCTCGGCTACTCTCATAGCTGCGTACCAGCCGGAGTCTGACTTGAGCGCCCTCATCGAGCGCTACCGCACTGGTCCTTTCCGCCCGCATCCGCAGATATACGAGTCTGTATCGCGCGACGAGTCAGACGTTGTGTTCGGCATTGACCTGCGGAAGTGGGCAGAAGGTGGGTGGGATGTTATCAACTCGGGTGAGGAGAAGAAGGATTCGGAGTTGGTGCCTCCCGTGCTGTCGGCCATGCTCAAGGCATTGGGAAAGGCTTATGAGATGTTACCGAACGACGCGGAGAAGAGGAAGGCGTGGATTTACGAGGTTCCCTTGGTTGCGGTTCATCATCTGAGGGAGAGTCTGAACGCTGTTCTCCCTGACCAAGCCATTCCGGAGGAGCTGTTCAGGAGCTATGATGTCCCTGTTATTGCGAGTTGCGTGAAACTGTGGATGCTGGAGCTGGACCCACCACTTGGATTGTGGGAAGGATGGGACGAGTTCAGGAAGATATATCCTACAGGTCAGTCGGGTTTGTAGGGGATGCTGGATGCAGCTGAGTGTCCTGTCCATATAGTTGGCCACTCGGCTAAGGAGGATGGTCAAGTAAGCCCGGAGCAACATATGCAAGAACTCCAAGCTGCCTTGTTGAGGTTGCCCCGGGTGCACCTTTACGTCCTTGACTCGGTTGTCGGGCATCTTAGGAAGTCAGTAGTTTTACCATGGCCCCTTTCTGAATGGCTGACGATATCATTCAAGCTTGATCGATTCGACCACAACGGATGAAACCAACGAGGTGTACGTGACGAAGTTGGCTCTCACTATGGGGAGAAGTGGGTAAAATGTCACATTCATATATGATTATGCTAAATTCTTGTTCTTAGCTGTGCTCCGGCCCAAGTTCGAGACCGACGTATCCATCCAAGACCGTCACCCTACTCGTAAGCTTTTCATCTATTTGGTAGACACAATCTATCTCACGCCTGTACATAGTCCTCTTCATGGATTTGGTCAACCATTACTCTGAGATCTTGCCGCCGACCATCACAAAGAAGAAGCGCGAGTCTGAGAGGAAGATACCTTTGCGGAAGCGGACCGCACCTATCGATATGCGCATGAGCAGAAGCAGGATTTCAGTCAGTGGAAACGCCTCGGAGTTGTTACAACGAGCGAAGAAGCAAGCGGAAGCACTACCCGCTGTGCCTCCTGTCGAGAAGGCTGCAAGCCCCCCGCCTGTGCCTGAACCAATTTCCAAGCCAGTGGCGCCTCCGAGCGTGCCGGTTCCCGCACCCAGCGACACGTCCGAGACCGCTAGTACGGTTACGGCGGAGACGCATGCAACGTCTGTTGAAGAACCGGACGTCCCTCCGAGGCCAAATTTCAAGGAGCCACCTCCGGAAGATGACGACCTACCACCGCGACCAAACTTCAAGGAGCCGCCGCCCGAGGATGACGAGGTGCCTCCGAGGCCCAACTTCGCCGACCCTCCACCCGAGGACGAGGAGAAGGTCCCCTCAGCTGCTGTGATTGATGCCACTTCTCCGACTAAGCCCGCATCCCCACAAATCCCGTCGCCTGATAGGGAGACCCCGCCGATGACGTCCAGGACTGCATCTCCAGAGGACCAGCCTATCAACGGCGGCAAGGTTTCGCTGTCGCGGACCACGTCGAGCGATGCGAGTCGTGTCCGAGGCCCACGGACGTCTCGAGGCCCCAGAACGCAAGGGGGAAACGTGAGCAGCATTGTCTCGAATCTCAATCGCAAATCGGTGAGTTCACCGACGAGCCCTGGGTTCAAGCCGAGGTCGCCAGGGTCGCCCTCCCGCCCGTCATCGGTGGCTAGTGACCGTCGCAACAGTATTCGCCGGTCTGGTGCGTTTACTAGGAGAAACATCGGAAGCGATGCTGAAGACGAGAGTCGGAAGTAATATGAGTGCTGCATGACAGAATGATATATGAGACTTGACTCGGTCTCTACGGACACGCTTTGCCTATGTAACTTAAGTCTGCTCGTTATGGTAGCACACTATGCAGCCTGACGCGACTATGTCAGGCTCATTTTGTTTAGATCTACGCGGAATTCATTGGATATTGCAGCCATTTGCAGATCGATGGGCCCATTTTTTGAAAATCATTTACAGTCGGACCACGTCGGACAAGCAATTACAAGTCCCCGAGAGACAGAAATCAGACCATCTGGACTTCTCTACCTTCTTCCGACGTCCCTGGCACCCACTCCGACCCACTCCGACTATACGTGGTTTTCTGAATTGATGGTCTATCGATCTGCAAGCGGCTGTGAGTACTAGCATCTTATAGCCATTTCCAGAGTCGGACCACGTCGGAGAAGTGAATTGAACTTGAAGTCCCTGAGGCACAAAAGTCAGACCATCTGCCACGTCGTACAGTCCCGGACAACCAAAGACAACAAATTCGGTGACCGGATTTCCTGAGGTCCAGCAGCCGTGGGAACCCCAATTTTATTGCAGAAACGAGTGATTTAGACTCTAAAGAAGAGATTGGCACGAGCCGATTTCCCATAAACACCCTGTAGCCTTCAATAATGGGTCGGGATGGGCCAAAATTTTGGCCGTATACAAAACAAATCGGGAAAAATGCGGAAAATATGCCAATCGACTCCTTTCAATGAGCTGAGTCTGATTCTGGCTTAAATATAATAATTGGACCAGCTGATATGCAATAATAGCTCTCATAAGTTCAGGCCAAATATGGCAGTCAAGGTAACATGTGCAATAAATTTGAACTTCCTTGTCAGTGGGCGGCCTCAGAAGGAGGTCTGAAGTATTCGAAAGCCTAGATCCAGCTCCATGCAAGGGTTACAGGTCCCCAAAGGCTCAGGGCATGACCTGGGAGGTCCGGTGACTGTGTAGAATGTCGTTGAAATGGCCCAAAATTTTGGCCGTATCAAAAAGTCGTG